ACTAAGGGTAATTAATACTATTAAATTAATTCCTAGTATTAGTTAGTATTTTAGTCGCGATATATACCTATTATAAGCGTATATTAATTTCATAGAAGTTTTAATCTTTTAAGTATTATATATTATTTATTAATATCTTTTTATAACTAAGTATATATAGTTTATATAAGGTTTTATTTTTTAAGCGTAGTATTAATTATTATATAAAGTCGCGCTTCTTTAAAGCTAAGTAAGGGTATAATATAAGGGCTTTTACTTTATATTAGCTTAGACTAAGGTCTAAGCTAAGCCTATATATAAGCAGCTTTTATATTTATATAAGCTAAGCTTATACTTCTCTTTTTTTTTTCCCTTTTATAGATTATTAACCTTTTTCTTATAGACTATACTTAAGCTTATATCTTTATATACTTTATAATACTTAGATCCCTTATACTTAAGGATATTTCTAAGAATATAAAATTAAGCTATACTTTATAATAATAATAATAAGCTTCTTATTAAGTATTTATAAACTAATATTTTTATTATAATTAATAGCGTACTATTAATTTATTAATAAGGTTAGCTAATAATAGTACTTATACTTTATATAAAGCTAATAATATATATATAAAGTATTTTAAAAAGTAGTAAAGTTTAAATAAAAGGAGTCTTAATCTTATTACTAGAAAATAGGTTATAACCGTACTATATAAGCAAAGTTCGGTTAACATAGGAGCTAAGACTAAGCTACTAGGGCTATTCCTCTAACTAAATAGGGGGGGGGGGGGGGGGTGGCCCTACCTAAAGCCCTTTCCCTAGGCAAAATACTTCGGTGGGAAGTCACCCTCTATCAAGGATGTGCGGCTGTCGCGGTGCCCGACGCTAGACGGCATCATGCTCGTGTCGGAGTTGCGAGAGAGAGACCTAGTAGGAAACCGAGTTCCCGGGGAGATGAATGCCGCACAATCCAGGCTAGAGGTGTTAGCGACAGAACTATTCAGGGTGTGCTAGGCTGGCCGAGTGGCGACGCCGAAGTCGAAGCAAGCGAAGAAGCGCTCCCAGACGTGGCTTCGGGACGTGACGACGATGGACGGGAGAAGGAGCACTGAGCTGAGCACGAAGAACAGTGAACGGCGTAGGGGTCCGGAAAGACACCCAGGCAAGGATCAAAAAAGCCAACCACCAATTACAATGGTGAATCAATGATCCCGCTGCTTGACTTAAGTCCCTGCACATAGAAATGGGCACCCCCCTGTTTTGGGCACCCAAGATGGGTGCCCAACCTAAACGGCTGCGTCAACTTCAACAGCAAATTTCACCGCGGAAACGCATCCAATCTGCTAAAAAATTGACGCATGTGTCTTCAAGCCACTACTGATGAAATATACAGAGTCTGACATTCACAGCGCCCTTGAGGCAATCGCCAATGGCGGATCCGCCAAGAAGGCTGCTCGCGATTGGGGCGTCCTGAGGGCAACTCTTTACAATCGCATGCATGGTCACGAATGCAGAAAGGATGCATTTTCTGCTCTTCAGAGGCTTTCAGACACAGGAAAAGCAACTTACCGAATGGATTCTCATTCAGGACGCCTTGGGCCTTCCTCCCACTCACTCGCAGATCAGGCAGTTCGCGCAGCGCATGCTCGCCGTCAAAGGAGACCACACACCGCTCGGAAAACACTGGATGCAAGCATTTTTAAGACGAAATCCTGCAGTTCGGACCCAGAAGTGCCATCACAGAGACTCTGCGCGTGTCAACGGCGCTTCTACCGAGGTAATTCGGCCTTGGTTCAACAATTTCTTCCTTCCGAGATTCTGGCTATTAAGCCGGAGAACAGGTACAACATGGATGAAGCAGGCATCATGGAAGGACTTGGGAGAATGGCCTGGTCGTTGGCAGTGCTGAAAAACGATCTGTACAAAAGAAGACGCCTGGTTCTCGGGTCTGGACGTCGTTCATCGAGTGCGTGTCCGCTGCCGGCACCTTCCTCCTCCACCCGTCATTTTCAAGGGCAAATCGGTCCAGCAACAGTGGTTCCCAGAAGATCTCAGTACTTTTAGTGACTGGCAATTCACTGCGACAAAGAACGGCTGGACTTCGGACCAAACTGCGGTGGAGTGGCTCCGAAAGGTGTTCATTCCAAGAACCCAGCCACCCGACCCTTCGGAGCGAAGACTGCTAGTATTGGACGGCCACGGAAGTCACGAGACGGTTGACTTCATGTATCTATGCTACCAGCATCAGATTCACCTTCTTTTCTTACCTCCCCATACCTCTCATGTGCTGCAACCGCTCGATTTGTCTGTCTTCCGCTCTTAAGCACTACTACCGCAAACAGGTCGGATTTCTCAGCCTCCTGACCGATTCAAGCCCAGTCGGCAAGCAAAACTTTCTTTCCTGCTACCAGAAAGCACGCGAGCAAGCGCTCACTGTGTCAAACATCAAGGGTGGCTGGAAAGCGACGGGTTTGTGGCCGGTGTCGATGGCGAAGCCACTTTTGAGCCCTCTTCTGCTGGAGAACAGCAACAGACGCAAAAGAACGCGAAAAATGTGGCCAATGCATTCAATAGCCACTTACCCACCAGTGACTGGCAATCAGACACATCCCAGATTGCGTGGTCGACCCCGAGGCGCTCGCAAGATCTGAAGGTTCAGGTAGTTCAATTCAACCAGCTAGACGACGACGTGCCCACGAAGAGATTGCTGTTCAGGAAGATCACAAAAGGGTTTGACGAGAAGGATGGCCTTTTAGCAAAAGCTCAATTGCAGATTCAGGCACTGGAAACACAATTGGCGGCCGTCAAGCCGAAAAAGGAAGAGGGTGGTCACGAGCCCGAATTCGAGGTTCGCCAATATTGAGGCAATACGACGGGCGCAGGAGGAGGTGAACGCAGCTGAGAATGAAGAATCTGATGAAACCGAAGCTGAGGTTTCAGAAATAGGTGACGATTGTATCGTAGTGCACGGTGGTGGGCAGTGAGAAGGGATTGAATTAATGGTGTTGAAAATGGTCGTGATTTTTTGGGGTGCCCAAAACAGGGGGGTGCCCATTTCTATGTGCAGGGACTTATAGTCAATCAGAAGCGGGTGGTTTTGAGTGGGTGAAAGAAGTTTTGCGGAGGGTGGGCCGGGGGCGGGGCCTAAGTAATTACTTTCGTTCCTCAACAATCAATCCTGTTTTTGCTTCTACCAATGTGCAACTGTACTCGTGGCTGTCGCTGGCCGGAGCAAAACGCAATACTTGGTGGCGCGGAGCGCACAAAGTACAAGGAGAGGCATATCGTTGTTTTCCAATCGGGGCCTTTTTCTTCATGGATCAAGTCAGACGACGAATCAGCCTGGCCGCTCTTATATGCGGCCCAAGGTTTTCAGATGCCTTTGGACTACTGTGCATCATGTCGCTGGCGCAGGTGCCGGGAGAGGTAGGCGGGAAACGGCGAGAACGTCCGGCCCGGCCCGGCCCCGCTGCGTGACTGCACAAGGCTGAGCATGCAGAGGAGCGGCTCAAGTCTGCATGGAAGTGCGTCGCCCGCCAAGAGTGGGCGTAAGTTTAAGCTTGGCTCGTCAGTAGATGCTTGGTGCAGATTATTGGATAGCACATAATTAATACCTAGTCCATCGTCGATCCCTCTGCCCGGCCAACGTACCGTACCTACTGTACGCGTGTCTGCAAGCCGTCCAAGACAAAATTATGCAAGGTCCCGAGTCTACCGGGCGAGGCAAGGTTTGTACACCCCACGCTTTATAATAGAACAGCAGAGGGACGGCGGAATATCTCCGCCGTGTTGCTCGCTTCACGGTATTTCCTCTTCTGGACTCGTCGTTCAGTGCGTCCGCGTGATGGCTCATCCGTCCACGGCCGACTTCGCACAAGCAACAAGTGCACGTGCCAGGTGCAGGAGGACATTCCCCGCATTATTTATGGATCAGTGAGGGAGAACGCGGCATCGGACACGTCCTGTGCGCGCACTGTGCAACGGCCCGAGGAGGCTGATTATTCCCTCAAGGGGCACTGGGCTACCAGTCACGGTATCTGATCCATGCCTCTAGGCCGCTCTGGTTTCAAGGCTTTGGGACGACAAATACAGACATCGGCCCGGGCTGAGGGAGAGAAAGACGGCGCTGTTCGCATTCCCGAGATATGGAGCGGGTACCAAGTATCCACTCTATGCTGCACTGTAGCCGGCTGCGGAGTGCATGTCGAGTCCCGCTACGTACCTAGGTAGGTACCGTACCCGAAGCTCGGGGCCCAGTTTACTCGCACAGTGCACCATAGTCGTCACATTGTCAGCTCTCGGGGCTTTGTTCTCGGCCCTGTCTCAAGCCGCCAGCCAAGAGCGGTAGCGCAAGGCTATGGTGGAAGTCAGCCATGGCACTTGTCCATTTGCTACTGGTCCTGTCCGTTCAGGTGATTCGACGAAAAAGCACCTTGGCACCCTTAAGAGGCCCTGGAGGACCCAGCTCGTGTTTGGGGCACTTTTGTCACACCTCCTGTCCGATTACTGGGTACCGGCCAAAAGGCGGTCGTAACGCCACACCGTCAAGTACTGCACCAACTGACACTGTAGAACTGTCAGAGTCAAGGGTCAAGGCGTCCACGGCGCCGCCCCCAAGCTCGCGCTAATCCTCCCCGGGCCTGGCGCGCACAGTAATTCTCGGTATCCCATACCGTCTGCAAGCTGCTGCCTGCCTGGCTGGATGCGTCACCTGGCCACCGGAGCATTGTGTACGGAGTGTACTGTACGGAGTGCAGCTTACCTTATCTGGAGCTTCGCCTGTCCACGCACGCCATCCGTCTCGCCTCGCCCCCTCTCCCTCTCCCTCTCCCTCCCCTTTCCTTCATCACCCTGTCTCCTTCCTCTGCACCTCCTCCCCCTCGAACCCCCTCCATCGCCATCGTCTAACCCTTCTTTCCATCGCGTCAGAAGCCATCAGCAGCAGTCTCTTTTTTCCCTTCTCGTGTGTTCCCAACTCGCTACGTTTGCGTCGCAGGTAGACCAACGTCATCGCCATCATGAGGACCGCCTTCGCCGCCCTCCCCCTCGTGGCCGCCGCCCACGCTGCCATCCTCGACGCGGCCTCTGTCCACCACAAGTCGCACGCAGCACAATCCATTCATTCGGAGTCGATTCCCGACTCGTACATCATCAAATTCAAGGACCACGTCGATGACTCGGCTGCCGAGGACCATCACATTTGGGTCAAGGATGTCCACATGGGCGGCGGCCAGCAGCGTTTGGAGCTCCGAAAGCGAGGCGTCGACGACTCGGTAGCCGCCGACGTCTTCACTGGAACCAAGCACACCTATAAAATCGGCAACTCGTTCCGCGGCTACTCAGGCCACTTTCACCAGTCCACCATTGACGAGATCCAGAACCACCCTGATGTAGGCCTGTACCACTACCCCAGCATCATATGATGGCTAACGAGCTCCCAGGTCGAGTCTGTCGTGCGCGACACGCTGGTTCACATCATGCGTCCTCTGGAGTCTGAGCCTGCTCACACCCAAGATAAGTGCGACGGTGACACCGAGAAGCAAGCTCCTTGGGGTCTGGCCCGTATCTCCCACCGTGACAGGCTTAACTTTGGCTCCTTCAACAAGTACCTCTTCACTTCCGAGGGAGGCGAGGGCGTCGATGCCTATGTGATTGACACCGGCTGCAACACCGAGCACGTCGACTTCGAGGGTCGTGCCAAATGGGGCAAGACGATTCCCCAGGGTGATGAGGACGAGGACGGCAACGGCCACGGTACCCACTGCTCCGGCACCATCGCCGGGAAGAAGTATGGTGTCGCCAAGAAGGCAAACGTCTACGCGGTCAAGGTCCTCCGATCCAACGGCTCGGGCAGCATGTCAGACGTGGTCAAGGGCGTCGAGTTCGCCGCTACCCGTCACATTGAGCAGGTCAAGGATGCCAAGGACGGCAAGCGCAAGGGGTTCAAGGGCTCCGTTGCCAACATGTCCCTCGGCGGAGGCAAGACGACGGTTCTGGACATGGCCGTCAACGCTGCCGTCGATGCAGGACTTCACTTCGCCGTGGCCGCCGGCAACGACAACGCCGATGCCTGCAACTACTCGCCCGCTGCCGCCGAGAAGCCTCTGACGGTCGGCGCCAGTGCCCTCGACGACAGCCGCGCCTACTTCTCCAACTACGGCAAGTGTACCGACATTTTTGCCCCCGGCCTGAGCATCCTGTCTACCTGGATCGGCTCCAAGCACGCCGTCAACACCATTTCGGGCACTTCGATGGCCTCTCCCCACATTTGCGGCCTGCTCGCCTACTACCTCTCCCTCCAGCCCTCCCACGACTCCGAGTTCTCGGTGGGCGCCATGACCCCGAAGAAGCTCAAGGCCGACCTCGTCTCCATCGCCACGCGCGGCGCTCTGACGGAGATCCCCGAGGATACGCCCAACAAGCTGGCCTGGAACGGCGGTGGCTGCAGCAACTTTTCCAAGATTGTCGAGGCTGGCGGCTATGAGGCCAAGCATGCCCCGTCGGTTGTTGAGGAGCTCGAGGAGGCGGCCAAGGAGCAAGTCAAGCTCGTCTCTGACAAATTTGCCAAGGGCGCCAAGAAGTTTGGCACCAAGGCCGAGAAGTTTGCCAAGAAGATTCACGAGGCTGTCGAGGAGGAGATTGAGGAGTTTCTCTCTGAAATGTCCAACTAGAAGCGGATAGAATGAGCCTGAAGACGGAAGGGGCCTGCAGTGGCTGGCCCGATGGTGTACGTTTCCTTTCCTTTCTCATTTTCTGGCTATCGCGGAAGCGCATCTGGGGCGCAAAAGTCGTCCATGTACGAGCTACCTATTTCCCTCTCTATGTGTACTGGTTGCAGGGCTTGCGGCATGGCCTGGTATCGGGATGCACATCACGTGCACTGTCTGTCTACATGTTTAGGGTTCGGGTCAATACACTTTTCCTTGACTATCACGCCGTGTTTTTCATCTACATGTCCAAGGAGAGTCGATGGAGGCCTTTGCCGGACCCGGACCCACGGGCAGGAGGAGCTTTGGTGGTCTCTGGCATGGCTTCCTTCCTTGCACGGCAGTCGGCTCGGCTCTGGGTCGTCGGCTCCTGCAACGGTGGCTCAGGGGCAGCTCCTCCCGCTCGCCTCGGGCACACGTCGGCCTCAGCACTCGCTGCTCGCCTCATCCATTCTCGCCCTTCGTCCCGCCCATCAGCATATGCCGTTTTGCAGCTTCTAGCCGGGTGCGTCTTTTGATTAACTGCAACGCTAGCCAAGCACCATTTACAACGTCTCCAGATCATCGACCAGCCAGCCATCTGGCCTTGGCCATGCTACGCCGCAACAGCTCTCGCAACAAACAGAGGCGTCCTCTTGGCCGGAGCAAGTCGACCACGTCGATCCCCCGGAGCCCCGTCAGCCGCCTCGTCAGCATCGAGCCCGCCGTGGCAGAGCGAGACGCCCATATTGCCGCCACTCTGTCGTACCATCGGGCCCACGCGCACGAAAGGCACCGCTACGACATGCCGTCTACACCGCGTGGTCCTCGAACCTTTGCAGCGTCCACGGGCAACGGCAGTCCTGGCGGGCACGGCTTGACCCCTTCTTCGGACGCGATACACAGCCATCAAGACTCGTCGATAAACTGTTCTCTCGCGAGGCAGCAGAGCGTCCGGTTCGCCGGACCAAATGCCAGGCCCAGGCGAGCCCTGGCTCCCAGAGCAAACCAAGCATCTCTTTCGCCGGCCCACCAGAGACTTGATGCCGTGCGGCATTTGCCCGTCGGTCGCGGACAGCTCAGCTTTTCCGACAACGGAAGCTATCTAGGTGCCAGCGACGCCACCCGGAGCCTTGGTCGCGTCAGTCAGCTGTCAGGCAATGCTCTGTTCCTCGAGTCCAGCGCCGGCACGGCGCTCCCCTCGATTGGGCGTTTGCGAAAATCAAGGTCCACGCTCACCTACCCCGTTCCACCCTCGCCACAGTTCGAATTGAGCGAAGGCCCGGCAGAACGGCTCAGGGACTGGCTTTCCAACCCTCTACATGGCTCTGAAGACAAGGAAAATGAGCCGGCAGGGCTCTCTCGACCTTTTGCTCTCCGAGCTCCCAGATCCATGAGTTTCCTCCGAGGCCACGGACACTTGTCGAGGAGCAGCCGAAATGATACCAGCTTGTCTGGCCATGATGACGCCGCCGAGCAGCTACCTGATTTTGATGAGCCACGCCGTCTCCTGAGATCGCAGCCGTCAGCCTTCTTTCGGCCCAAGCACCGGCGTTGCGGGAGCTCGGCGGGGCTGCCCAAGTCCCTGCGCAACAGCAGCAACGGCAGCGCTGCGCTTTCGTCGGCCTTTTCTGGCAGCTCGATTCCCGTGTCGAAACGGACCGGGCTGCGAGTCAAGGCCCGGAAGGTCTCGAGCACGTTGAAAAGCAAGTTCAAGGGACTCTTCCGGCCCAGGAGCGCCAATGACGCCATCGGAGAGACATTGCGCATGCCCCCTTCGTCTGGCTCAGACAGCGGCGCCAGCTATCGTCGGATGGGCAACACCCCGGAGCCTGAGGAGGCATCCATGTCCCGAGTGCCGTCCCACGTACCGTCACTGCACGCAGTCCCGTCAAACCAGCAGCTGCGTTCGCGCCAGGGCAGCCTGGAGAGCCTCCGCATTGAGCAGAACCTCTCGTCCGACGACAAGTCTCGCGTTACGAGCTGGACCAACTCGAGCGCCCACACGGTGGCGAGTGTGACTTCCCATGCCGACTGGGAGCGCCAGCGTCTCTCCGTCATCAAGGAAAATGGCACGCACGTTTCGTCATGCGCCGCGGCTCGCCCGATGAATCCTCTCGTGGGATCGAAGCCTCCGCCGGGCTCGCTTACGCCTGGTACCGCGATCGACAGCCAGCGTGTATATGCAGCCTTAATGAAGAGGCTGGACGAAACGCGACAGCAAACGCACACGAAGCCAAGTGCGGTCACGCACGAGGCGTGCAACGTTGTGTCGTCGCGGGACAGCCTCGTCGAACAGGCCAGCTCTCAGGCGTGGCCGCCGCCAACGATTCGCTGTGTACAGGCAGAGGACGATGTCTTCCAAGACAAGGCGTTGGATTCGTCGTCGCAAGGGGCGGATGATGTGCCTGCGGAAGACGAGTTTCAAAGCACCAAACGATCCGGCTCGGCCCGCTCGGCGTCGTATCAGGCTTACCCCAAGCCGACGGCGGGCGATGGCAGAGGCCTGTCACCTCGAGGCAAGCCGAGACCTGGGGCCGATGCGCAGCGTTTGGCTCACAGGAGCTCGGCATTTTATGCCAGCCCAGCGAGCCACCTCTTTCGCACGGCAAGCCCGTATCGCCGGGCGCTCCGCGAGAGCATCAAGGAAGCTCAAGAGTCGGAGTGTGCTCACGCTCTCGACGCCAGATATCTCAGCACCCTTTCGGCGCTCAGCCTCCCAACGCGTCGCCCAAGCACGGCCGGATCGGATAGAGAAGCTCGTACGAGCGACGCCGGGAGCGTTTATTCGAGCACTGCTGAAGACGTCAAGGCCGGCCAGCCCGAAAACAATGCGGACGCTGGTGAAAGCACTTGCTCTTCACTCAACTACCATGGCCATGCCAACGAAACAAGTTTTGCTGACCCGCCGGCATACAATGCACCGGCCATGGCTCACGGCCGCAACATTTCGTCGGCGAGCTCGGTCGAGTGGAAGACGTGGCTTAGCGCCAACGTGTCCAAGCTGGAAACCCCTTCGACAACAATGAGTGCCGAAAGCCGGGGGGAATTATGTCATGGCTTGCCGCCGTCTTTTGGCCACGTCAGAGAGCAGGCCGAAATCGAATCGCCGGGCGACTTGCCGATGCCCGAGATGCTCAGGGCGGCGGGATTGGACAGGGCAACGCCGGCCAGGCAAATGTCGGAGAGCCCGTATCAGGCGTCGCCTAGTACTGGTTTAAGGAAGACGATGGATGCCAGACACGAGCCATCACCTACGGCTGACGAAAACTCCCCCCCTGCAGCGGCGCAGCGGCGCAGGAGTCATGGTCTGGGCGGGCCTCCTCTTATCCCCTCTCGAAGCAGCCTTCGCACCGCTCCGTCCCTGCCAGGCACTCAGTCCAGCGTGCACGCGGATGCAGAGCGACAAGATGCCAGGCTGCCGCGAATGCGCTCCCTCAACACCATGGCCACTCGAAGTTCCCCAGCGCGAGATGATCAGGTGCCAAAGCGACGGGGGCAGCCCTGCATGGGCTTTGGCGGTGTTTCCCCGGCGCAGTCGAGCCCTGGGCTGACGGCAGCTGTTGAGAAGCAGTTTGGCAAGCTCAGCACAGGTTCCCCAAGGAGGGGATATGACTGGAAGGCAGAGGGGGATGCCACGACCCCAAAGCGCAAGGCTGGCGGTAGAGTCGATGATGCAGGATCGGCGGGCTCGAGCTGGGACGCTCAGGTGATGGGAAGCAAGAGAATGGTGGACCTGTTTCTCAGCAGTCGCCGCAGGCGAATCGAGGGCAGTGCGATGGGGACTGAGAGCGAGAATACGTCGTTAGTGTTTTTATGAGCAGCCGAAAGGCCTGGCATCAAGGAATCGAGGATGTGGATCAGGAGAGACGAATCATGTACATGTGCTACGAAGGCGGGATGGGGGGGGGCAAAGATGCGGTGGATGGAGGCGGCGTCCTCGCCCGGCGTGGTCTGGTGACGAGATTACCGTGATGGCAGGGATCGTTCCGTAGGATGAAGGATACATAGTTACAGTTGCACTGACGGCACCAGACACCGCCGTGATGCGGGCTGCTCCTCTTGATGCCGGCAAAGAAGAGAGGATGGCGAGGTTTATGACTGAAGAACCGGTGGGTGGGATGGCTCGCGAGCAAGGCACCATGCGTCGCGATATCGACACGAGTGTGTCCAAGGGTAGAGGACCAGAAGTGCATACGAGACTCCAGGAATGGGGGGAGTCAATGCTTGTCATCTGCCGGGCTGACGTGAATCTCCCAGAGCCCGGCCCAGTCTTTGGGAAACGAGTCTTTGCGCTCCGGGCTGACCCACACACCGTACTCGTCGTGCGTCGGCTTCTCAGCCAGCAAGCCGGTGGCAGCGGCGCGGGAGCCAAGGGCATCGAGGAAGGCGGCGGACACATCGACGTACTGGCGCAGGGCGTCACGGGCGTCGAGGGTGGTGCGGGTAGCCCAGCGGAGGAGCAGGGGCTCGATCAGCGGGGCGTCGGAGACGCTGGGGTGCGCGACGCCGAGGCTGGTGAGGAACCAGGCAGCGCCCCGGCCGCCGGGAAGTACGTCGCGGGTGCGGGCGAGGACGGCGCGGGCCAGGTCGCGGACCGTGGCAAAGTGCGGGCGGCCGTGGAAGAGGCTGTGGGCGCGGGACCAGGCGTCGGAGTGGATGATGAGCAGGGGTGCCGAGACGTTGTTGTTGAGCGGGCCGCTCGACTTGCCCGGGTCGAGGACTATGCCGCCGCTCGGGGCGAGGTTTGCGTCGTGTCGGCCCAGGGCCTGCAAGGCGCCGGTTGCGCCGTACGAGTGGCCGGCGATGACGAGGTGGCCGAGGTCCAGCCGGGCCTTCCACAGGGGCAGCGACGAGCCCTCTGCGCGCGAGTTGGCGGCGTGGATGCGCGCGCCGTGGCCGTCGTCGAGCCTGCGCAGAAGGGCGACGGCCTCTGCGATTTCGGCGGTGCGGAAGGCGAGCTGGTGTTTCTTGAAGGCGGCGAGCTCGTCGTCGGCCGAGGCGGACGGGTTGGCGGTGACGACGTCGGCGACGCTAAAGTGGACGAGGCGGCGGTCGGGCTTTTGGCCGCCGGGTTTGATGAGGCTGCCTGGACAGCTGCCGTCGCGGTGCTCGAGGGCGGCGACGACGTAGCCCCTGCTTGCGAGCTGGGCGAGGTAGTGCGTGTAGTCTGTGCGCGAGCTGGCCATGCCATGCGAGAAGACGACGACGGGGAGCCTGTCGGTCCCATTACCACCACTCTCATCAGGCAGCTGCAGCAGGGGGCCGTCGACGTCGGCGGGGATGCGCAGGGAGCCGGCGACGGCCCACAGCACGACGGTCAAGAGGGCGCGAAAGGGCGCATAGTCGAAATGTGCGAGCCGCGCGTAGCCGGCGGCGGTGAGGCCGATGGGGCGGTCGAGCCAGAAATGCTGCCGCCGCCGCCGGGAGGAGCGCTTCGTCGACGCGGCGGCGACGGGGTAGTAGAGCGTCACGAGGACCGTCTCGAGCTCAAAGGCGCGACGGGCCGGGTCGAGGCGGAAGCGCACGTCTGCGCCTGCGTCGGTGACGGTGCGCGGCGCCGACGACGCGGGGACTTCGACGTCGATGGCGCCGACGCGGTGGGGGCCTGAGTACGAGGCTGGGAGCCGGGTGGCGAGCAGGGGCTGGCCGCGCAAGAGGCGGACGAGGGCGTATAGAAAGAAGATGACCGGGGGGAGGAGGAGGAGACGGCGTCGGGAGAAGTAGCGGCGGCGGCGGCGATGATGGTGATGGGGCCGCGGGGCGAGGCATAGGGCCCTCAGGGCGGAGGCAACGCGGTGCGGGAGGGTGCGGCGCGGCTGGAGCCATCTCGGCCTTGCCTGTGGACGGGAGGTGGCCGTGGCGAGGGGCGAGTCGGGGGCATAGGCGTCGTCGCCGTCGAGGGATGAGTCGGAGTGGGCGTCGAGGGAGTCGAGTTCGAGGTCCGAGTCTGGCGACATTTCTTGTGACTCTTCTTGTGATTCTTATTGTGACTCTTGCTGATGAAATCCAACTCCGTCATGCGTGTCCCGGGGGAAGTGTGCCCTCGCTGGTGATGTGAGTTGAGTGGTCAAGGATGGAGGTCGAGCGGTGACGCGCAGCGGCGCTTGGTGATGACGATGACTGTGGGGCTGGCACCGCTAGACAAAGGCCGTCCATATTCTTGCCTACGAATGCGAATAGAATCCCGTCTTGCAGTCATCCTTAGCGGCGGCCTGGCGTACAATCCCCCCAAGGCCATCCAACAAGTAGTCACAGTCCGCCGATGACGAGGACGGGGCCCGTCATGAATCATTCGCCACCGGGGCCTCCTTTACTGCCGCGACCTACCCTGCGGCTGCGGTGATGAATCACAGCAACACCATCCGCTCTGCTTGACCGAACGGTGAGAACCATCGATCACATCATGATCAATCTACAGCTAAGTGGTTGAGAAGCCTGGCCGCGGCTTGGGCAGTAGGCCGTCGTCCCGAGAGAGCACCAAGACGCGTGACGGGCACGTCGACGACGACGCCAGAATCTCCTCGTCACTCGGGCTGCACCGCATCCTCCGAGACCGCCTCGAGCCCATTCACCGGCCACTGCGCACCGCTCCACCAAACACCCGTCGCCAGCCTTGGTGTCACCTCGCACGCACCCTGGACCCCTTCCGAACGGTCTCGCACCACCGCAGAGCCTCGGGTCTCGAGGTCGCATATAAACCTCCCCACGATGCTCGTCCCACGCGTCTGTCCGCACCCAGGCCGCTTACCTCGTTCTGTTCCCTCCAAGATCTTGCCGTAAAGGCCCGCTCATCCATCCGTGCTAACTTGTTCGACTCGTCCACACCGCTCCCCCGCGGAAAAGCATCATGAGTGCCAGTCAGGGCGACAAAGATCCCCGCGCCGACTGGGCGAAAAACATCCGCCGAGAACCCGAGTGGAAATGGTGTCCCAAGTTCGCCCACGGATGGTACGACTTCGTCTACTACGACGAATGCCCCAAGTGCAATTCAACCGAGCCGCCCATGAAGAACAAGAAAAAGGCCAGTGCCCCAGTAGCCACCAACTGGCACTGGTGTCCCACTGAGGACCACGGATGGTACGAGGGCATCACAGGACGCGGCTTCTACAGGGTGTGCGAAAAGTGCCTCGCCGAGTTGACGGCTAGTGGCTCTGGAGGAAACACGGCCTCGTAGACCTCGAGGCTGCAACGGGTGAGTCAACAAGCCAACGCCTGCCGCCTTCAACCTATCGAGACATGTGAAGCCTGACGGATACAAGACACGGCACTGGGCCGGGCCTCCTGTCAACCCTCGCCAACAGATGCATCCTGCAGGGACGCAAATGTCCATGTGCGGCCAGAGTCTTGTATGCATGCCCTTGCATGCCCGCATGTCTGTATGCACCGGACCTTGGACTGCCATCCCTCCCACTTATCACGGACAGGTCGAGTGGGTCGTGGGCGATTTAGAGGCCGGCATGGCGCTTTGCAAATCAAGGGGCAAACGGGGACAATGGAAAACGCAGACAAGATGGACAGCCGGCGCGGCGATGGATCTGGAGAGGACGTCTCTCTCCCCGGCTTGACTGTAGACGTTCATTGCAAGGTTTCCTTTGATTCTCTCATCACTGGGCGAGACCAGTTTCCCCAATCGCCTGTGCCGACGTGGCGCCTCTGTGCAAGCTATTGCGAGTCAGCCTTTCCCGATACGGGTAGCCAGGCGGCCCGCTCGTCATGGCGCCGTCCTCAGCGCCGCCGACGAGGCGCTTTGGAGTGAGACCTCGCCCGCGCAACGAACCTTGCCTTGGTGGGAGCGCCCCCTCGCATTACCTGTCGACACGTGAATGTCTTGAGAAGGCGGGGTCTCCCGTTCTCGACTCGACGGCAGTGCCCGAGATGATGAGAACGCATCGCTACAGTACTTGCTGTTGTCGACGGCGCGTCGCGATGCGGCAACGACGGTGCGATCCATGTAGCTGCATGCATGAAATAGGCGCGACAGAGATGCGTAGATGGGGGTTTGGCGTCATATGACATGCAACGGACGACTCGGTCCAAGAACATCCGGCTCTGCATTCATCGTGCAGCCAGGAAGCATCCATGTGCAGCCCTCGTTCGCCGTGCGCCAAGTAAGTGCTCATCATGGAACAGCCAGGGGCACCGTACCGTGCAGCGGGTGTTCTGCCACGCCGTGCGACACGAGGTGCAACGTCAAAAAAAGTCTCGTGGGCCGGGGCTTTGGCGATTGGCGGCTTCGTCGGGGTCTTGTCTCGACGAGGGCTGTCTGAGCTTGCAAGCAAGCCTCTCGCCTCCATTGCCGATTCATGTCTCGCCCGTGATCCAGGGGTGCGGGAGAATGCACCAAGGCGTCGGCACGGCGACTCTGGCGACGATAGGTAGAAGACGAGGCGCTATCACAGCCCAACGGGAGACGTTTGTTGAAATTTGAGACGACACCCTGACGAGAAGCCACAGGGGCGGCGAGGGCTGCTGAGTGGATAGACGACGGAGGCATGACGTCCTGGTGCAGCAGACAGTGCGCGCGAGGCCTTGGTCGTGGCGGATTGCTTGACGCTGAAGAACGAAGTGCTACTGGCGGTTGGCACAAGGCCTGGAGGCAGTGAAAGGGGCTTCCCGTCGTTGGGGGGGGCTCTTGGGGCCACGCCACCAAGACTCTCCGTACAGTGCCGGCTACTGTACCCGAGCACCGAGCTATTCCTGTGGGAGTACTCCGTACCCCGTTGGGAGATGGAATGAGCGAGGTAGCGCACAGTGCGCCAATCTCCGCCCGTTTAATTGCACGCGGGGAACGAGTCCGACCAGGCAGGTGCGGTGGCACTCTCGAGCACACGTCCTGTGTCCTGTCACGAGAGGTGAGGCTCAGGGTCGCAGTGGCGCCGGGGTCCGGGCCTGCAGCCAGTCGGGAGGATGATGGCTTGGACGTTGGATGGTTGGGTGCCCAAGAATGAACGGAAGAGACATTCGGGTCCAGATGGGACGTGATTTTGCTGTACTGTACTCCGTACCGTACACTGTACCGCACCTCACAGTACAAATGGAGTGACATCAGGCAAGACATTGCAAACAGGCTAAAACGCGGAACGCTTCCTCCGACAGCGGGTACTGTGCCCGCGGTCCAGAGTATTAGCTGCTGTACTGCGAGCTCGTCGCCTAGGGAGCCCCGAGAGAAAAGCGACCCGGGGCAAAGTCCTCGCATACCACCCGACCAGTACCTGGAACAAGTCACGGATGTGCTGACAAGAGATGGACGAGGCCTGAACAAACGTCAGGACACAGTGTGCGCTCGGCAAGCCGGCGCTTCTGCAGCAACCAACCACAGCCGATGTCTACTTGGGGGCTAGTGCCGTGCGACCAAGTACTCTGGAGCTCATGTTTGTACTGCAGCACCTAAATTACAGTGAGTGCTGTGCATACTGCACAGCGCCTGGACGTCTCAGGCACATCGGCAATCTAATTACTACTCTTCCAGGCATCCGTGCTGGAGCGAGGGCATCTAGGCAGGCGACAGTAATGGGGAAAGGGGCGGCAAAGATGGAGGTACTGTACAAGGTGTTTCTCACATGGAACAGAGCACGCTGAGGCCACTGTAGGTGTCTGCAAGATACCACAGTACAGTGGGCACCTCAGGCATGCGCTGCGGCTGACCATCACCACCACCACCACCCGCTAGTACAGTAGGCACCCAGGCTGAATGCCAAATACGGGGGATAAATATAAAATTTAGTTACAGTACGATGTCCCACGTAAGAGAGGGAAAAAAGCTTGCCCTGGGCACTGGCTGCTGGCCACCGCAGTCTCAGTACAGGAGGCACTGTAACTTATGTACTCTCCTTTCCACTGGCTCCACTCCACCTCCCTCCCACCCTGGAAATTTCTCCTCCCCACCCCCCCGTTCTCGACAACCACGATCCCGCCTCGGTCCTTGGATTTTCTCCTCGCCCAAATTCCTCTCCCTCACTCTCTCGCACCTCCAGTGGGTTTGCGCAGCTCCCCGTTTTTTGTTTTCCTTCGACTGACTCCTCGCTCGCCCTCCGATACCCTCGTGTGTGTTTGCCCGCCGCTCTCTTTCCTATCTTTGCGCGGCACCGGCGTTTCGCTTCGCATTTGATTCCCATTGTCTTTTTTTTTCTCCACACGGCACACGGCGCTCGCCCACCTCGCCTTGCCTCTCACGCCGGCTCGTCCGCCACGCAGTGCGCCTTGTTGCAGGTAAACGAAAGGTCAGTTCTCTTGCTCTCTGACGATGTTCATCCTCCCGGCCGCCACCCGACAATCTCCCCGTCGTCTCTCACGCACCTGTCACGCAACTCGATGTGACGTTTCATTTGCCCTCGTTAAAGATGGCCATGGTGCATCTTCGCCGTCTTGGCTCGACCGCCATCGTTATGCACTCCTCCCCTGTCGACCGCTGCCCCGTCCTCCCTCTCAATTCTTCCGATGCTGACTTCGGCCTCCACTAGCCACCTTTACTGCTTTCCTCGTGCCCATCATTGCGCCTCCCGTCGAGCGGCCCTCGAGAACCATGTCCTACTACGACAACCCTCAGTGGTCTGGCCCGGCCCAGAATAATTGGGAGCACCAGGGTGCCGCTGCCCCTGCTCGCACCGGTATTTGCGCCTTGTCGATGCTTGCTCTCGGTCTCTCGACTGACCCAGGCCCTTCTTAGCTGGTGCCAGCGGACCCCAGCCCCAAGACGATTACGCCTTCTCGTATCAATTTGACGGTACGTACGTCCCAACATGCTCAGGCCCGGCATGACGAAACACTCTTACTACAAACGCCCCAACATCAATCACCTCGCTTCACCCGGAGAGGGCGCGCACGTCGCCACTGCGACTCCTCTTCTGTCCGCAACGCAGGCTGACATTTCCTCTTGCAGAGGTTGATCGCGCCTACGAGAACCTGCAAAAGTCGGGCAAGGGCTATGGAATGGGCGGACGCCGTGAGTCACCAAAGGCCGCCTGTTCACCTACCGCGTCGACTTGGACTCGGAGCGCAATTGCTGACGAGTCGAACCCGATTCGCTTCCGACCAGACTCTCGAGCCTCTCACGGTGGCGGCCCCCGCTCTCACGCCATCAACAACTTCGACGACGTCCGCGGCGCCCAGGGACCGAACCTCCACAACTTTTACGCCTCCCAGCGCCATCAGCCTTCGCGGGGCACCAACGAGGCAGAGCAGTTCATGCAGACCAAGAGAAGGATGGCGGCCCAGCGGGAACGAGAGCTGCGTAACCGACACACGGAGCAGCAATACCAACGAAGTAGGCCACCCTCTGCAGTATAGCACCTCGTGTGGCGAACAAGGATACCCCAAATAGAAAACAAAGACAAGAACTGGCCGGTCGTGGGCGCGGTCAAAGGCGACGAGCTGTCTGCCGCCTTCACTTCACGTTGTCCATGCAGACCTGTGTTGGCCTCGGAGCTGCTTGGTGCAGTGCAGCTGCATGCGTGTGCGCCGCTGGACATGATGAGCATGAGCTAACCCTTCTCTCCTGCGTAGATGACTTGGCTGAGGCGCCCCAGCACGGCAACAAGCACATGTCTGAGGAGGAGACGCGCGAGCTCATCGCCCGTCAGCGCAGCGCCCTCTACGGAGAAGGGCCCTTTGCCGACAAGAGTAGCTACGTGGACGAGTCGGGCAACATCCGATCCGGCGCTCCCCGCCCCAGCGGCCCCTCGAGCATCCGCGGCCCCTCGCCTCTGACCTTTGACGGCGTTGGTCGAACCCCCTCGGTTGCGGATGCCGGAACACCCGCCTCTGCCAGTGACCACAACAACGCCCCGGCCATCCCCAGCCCGCGCCCGCAAAGCACGACCAGCCCTCAGACTGCCGGGCCCACCAACAAGGTTTTCGACAACGCCATGGGCCTGCAGAGCCGCACGAGCACCTCGAGCCCAACTGGTGCATCTCCTCCTCGAGACCTGGCCCCGGGGTCCAAGCCTGGCCCGTCCGGGGCAACGGTCGCGCCAATCGGCACCCGCCCCTCCGGCACGCCGTCGACAGCTACATCCGGGAAGCGCTCCACCACGCCCCTTGCTTCGCCCGGCGGCTGGGGACGCGGCAACGGTGTCTGGGGCCAGTCCTCTGGCCTCGGCGCCCAAGCCAGCGTGTGGGGGTAACGCCATGGAGCCGCCGCACCAGGCGAGTGGCAGAGGGGATGCTAAGAGTGACGTTCTGCATTCGGAACGGCGCTAGGAATCCTAGTGTCGACGACATGGGGTGTACGATTGTGACGATCGACACGGGATTGAATGCTGTCCACAAATTCTTTCCCTCCTCTCCCCCCCCCGGCTGTTTCTCATTTATTTGGAGGGTTGATGTTTTTTCTGATGCGTCTTGCCTGCAACGACGCTTTTGCGGCATTTTCGTGCGACTGCGAGGAAGGAAATTGCGAAAAGTAAGGGGTCAAGGGAAGGACCGCTTTCTACACACCAGAACTCGGAATCGGCTGGGATATTGTTGGGCACAGGCAAAACGATGCACGCGGGCAGTCTTTCCTGCTCCGGCACGGTGTTGACAGGGACCGGCGTTGCCTCTTTGCCACGTCACGGCGCATGTCATTGTTCGGGCGTCGAATTGCATATGAGAACGGATGGGGTGTTGAGAATGCGCGGGGCGCGGGAGAAGCGACCCTCTGGCAACGGGCGCCAGGCGGCGATGAGCCCAGCGAGGACGGAAGCTGGCAGGAGCATGGGAGTTCAGATTGGGACGACCGACACTACACCAGGCAGCATTTCTGGGAGTGATGCATCGCGCACAGGGACGGGCTTGGGCTATTTATGACGGCGAAACCGTTGGGGAACCGGCGACTTGATTTCAGGGCGGAGTACGAAGTGCTTCGGAGCAAGGGTTCATCACACCAAAGCAGCGGGAAAACAGACCACCAAAAAAAGGAACACAAATGAGGGCTACGGGGTTTGACTTTGCTTGCACGCTTCTATTGCCGAGGCGAAGCGGTAGGGGAGTCTGGTCTTGGGAGCCTTTTTCTTAATGCCGTCGTCTTTCGGATCGCTGGAGTTACTTTGATCTTTTGGTGGAGGCAATCAAGTAGGGAGCACGGATAATGAGATTGGCTTGCGAAGGACTGGCTGCGTGTCGGTGATGGCGTCGTCGTAAGCACATGACGCGAACTGACAGATGCGGCGAGCGAATCTATGGTATCTATCATTTGGCCAAGTACGCTCGTGTATCGAATTAATGTACAGGCGCTTGTAGGCAGATCCGCCAGGTGCCGACTTCTGGCCAGATGTAGGGGGAGACACACGACCGGACGGACGTCACGTCACATGCACAGCAGTCGAGCCGCCTCGTCAAGATCCATGGCATCGTCGGCCCTCTGCGCCTTGCCGCCCCAAACGACGGTGCCCCGACCGTCGACGGCAAACGCGCCGGCCTCCTGCCACTTGTTACCGAGGACGTTGGAAGCGTCGTCGTCGTCCCCATCTCCTCCGCCGCCCGCCGCCCCCGGCACAGCCCTCGTGGGCCCGCGATCGCTCTGGACGGTGCCGCGGCGCTGGACGGCCTCTGCCACCTTTTCGCCGAGCCAGCCCTTTTCACGCCAGCCCTGGACCTGGGTGGTGGGGTTGAAGAGATACCAGACGCCGCCGGTGCCGAGCCCCCACGCGGCGTAGACGGCGCGGTCCTCGTCGATGACGACGCGGACGTTCCAGGCGCCGCCGAGCATGTCGATCCACTTGCGGGTGGCTTGCGGGGAGGAGTGGGAGACGGCGATGCAGGTCATGGTGGAGGAGTGGCGGTTTGCGAGGGTGCGGAGGTTGAGGAAGGTTTTTTGGGCGACTGCATGGTGTGTCAGTTGGTGTGAGAGGCAAAAACAGGAGGAGACGAGAGGGAACGGAGAAGAGGGCCAGATATGGGTCGAGAGAGTGAGATGCTTACAAGCACAACCGACACACCGCAGGAAGACGACGAGGACTCGGCGGCCCCCGCCAAACTCGAGCTGGCGGTCGCGGTCGCGCGGAGCCACGTCGCCAATCTGCGGCACGCGCGCAACAGCAACGGGGGGGGGCGGAGGCGCAAGCCAGGGGTGGACTGTCAGCGGCAGCGACTTGAGGGACATCCAGCTCGTCCAGCCAGCGCCGGAGTCGCTGTCGTCGACAGCGCCGTCGCCAGCAGCGGCGCCATCAGTGCGGCGCTTGGTAAGCTTTGCGGGCTGGCGGGTGTCTGCAGAAGGGCCGGTCAGGGAGGAGAAGTCGAGGGCGTTGCTGGAGAGGCCGACTTTTTTGAGGGCTATTTTGGTGGTTATGCTGGAGAACATGGTGGTGGTTGGGTGGAGATCCCGGGACGAGGGAGACGCATAATCAAAAAGGGAAAGGAGGAGAAGAAGGAAGAAAGAAATGAAAGCCGGCGTGGGGTGGCGGCGGCGGCGGCGGCGGCGAGAGAGGCCTGAGACGGGGGCTGTTAGAGCCCCTGAACGCTCTTGGACCCTTGGGGGTGCGTCGCGTTGGGCTTCCGGTTTGAAAGGGGGGTTTGTTTGGGACGAGGCTGAGAGTTGAGGTCAGAGGAGGGGCGGCAAAATATGGGGCTCAGAAGGGGCTTCCGATTGGTGTGGGAGGAACTTGGTGTCAGCCTTGCGGCTCCCGAAGATGGCCCGACGACGACCTCTCACATTGAATCATCACTCTTTTACCAACTGAGCTGGAAGACTTCCTCACCCACGCTCGCATCAGTACCGTCACGAACCTGCGGGCCCAAACCAACTTGCGGAGCCACGGGAGAGCTCGAAAGCCTGCGCAGAGATAAAAGGCATCGTGTGCGAGGTCCTGTCGAGACTTGGTGTTTTCGAAGGGAGAGCCTTTGCGGCAGACAGCGATACCCTCCCCAAACGTCCAGGGATACGCTACCTCTCCAAGTGGCTGTGCTTCCTACGACCAAGATATACATTCTTCCCTCCAGTCAGCCGGGATCGGCGCCTCCATGGCCTCTCCTTCTCCCGTCAACTTTGATCGGGCTAGCGGAACATGCAGCCGGGAAGCTTCGTGCGCGGAATGCTCGCCGGCTAGCCCCTTTTGCGAGACATTCTCCTCATGCGGCAAAGGGGACGGCATGATCGAACGGCTGGCCTTGAGTCTTGTGATGCCGACTAGCAGAGTCTGGTCGTCCGCTGGGTATAACGATGCTTTGCGAGTGCATTTCGCGATTCGGGTACAGCATCCTCGCCATCGGGAGACCAGGCGAGATGAAAGCTTGATTCAGCTGGGCATTTGCTTCTTCGGCCTTGACGACGACTCGCCGGAGAGTCTTCTCCTATAAACTCAACCATGGGCGGCGCGAGAAGCTACTGAGCTGCTATTTGCCACAATGAATGCTAGCCTTTGCCTCTGCTGGAAATTACGAGAACAAGATGGCTCATGCGTGCTTACTGGGATGCATGCCTGGCGTTGAGATTGAGCAACCAACTTATAAAGGCGCCGAGGCAGAGAAAGCTCGCTCTCGGGGTGGCAACTCATCGAGGGTCCAGCCCTTTCGGAGATGGCCAAACGTCTTTATCCAACCCTCGATTCGCTCGTTGCATGCGACCTGAGCAACTCCAAGCTGAAAGTAGGCCTTGGCCTTCTGTCCCTGCCCTGTTCTGCCTTTTCTCATATTCCACCCCCGGTCCATCCACGTCAGCCAGCTACGGGCACATTAACGACGACGGGCATCGCGGGCGATCCGCGTCTGGCAACATGCACGCCTTCAGATATGCAATGGCGACGATTTCGCTGCTGTACGTAGCCGCCCACGGCCGTCCAACGCGTCAGTTCGACCAGACGGGCTCGACCTGGTACGAGGCCGTTCAAGAAATCATCCAAAGCAAATGCGGCGTCGAATTTGAAGACTACAAACACGGACACTCGCCCAACGTGACGCAGAAGACCCGTGTCAGCGTCCTCATCAACTGCATCCTCACTCAAATGAGCGACTTCTACAAGGTCAACATGGCGGCCAGCTCCATCGTGCTCGGCTCGGCACCCATGATCCTCCAGTCGCTGGGGAGCACGACGGCCGAGACAGCCTTACTCGGCCTCCGGAGGCCCATCTTGTCCTTTTTGCTGGCCACCGGGAGCCCCGCGGTGACGACGGTCAAGGGGAGCGAGTTCATCGAGATGCTGGCGCGCTTCGTCCGCGGGGGCGAGACGCGCAACCTGGGCATGCCCGGCTTCCACTGGAGCGGGATTCACATGGGACTGCGGCCCGTCGTCAGCCTTTCCGAGTACCTCCTTGTCGGGGTGGCGGCCACCAACGTCGTGCTGGAGGCGCATCGGCTCGGCACCCGCGCCATCGTCGTCTTCGTGCCCACGACGACCTGGCTCCCCTCGCTGTGGACGCTCATTGCTGTCCTCATCCACGGCGGCGGCACCATAGCGCTGCACCTCCGGGTCAGGGTGTACAAGCCACCACCACCGCCGGGCCCGGCCGCGGGGGGCTTCGCGTCGTGGGTGCCCGACGAGCTAATCCCGTCGGCCTTCCAGCGGCCGAGCCGCATGGCGTGGCGGCGGGAGCACGTGGCCTACTACGCGCTGAGCTGGTTCCTGAGCATCTGCACGGTGGCGCACGTCGTCTTCGGCACGCTCATCTTCTCGAGCCTGCTCTTCTTCAGCGTCCGCGACGCGACAAAGGTGGTGGCGCGGTACGCGGCCAGCGCCATCATATGCAGGGCCGTGGTGCGCTTCGAGCTGGCGGGGCTGACCGAGGCGACGACGTACGGCGACGACGGGCCTCCGCCGGAGAGCACAGAAGCTCTGGACGAGGAGGTGACGATGTCGTTGGACGAGGCCAAAGACAGTAGAGGCAATGGGTAACCGGCGACGGTGCCGGGCCAATGGGGTCCACGGAGGATGGACGCCGATAAGTGGATACAACTTTCCTTGTCAATTGGGCTTGTTTCTCAAACACGTACTTTGCATGGGCTCGTTGGTTACGAGGCCGATAGAGATTGTACCGGTACAGACTTGGAAGCGGGCTGTATAGACTACCAGGCCACGGGCGTTGGAGGGTCACATTTAGGGCTTCAGGAAACAAGGCAAAGTGATTGCAAGTTCATCACGGTACACATTTTTCTTTCTTTTTTATGAGTGGATGTCTGTGCGTTTGCTAGGCAAGTCCTGACCCGGCGTCGAGGGGGCATATAGCAGCCGAGTTGGTGGGAGCGAGCCATTGGCTCCAATACTGGATTCGACTGTTGCTCACAGGCGGAACGGAACTGTTGTCGACACCACAAAACACACGCCAAGTATCCGGATTACGGGACTGTACGGCCGTCCTGTACGAAAATGTGCCAAGTAACGATGGTCGTTAGTTGGACGACGGGGTGCGAGTGGCGCTTGATCGGACGACTCAGGCTGCGAGACGAGCGAGACGCGACGACGCTATTGAATCACTCGGTCAGCATAGGCGCAGCCAGTGATCCAGCCGGGGAGTCATCACGCAGCCTCACGGAGGATGGCGGGGGCAAAGGAAGCGTCAGCAGCAGGCACAGGAGTGATATTCTTACATACGCGACTGACGGAACCGGGGGTTGGACGTCGGAGATGGAATCAAGGGCGTCTCTCTTTGGCCCAACTGAACTTGTACGCCTCGATGGGGATCAAGCGGCATTGGATGGTTTTGATTCTTATAGGCCATGTTTCCTTTTGGGGACGAGAACGACGTCGCGAGATGGCTAACAGGAACCTGGCCAGGCGTGGCGCCAGGAGCCCTCAGCCCGCCGCTAAGGATGCCGGCTTCTGCTCTCGGCCCCTCGCAGCGAGGTGCCGCGATTTATGTTGGTATGTAATTGCGGAACAGCGATATAATAATAGACTAGACGGCCGTCGTCGGGGCTGGGCTTGGCTTTCAATAGAGGGATGGATTGGATGGATGGGACGGATGGATTGGATGGATGCATAACTTAATCCGGGGCCCTTTGTTAGCCCTGCGCATGCACAGCACGGCACAGTACTTTGTCCGACGTGAGTCGCGTGGACAAGAGCCTGTTGTTGGTGGAAGACGGCCGTGTCTATCCGTGCCGTGCTGGGACATGCATGACTATGTGGGTTGTGGTCAGGTCATCCAGGTAAATATCCGTAATTACGGATACTCGGTACAAGGCATAACGTGAGAAGCTCCATGTGCTGTATGTAAACCGACAGCTACGTCAGGTTTATTCTTTATCCTCGCGCGTCCTGGCTGTTGCTCGCTGCTCCGTGTGGATCGGCACTGGAGCGGGCAAGATGAGGGGATGCTCCACGATCTGCCCCATGCAGTCCATCTTCTAGATAGATGTACGGATACATCCCACCTGCACTGCCTACACTTGCCTACACTGAAATTCTTGAATGGACACTGCAGTACCCAAGGGGTGAAGAGGCGGCCGGCAGTCGGCACGGGAAGAGTGTCCATCTACGCAACTGATTCACAAGACGGAAAAGGACATGCTCAACTCACCCCACGCAAGGACCGAGGGCTCAAAACCTGGGACGACGGGAATATATTACTGCTATTCACTGTACATGCTAATCCGTACTCCGTGATACAAGGCAAATAAGGGGCGCGGCTCGGATGCGACAGCGGCAGGGACCGGGGGTCGAGACGAAGTACATGCCGTGACTGAGAACAGAGGAGAGGGAAAAGCAACGCGAATGGGCCAATGTGCGAGGACCAGGCAGGCAGTGTGTTCCACGACGCGCCCATGTACCGGCATATCCCAGCCGCCGGTCCAGCGGGCATGCATGAGGCTGAAGGCTAGATGGGATGAAACGGCCATCTATCTGCGGTTGATGAAAACAGCCAACGCCTCTCGACTCGTCGGCGGCGAGACGACGGAGGGTTTCACCAGCGCTTTCCTGACTTGACTAAAAAAAGACCAGTCACCGACTGGAATATGACGTCGAGGTCCGGGGGGAGGGGGCAAAACAAGGACCCCCTTTTCGTCACGGTGAACCAAAGGTCGGCAGCCTCGCGCGCCAGACGGGCCAAGATGGCGCATAAGGCGCGTGTCCTTTCATGTCCTTTCATATCCTTTTTCATGTCCTTTCATGTCCTTTCATTATCCTCGGCGACGGGCCGGGGGGCCTTTTGTGGTGGGCGTTCGGAACGGTGGAAAGACAGCGTGGGCATGCGTGGCGGCACGAGTCAATCGTCTTTATTTGTGCCAGCAGACTAAGGAAGGTGTGCATGGAAGCTGGAAGACTGAACTCCGTACTCTGTATGCGCAAGCTTGTCATTAGTTAGACTCGTTACCCAATTAGTACTCACGGCAAAGCGAAGAAATGGGGCATTTCTTGAAGAATGAAAAGGGGGGGGGGATTTGCCAGCCAATTTCCATAGCGCCCTGTACCTGTACCTGCTTGCTCAGTACTAGCCTACCCACCTGAGGTACCAGTTTGCACCCGCCGAGGCTAGTGCCAGCACAGTTCGTAGGTACCTGAACACAGTGCCGCGGCGGAGAAACAGCGAGGCACTCGGCTTTTACCAAGTACGGCCGCCGACTCAGGAGACCTCCTTGTCCAGTACCTGCCATGTACCTCGGAGTCCCCTTGCTGGGGTCCGAGTAGTGCAATGCTGAGCCCAAGAGTACTTGGGAGATACTCCGCCCGTGCGGTGCGCAAGAAATGCCCCCACGTCATTCACCGCATTCCTGCCACGGGCAAGCACGCATTGCGCAACCGACGACTCTCGCTGCCGACTCTCGCTGCGCTTCGTCAGTCAGTGCCTTACTCATTCATTCATGACCAGCAGTGTGTTTCTCAGTCAGGGCCAGCGGGTCCCGGCGCTGCGGTTCGTCCATCCCTTAGCGGCGGCTGCATCACGTAGTGTACAGTACCTACCCACTCGCCAGGGCCAGGTACCGTAAGGTATTCCTGGCAGGCAGGCAGGTAGGCAGGTACCTTAGGTAGGTAGGTAGGCAGGGACGCAGCAGTCCAGCGAACTACCTAACGTCCAGTGCAGCCACGGCCGCGCCAACTTTGAGGGACTCTCGCCTTCGATAGTCGCGGACAACAAGACACCTGCCGTTGGCGAGCGGAGGGCGTCGAGCCCGTGACACTTCAGTGCTAGCTCAATGCGAGCATTCGGCTCTCTCCCAGCCATCGTCACGTGTCTAAAACCGAAGCAAGTCCTGTCCTTGCCTTGCCCAGGGGGGGGGGCTAAGCGGCCTGTTGCTTGAGACCTCCCAATACGGATACTGTACCGTGAGTACTTGACTCGACGCAAGGTGGTAGGTAGGTACCCGCCTACAAGTATCCGTACTGTACCTTAGCCTTTGACCCCTATTCCCCTATTGCTCGGGGACGGGCGAGCTGAGGCTCTTGTCGCTCTTGTTGAGCGCCGCCGGCACTCTGCGACGGCACGGACAATCGATAAGAGCCCGTCCTGCTTGCTGGGACGGGAGACGAGTGCAGGCTTGGCAGGTACAGGCCTGCTCTGTAACTTATCGCCACGACCCCTTTCAGCAGGCATCACGAGCCGCTGCCTGCTTTCCCCTACATACATACTTAACCTACCTCCTTAACTACCTACCGTAGGCGTGTAGAGTCCGCATGGCGCCACTTGCCGGCGGCTGGACGGCGCGGCCGATATCCGAAGCCCAAGGCACGGAGAACAAAGGCAGCATTACGCGCCCAACTCAACCGCCTCAAAGCACAGAAAACTATTAGCCACCACGACCTAGTACTACGTACTAGGTAATTAGGGTGTAGGTACCCGCACGCTCGTGGGATACATAGCGCGCTGCGTCGAGGGCGTAGGTATACAGTGCCCGGCGCCCTGTTTGCCGTCCGGTGTTCCGGCCACCCGCCAAAGACTGTGCTGTAGTGGATAGACGCCCGCGCGATGCTGCTAGCCTTGCCGGCCCCCAAGAGCATTGCCGTGTCGTGCCCACTCAGGCCTGGCCCGCTCGGGAAAAGCAGTGGCAAGCCAGTGTGCCGTAGTCCTGTAAGGTTGGTATGCCTACAGTGCCGCTTCCCGAGACACTGTACGGATACCCGCGTCCCCTCGATCCAGGCACGGGCTAGCAGGCACCGGCGGCGCCCTCTGTTGGGCGCTGTGGTGCCTGGCCCTCGCTCCCTGGCCCTCGCTCCCCGGCCTGCTTCTCCAGCAAATGCGGCAGCCCAAGGGAAAAGACATGCAGCGTTACTTTGCTGCCATTGGTGGCACGGCATTTCGACACTCCTCCTGGCCAGACAGTTGCCTCGCCCTGACATATTGCAAGTACCTACGGATACGCACGCACCGCCTCTCCCTCCCCCATTCTCTCTCTCTCTCTCACTCTCTCTCGCACTCTCCCTCGCACGCAACTCTCTCACCCACGCGCGCACGCTCTCTCGCAACCCACTTTCTCTCTTTCTCCCTCGTTTTCTCGCCTCCCTCTCCGGTGCCGCCACCAAGCCCCCTCCCCACACTCCGGCCGTGTCTTTCCTGGTCATCGACAACACGAGGCTGGTGGCTCGCCCATTCATCCTCTTCCCGCCCACACAGGTTATTCGTGGAACCGTGCCAGTGTCCCCCCCCCTTTTTGACTTTGGCCGGTATCCCCCGTCCCTGTGACACCCCCGACCGATCTCCGTCGTCGCAGCGCCACCCCATCATTATCACGCAACTCGTTCGTTTCGTTCCTCTCGAAGCGCGCTGCCAGAGGAGCCGCTACTTGCACCTTGCTACGCTGCGCCCACGCACCTGTGTCCCATGTTCCGCGCCTCTGATCGACCTCGGCCGCTTTGCCTTGCTTGCAAGTCGCCAACCCGAGCCGCCTTTCCTCCCAACGCCCACGACGTGTGGGCAGCCGTGGCCGCCGACGCCTGCGAGTAGCTTCTCGCCCAAGTTCCGCCATTGCCGGCCACGACGAAGCCGCTCTCGCCTACCCGCTCCCTCTCGTCTCGCTTCGATACAAGAGCCCCTCAGTCCTCGCAACAAGGCCCTCCTCCCACTCCTCCACGCCGCCGCGACTCGATACGAATTTACATAACCAGTCCTCTCCACCTCCCGCTACCCGTCCCGCCCTCGTCGACGCTCCTGCTCTTCGTCCTCGCTCCCCCTCCCCCGCCCGAGGCCCTCCCGCCTCATGGACGCCCGGGCATCGACGTCTGAACCCCGGCATTCTTTTCACTCGAGCTCCTGGTCCACGGCCGCCACCTCGGCTGTCACCTCCCCGGCGTCCCTCATAGCCTCGGACGGCTCCCCGGACCCCGTTATTGCCCCCGCCCCCGCCGCCGCCTCCTTGGGCTCCCACCTCGACTTCCTGCCCTTCCTGTTCCCCCAGCAGTCCAACATCTACCACGCTCAGCTCCTCCACTACAACAAGCTTGTCTCGCCCAGCCGCGGAGGAGGTGGCCTTCAGACGCCGCCCCTCCCCCCCGTCGTGTCGGCCCCCCACGTCCACGCCGGGTCGAGGTCGCGATCCTCTAGCAAGGTGTCGCTCAAGGACGCCCAGGCCGGGAAGGCAGCCGCAGCTGGAGGCCATGGGAGCAGGTCACAAAACAACCAGGACAAGAGCCACCCGGTTATAGCATCCAAGGACCCTCCGCCCAGGATGCCTGCCAAGCAGCTCGCCGCCGAGTCGTCGACGAGCGTCTCGCAGCGTTCGACCGCCGCCGCCACCGCCGCCGCCTCAGCCCAGGGCCAGTCCCACTCGAGCTCGGTGCCCTCGACGCCCCACCAGCACGCCCGCCAGTTCTCGTTTGAATCCCGCGGCCCGTCCCCCCCCGTCCCAAACAGCCACTCGCCACGCTCGGCGTACTCGGAGACGAACAGCACCCTGCCCTCGCTGCGGCCCCTGCCACCGCGCTTTGGCGGATGCAAGTATGAGACGGCGCAGATGAACTCGAGGCGAAGAATACCCTACTCGGTGGGCAGCGACCGCTTGGAGAAGCTTGACCTGCGCAACGTCAAGAGCAAGTTGTCCGAGGACGAGGAGCGAAGGTTAAATACAGACGTGCGCGAGATTTTCGACCGCTTATTGCCCACCGACGCCGTCGAGGCCAACAGGAAGAAATTGGTCGGCAAGCTGGAGAGGATTTTCAACGTGGAATGGCCGGGTCACGACATACGGGTCCATCTTTTTGGTTCTTCGGGCAACTTGCTCTGCTCCGACGACTCTGACGGTACGCGCCCCCTTGCCCCTCCCGCATCAATGGCGCAGCATGCAAGACAAGAACATAGCTGACGACGCTGTTTCTCTAGTGGACATTTGCATCACCACCCCGTGGCACGAGCTGGAAGGCGTCTGCATGATAGCCAATCTCCTCGCCCGCCGTACGTACCCACGCCCCGATCCCACGGTCCCTCGCCGGTACGGTCCCGCTGACGATGCTCTCGCAGGTGGAATGGAAAAGGTGGTGTGCATATCGGCCGCCAAGGTGCCCATTGTCAAGATCTGGGACCCCGAGCTGGGCCTGGCCTGCGACATGAACGTCAACAATACCCTCGCTCTCGAGAACACCCGGATGGTGCGGACGTACGTCGAGGCTGACCCCCGCGTGCGGCAGCTCGCCATGATCATCAAGTATTGGACCCGGAGGAGGATCGTCAATGATGCTGGTAAGATATGCGGTGCTGCGCGACTCGCGTGACCGCCCCTCGGATACCTCTGGCGAGACTGGCGCTAATCGTCATGGCAGGTCTCGGTGGCACGTTGAGCTCGTACACGTGGATATGCCTCATCATTGCGTTTCTCCAGGTCCGGAGCCCCCCCGTGCTTCCCGCGCTGCACCGGCTTCCACACAAGCTTCCCAAGCCGGACGGGACTGTGAGCGACTTTGCCGACAATCTCAAGAAGATTCGGGGGTACGGAAGCAAGAACAAGTCGTCGGTGCCCGAGTTGTTATTCCAGTTCTTTCGCTTCTACGCGCACGAGTTCGACTACGACAAGCACGTCCTGTCCGTCCGGCAGGGAAAGCTAATCACCAAGGTAGACAAGAAGTGGAACTATCAGTTGAACAATCAGCTCTGCGTCGAAGAGCCCTTCAACGTGTCCCGAAATCTCGGTAATACCGCCGATGAATATGCCTTTCGGGGCCTGCATCTGGAGCTTCGAAGGGCGTTTGACCTCATCTCGGCCGCCAAGCTGAGCGAGGCGTGCGAGCAGTACGTCTACCCCAAGGAGGAGGAGAGGGTATGGACCCGCCCGGCACAGCAGTCTCGCCCGGTCCTGCTGCGCAGCTCCTCGCAAACGCACTCGACGCATTCGGGCCGAGGTGGTCGCGGCGCCTACAGGGGAGGGCGTCACAACGCCAACTTCCACCGGGGGGGCGGAGGAGGAGGGGGCGCTGCAGCAGGCGGCGGCTCCAGCAGGAGAGCGTCGTCGAGCGTGCCGACGTATGACAACGGCGTCTTCATGGCGCCCGTGAGCATGCAGCAGGACATGACGTGGTACCAGAACCCGCACTTCCAGTTTCAGTACGCGCAGCAGGATCTCATGACGCAGATGGCGTACCAGGAGAACATGCGCCAGCTGCAGCTCTTTGCGCAGTCCCCCGGCTTTCTCCAGCAGTCCCAGGCCATGGGTCATCAGCGGGTGCCGACAGGCACAGCGCCGGGCCAGCAGCCGTCGGACCGCGCCCGGACGAATTCCTTCGACAACATCCCAGTCGGCACCACGCTCCGACCCGATCTGTACGCCCTCTACAACATGAGCATCGGCCACGCGTTTTACCCGCAGGTGGCCGGCGTGGGCTACGGGACCTACCCGTCGTCTCCCGCCACCACGGGCGGGTCGGGCCAGGAGTTTCGCCGTTCGCTGCAACGGTCGACGGTCACGACCGACACCGGTGCCTCGGCGTCTAGCAGTTCGCTTAGGTCGCAATCTCAGCCAGCGTCGCGGTCGCCCTCGGCAGCCTACTCCCAAACCGCCTACCATCGCGGAAGCCAGACGCCGACGAGCGCTTCCGCCTACGCGCCCAAGAACGCCCACGGAGTACCCATCCCCAGCTTCATGCCGGACGACGCCGACTTTGACGAGACACCAAAGGCCGTCTCGGAGTCGCCCGAGTCGTCCGAGGACGACGGCAGGTCGGCAGGGTTCTTCCAGGCCCGGGAGTCCAGCCTCGCCGGGCATGCCCAGCCTCAACAGCAGCAGCAGCCGACGCCGCCGCCCCAAGGTCTCTCCAACGGTATTGCCTTTGGCGATCTCGCGGCCGCGTCCACCGGCCCCGGCAGGAGGAGGCTCTCCACGGACCAGCTCCCGCAGACCATCTTGGACAGGAGGATGAAGCGGGCGTCGAGGTCGCCGTCGCCCCTCGGACATATGCGTGCCTTTTCGGTCGGCACACCAGCAGCCTCGCTGCCATCTGCGGCGTCGCCATCCAACCATGGCAAGAACTCGTCCCGACCGCTTGTGGTCAATGGGTCTTGCCTCAAGGCAAGTGCCGTGTCGGGCCAGCGGCAAGCATCGAGGAGGGAGTCCCTGCAACCAGAGGAGAATCTGGTCGCCACTGCCGATCTCGACCAGGCGGCCTGGGTCAATGGCGGTTCTGACTCGATGTCGCTCACGGCCGAGGCGCCATCGATCCCCTCCCCGGGGTCAGCCGCCGAGCAGCTCCCCATGGTTGTCAACGGCAGCAGCACACCCTCCGTGGGGCCCCCCACATCGGACGACGCGTCTTTTCGCGAGCGAGTGGCCTTGATGGCCGCGCAGCACATCAGCCCTAAAGGCTATCAACAGGAAACGACGCCCAACGGCAGCCCTGCTCGCCTCTCGCCGTCGGCGAGGCAGCGCTGGATGTCACGGCAGCCCCAGAACGGCGTGATTGCCCCTCTGGACCTCGCCATCGGCGACCAGCGCGCCAACAAGCCGACAGTCATCGACTCGGCCCACCTTTCTCCCGTGTACGAGGCCGGGGCATCGTCTCCCAACGCCGTTCGACAGAATGACGGCTTCTGGCTTCCGGCCAAGCCAGACGCGCGGAATGAAGGGCGCCCCGCCGACGCGGAGATTGACGAGGGGGCGCCGACGCCGACGGAGAGACGCATTGCAGTTTACGAAGACGACCGAGCGCAAAGGCCAGAAAAGGCCTCGGTGCCGGTCTCGAAGGCCATGAGCCCCCGCGTCAACGGACACGTACGGGGGGCCAAGAGCGAGAGCGACGGCGGCTGGCAAAAGGCCGGCAAGGGGAAGAAGAAGGCTGCCAACGCGGCTGGCCAGCAGGGGCACGCCGAACAGCCCCCGAAGCACGAGTCGGAGCGAAAGGGCGGCTGAGGTCGCACGCCAGAGAGGTCTGAGGTACGCGCGACACGGGCGCATGGAGAGCTCGGGGCGGGCGCGGGGGCCTCACGACGCTGCACGTCGACGACTCACCTGCCCTCGGATGACGTGATACGACTAGAAGCCTGAATTGTACGGCCATGGACGCGAGCGTGCCGTTTGTGAAGGTGACTTGGGAACGTATGAACCGTGTTGGATAGGCCAAGTGTTCGACACTTGGAAGACGCCTGTCAGACGAGAAAGGTCCGCGGAGGGGTGTTTGGACATGATGCAACGAGTCGGCTCCCGTGTCGAGTACGAAGTGGCATGTGTATGTATTACTTTGTGATGTGTGGCAGTCTGATGGTCAAGCTCGCAGCGGAAAGGATGGCCGTGGCCTGCGAGTGGCACGTACATTGGCAGGGATCAGGTTGCCGGAGTTTTGCATGGACATGTGCCGCATGCTGCATGGCGACAGGCAGGGCAGCAGTCCCTTTTTTTTGTTATTCTTCCACCGCCCAAGATTGGCCGGCGAAGGTTGAAAGCGGCATAGAAGGGTGGTTACGAAAAGCATGGACAGAGATATCACGAAACAAACAGAGCACAGGGGATATATATAGATGGCGAGTTGACTTGTTTTTGAGGTGATTTGCAGATTTGGGGCGCGGGTGTCGATCCGGCATGCTCCGGTGTCTCTGGCTCGGTGCGATGCGAGACACGGCGGTTGAAGTCTGGTACGTATGGATGAGGACTCGAGGAGTCGTCGAAGAAGACGTTTGGGGGAAGCGGTCACGAGGGGCGTGGCTGTGCGAGCCTTGGTGGCTTGGGTGCCGCTGCGGCTGAAGTTGGGGGTTTGAGACATGGCTTGTGCACGTACGGAGGAGTAAGTTACTCGGTACAGTACAGTGGACAGCCACTACAGCCACTACAGCCACTACAGCCACTACAGCCACTACAGCCACTACAGCCACTACAGCCACTACATCCACTACAGCCACTACAGTACCTACAGAACAAATATGGAGAGAGAGAAAAGTGAGACTCGGAGAGAGAGGCGATGACGTGGTTGGTTTGGGCTGGCACGTGTTTGTTCCCCTGGAACTGCATGCTTAATGCCTTCAAGCCTTGCTTGTTTTGGGACACCGGGTGGGAAGAGGCATTCTTGGGGCCGACGTCGCGGCCCACATATGAAAGGTCCAGGGGCGGAAGAAGGAAGCAATGGTTCCAGGGCCATTGTGCCTCATTGAGAGACGGTGGCGAGTGTTGGTGGTGCTGGTGGTGCTGGTGGTGTTGGTGGTGTTGGTGTGTTGGTGCTGCAGCTGGAGGCGTTGGTCCCTTTTTTAGACGGACCATGCCCCCGGACCCCAGAGTCCCCATACTATTGACGTGTAGCGCAGAGGAACCAAGCGGCCCCCGGGGATCGAAGGTATGCAGGACGCAATGTACAGAGTACCTAGGTATTCGTAGACGGTTCTGCCGAGAGACACAAGCGGGGACTTCTTCTCTCGCCCTGGAGAGCCCTGGAGAGTACCGCTATTCGTACCTGGAACCCCCCCACTGTGGCCTCGGCGGAATGGAGCCCCTTGTGGCCCCACCTCGGGTGCCTCGTGGGAGGGCAGACTCGGGCAAACGCACTGCAACCTCCTCGTCTGCGCGTTTCGTGTGCAGTACATCTCTTGGACACGGATGCTTACTCGTCTTCTTTTTCTTCTTTTTCTTCTTCTTCTTCTTTCTCTCCTCTTCATCTCTTGTTTCCTGCTTGGGTAACTTGAGGAACCTACTAGGCAGGTTCTTCAGTATCGCACTGAAGAACTACAATAAATACCTTGGCACTAGTACCTCGTCAGGGCAAGGGTGCAAGTTGGGGGTACCTGTACCTGGCCCAGCCACCATGTGTCAGCACTAGCCCGCTCCGCTGAGGTTCCAGGACGTCTGGGCTGTACCCAAGGTACCTGATACCTGCATCGCTGACTCGACAGCAGCCCTCTCTCTCTCTCTCTCTCTCTCTCTCTCTCTCTCTCTCTCTCTCCTGGTCCTCGAGGCAGAGTCCAATCTCATCTCTTCGCTTCTGCAACCATCGCCGTCTCTTCTTCTCCTGCTTCGCAACCTCGCCCATCTCATCGGCCATATTTCTCCCCAACTGTCGCCTCTCAAGGTCCTGGGCCTGCTCCGCTCCCACACCCTCTTGGACATACGTCCGCCTCCCTCCCTTGGGCGCCCGCCCCCATTCCAGCCTCGCCTCGTCGTCTTACATCGCCTCGCTCTTCGTCTCCTCCCGCCTCACGTCTCTGCCCCCTCGGTTCTCCCTCCCAGGCGCTCGAACCTCACCCAAAGCGACGCGCAGCCAAGCTTCGCTCGCAAAGTGGCCCTCGCGCGCCGTCTCCCCCCCCCTCACCAACGCTCAATCACACCGTCGCACAAGGTCGCTTTTCGACTTGTTTCTCCGTCCGCCGGTCGCCCGCCAAGCCCGCAAACAGGCCATTTTGCTCGACTCGGATTCACCGCTGCGACTCTGTCGACCTTCGCTTTTGTTTCTTGCGAGCTTGGTTCCTCGGTACGCCTCTTGTTCGCCCGGGAATCAAGCCGCCTGCGAATCGGCCCCGGCTTCGACCTCCCCCGTCTCGGTCGTGGGAACCCCGAGCCAACAGGTCACAGTCTGGTTGGGCATTTTCCCGTCGCACGGCCGGTTCTCGTTGCCATCCTCGTCCCTTCCTCTCTGCTGTTGAGTCTCAGTCGTCCCCCTCTCGCCCGGCCGCCTTGACCATGGTGCCACCCGCCGCCGTCCCTCTCGACACGCACGTTTGACAGAGCCATCGCCATTTGCTCCTCGACGCTCACCACCTCCCCTCCCTGCCCGAGCGCCTGCATCACTGCTCATGGGGCGCGACGCAATGCATAGGACCTCGAGTGGAGGGGGTCTCTCCTCCTCTCCCTCTGGCGGCTCGGCCAAGATGTGGCGCCTCCCCAGTGCCTTGAGGCGGAATCCGCTGAGAAACTCGGCCAAGGACGACAAGAATGGCACAGTATGTCCTGTCTGCTCCCTACCCCTTACCCTAGCCCGGGCCTCTCTTCGTCTCTGGTTCGCAGCTCATGCAAGCTCTGCAGCCGCGCTCCTCACCCGGCGAACTAGACCCCTACGACCAGTCCCTCCGCCTACGCCGCACCGACTCGAGCTCCTTCAACGAGTCTCACGAGACCAATTGCCGCAAGCTTCAGGCCCTCGTCCAGCGCGTCCGCTCCATCCACTCGAGCCCCAGCCACGTCGACGCTGCCTACCATGAGTTTAGCAAGCACAAGGACACTTGCTCCTCCCTCTGCCACGCCATCCTCCAGGACGAGATCCGCCCCGTTCGCACCCTCTCCAGCGTCGCCGGCGTCGACGGCTCCCTGACCCGCCGAGACTCGTCCATGGACTCGCCCCCCGCCGCCGCCCCCGATAGTCGCAGCTCCTTCAGCGGCCGCAGCTTGGCCGAGGTGGTGACGGGGGGCGGCCCGAGGCCCTCGTTGGCCTACGAGTCGCGCCTCGTGGCCATTGGCGAGCTGAAAAACTGCCTTGAGGCCATGGCCGACGCCTTCCAAGCCAGCCTCGCCGACACATACAAGAGCTATGAGCGAGACGCCACCCCCGAGATGGTCGATCTGCTCTTCAACAGCAAAAGGTTCCGGCGTGAGGCGGTGCACCGCATGCGCAACGCCAGCGTTACCAGCATCCGCTCCGCCGACCCCCAGTTTGTGAGCCACCCCTCCCCCCCCCCGTCATCTGCGCCCACGACAAGGACACTGACACACCGACAGTTTCCTCGATATGAGATTCGCTTTCGGGACTACGAAAAGGTAAAGCAGGAACTAAGCGAGATCCGCCGCCTTCTTCAGTGTGCCGAGTCGGGCATCTCCCCGTCGAGGCCCGTCCAGGGCCTCGATATCTCTCCTCGCGGCGACGCCATTCTCGAGTTCGCCAACCTCGCCGCCGACCAGGCCGCCGACGAGCCTGTCCTGCGCTTCCGCGTCTCCTCGTACATGCTGGCCGAGACGTCGCCCATCTTTGCACGCATGTTCTCGGGCCACGCCGCCAGCCTTCACCTCCACGAAGCCGAGGACATCTCCGAGCAGCTGCCCCCGCCGCCGACCAGCTACGTCTGCACGGACGGGTCCGAGGTCAAGCTGTACCGCATGCCCCAACGCGAGGTGAACCGTCTCGGGTCGATGGAGGTGCTCCTGCACGCCGCGCACATGCACAACGAAATGGTGCCGCGCGAGGTCGGCTTCGACCAGTTCGTCGCCATCGCTGAGTGCTCCATGCGCTACAAGAGCACCTCGCCCCTCGAGATTGTCGTCGAGCACAGGTGGCTCCCGCAGTGGATGCACAAGGGCGCCGAAAACATGCCCGACGGCCTCCTCGCCATCAGCTACGCCTTTGGCGTGCGCCAGCTCTTCACCCGCATGTCCAAGAGCGCCATCCTCGACCTCGTCGACGAAAAGGACCTGCAGAGCAAGCCGTGGCCCCAAAAGATCAAAGACAAGATTTGGGATGTGCGCTGCGCCAAGGTCGCCCAAGTCTACGCCTGCTGTACCGGCACCATCCAAGAATACATTCACACACCGGCCCGGGACGCCGGCTTGGAACCAGAGCGCGTTCCCCCCACGGATCCCCGCAACCGCCTCAACGAGCCGGCCATGACCCCGAGGCCGGCTGCGGCCCTGACAAGCTCGCCGCGGTGCCCCAAAGGCAACCACAGCTGCGACGCAGCAAACCTGGGGTGGATGATGCTCGGATTCAACGAAATGGACCTCTTGCCCCAGATTGTGCATCCCTCGGTACTGCTGCATCTGCCAGAGGCCGAGCCGAGGCCCAGGAGCCTCGCGCAGATGATTGACGTGCTGCGCCGAATGCCGAGCCCCGCTTTCCCCGTGCACCGCGGCGGCGTCTGCGACCCGGGTCCGTCCTTCCGGGCCGCCATTGCCGACATCTACGACAGCATCGCGGGACTGACGCTGCATGATATCAGCTGCAAGAGCCATGGCTGGGCTCTGTCGAAGCACCAGATGGACGAGCCGCAACCGGCGGCGGAGATTGGGCTGGAGCGCATGGCTGCCCTGGACCGAGCCTACACCGTCGCCCAAGAGCTACCGGACGGCGTCCGCCTCCAGATTCTCGACGAGCTCGACGACGTCGACGATTTACAGGCCGCTGCGCGGACCAATAGGGGCTTCTACCAGACGTACCAGGGGCACGAGGGAGATCTCGTGCGCAAGTTTCTCCGCGGAGATCGGGCCCGCGGCGGCTCCAGCAGAGAGCCGGTGGACGACCTGGACGACGGCAAGGTGCTGAAAACTGTCTCGGACCAGATGAAGAGCGAGGGGCCGGGGGTGAGAGCGGATCTGGACGCGGTGACGCTGCAGAGCGACGATGAGAGCGACGTTTCCGAGTCCGAGCCCGAGTCCGACGACGACACCATCAGCATCGATGGGACGTCGACACCGCTGGCGCATGAGTTGCCAGGGCAGCCGAGCGCCGAGCCACCGAGATACGTCGAGAGCGAGAGCAATCCGCACTGCGGCACGGAAGGCCCTCCCCAGCCGCGACAGCCGCCCGTGAACTCGCCACGGTCGCCTCACACCGTGCCGCCCAAGCAGTCTCACGTGATGACGGCAGCCGCGGACGAGGCGCCCATGACGGACGAAGAGGCGGCGCGGATCCTGTGGCCGCCGCCGCTGTATCCGGAGCCGCTGGCGGCGAGGGCGATGCCGGCGGCGAGCGTCGAGGGCATCCGGGAAAAGTTCCGCATGGGCGACGTGTGCTTCGTCGAGGGCCTCGAGGAGAAGATGCTCGTCGTCATGGGCCAGAAGCAGCTCCGCAGCGACCACGACCGGCGCATCGGGCTGGTCAAGAAGGACGCCGGCGGCGGCGGCGGCGGGTGTGGAAGACCTGCTACTGCTGCTGCTGTGGTGGCGGGCGTGGTGAGGGCCAATGCCGGCGCGGGCTGCAAGAGCGCCTAGGCCGGCTCGGGACTCGACAGGCCACGTTTGCCGAGGGGAGACCGTACCGTCCTCGACGGCTGTATTTTGCCTTATTTTTGCACACTTTTTCTTTACCCTGGCCTTTTCTTGTCTACTTACTTTGGTCTGCCGTGCTTGCGGTTTTCTCCAGAGGATGGAATGTCGACCAACGGAATGGAATGATGTTATACCCTCTGCGGGCGGGCGCTATGGTCTTCAAGGAGTGGGGGAGGGGGAGATGCCACCCCTTGTTCCTTTTATCCCAATTTTTTTTTGTTGTTTATTGTTTATTTTCGTTTTGTTTCTGAGCATGGCTGGATACAGACTTGGGACATGGTCGTGCCTCGGTGGGCTTGTTGTGTTTTGACTTGATGCGTGGGTCGACGTACTCGACGCTTGGCGCTGTGTCTGGTTGCCTTTTCGATTAGCCGGCATGCCGGGCTGGGTGCACTCGAAAGACGGAGAGGGGATTGGTGAGAATGTAAAGTCCAAAGCATGACCGCTTCCGTATCATGTATGAGTCTTTTCGCGATGGAGTGGGTTGTGTTGGCGGCGCCTCTAACCGGGGCTCTATTTTCTACATCTGGCTCCTTCTACATCCTGTGCATGTGCAACGCCTTGATCGAATGCCTCGTCCTTCCCATATGCCGACCTGAATGCAATCGCACAGACCTCATATGATGTGTCTTTCCCCGACCCACCTGCTGCTTCACCCAATAAGGGAGCCTCCTGCTCAGCCCACGAGGTAAAACGTCTTGCTCACTCCGACTTGAACAGGCCACGGAGGCGGAGAAGTCCCCGCAGCTGGGCGGGCTGGGACTCGGCATCGACGGCGGCGGTGTCAGCACCCGAGCGGATGCCCTCCTCGGGAGCCTGGGCGGCAGCGGCGCGGGCGGCGTTGATGGCGCGCAGCTTGGCGGTGCCGACGCCGGCGACGCCGGCCTCCTGGTTGCGGCCGAGCCAGGGCTTGCGCGAGTCGCCGAGGACGTTGCCGGAGAGGAAGTAGATGGCGAGGCCGACGACGATGCAGACAAAGGCGACGGGGTAGAGGAAGTGGACGGCGAGGCCGAAGACGCGGACGCCGATGATGACGCCCCAGAAGTTTGCCGTGAGGAGCGAAATGTCGAAGAAGGCGGCGCTGCCCATGCGCAGGATGAGCGGGGCGAGGGTGTAGAAGAGGGAGAGGCAGAGGGTGTAGCCGACGAGCCAGGCGGCGACGGGGCCGGACCAGCGGGCGGCGGCGAGGGAGGCGCGGTCGAAGATGGCGGCCTGGACGCCGTTGATGAGCATGCCGAGCAGGCCGATGAAGGCGAGGACGTGGTGCATGGGCGCCTTGCTGACGAGCCACTCCTCGAGGACGTTGCTGGCGCCGTAGAGGGTGGCGCCCAGCAGGCCGAACAGGTCGCCCTTGAGCATGTCGGGGCCGGGGCCGCCGTTGCGTCTCAGCATGTGGTCCGAGGCGAGCAGGATGCCCATGCCGCCGCAGCAGACGACGATGCCGAGCAGCTGGGGAAGGCGATAGCGCACGCGCAGCAGCAGGGCCGAGACGGTGACGACGCAGACAATGGACCAGAAGTTGAGCAGCTGGGCCGACAGGATGTTTGTATACTGGTAGGCCAGGACGGTGAAGTAGTTGCCCTCGACGTCGAGGAAGGCCATGACGAAGTACTTCCAGCCGTCGCGGCGGGCAGCGCGGGCCCAGGCGGCGGGGCCGTCGCGGGCGAGGAAGAGGGCGTTGTAGGCGAGGGCGAGGAAGGCGTAGTTGAAGAAGGTCTGGAAGGCGGGGGCCTTGAAGTCGGCGGCGGTGAGCAGCGTGGTGAAGGTGTTTGTGGCCGTGATGCAGAGCGCCAGCACCTGGCCGATGCCGACGACGAGCCAGAAGTCGGCCGTCGCCAGGTAGCTGTACCAGCGCGCGGGGCGGGCGTCGAGCAGGTCGAGGCCCTGGCCGGCGGCGGCGGCCTCGGCGTCGGAGGGGGGGGGCAGGGGGGAGACGGCGCCGCGGTGGCTGTCGTCGTCGGCGGCGGTCGAGGCGGCGGAGCGACGATACGGCGGAGGGAGGCCGGCGGTGTCATCGTTGGCCGAGTGCGCGACGGGGTCACCGAAGCTGTCCTTGGCGGGCGGGGGGTTGTGCTCGTGTGGCTGCATGGCGAGTGTCTCGTCCAGTGTTTGGCTCTATGGCGATTGATGCTTGGCGGCACTCGTTGGCACGCGTATGCGAGGGTATCGCGCCGAGCGTCGTGGGGGTTTGTCCCGTCGCTAAGCAAGAACAAGCCGGTCCTGGAAGAAGCGATTCCGACAAAAGTGAGAGTCCTGTTGCACGAGGATCCTCGGCAACCGGTACCAATCAAAGATGGCTGGACAGTGCAGCCAACTCAAGTCTTTCTTCGTCCCCAAAGGGCAGCAAGCGCAAAGACTCAAAAGTCGCTTGCCGGAAAGGTCAAGGGTGCGGGCGGCACATGAGGCGGCCCTGTGCCGGGGCTGAGGTCGAGCAAGAGGCGGGGATGGCGCGGCGGCGAGTCGACATGGGCGGCGGCGACGGAGCAGATGAATGGATGGATGGACGGGAGGGAAAGGGAAGAGAGGAGGGGAACCGAGGCAGCGCGGAGCGGGGGATTCGAGGCACGTCGTCGGATTGCCTGGAGGGGAAGAAAGGAAAGTCTTGCTCGGCAGGACCCTGAGCTGGCCTAGCCCCAGTAAGGCATGGCGGGCGGTGGCCAGCCAATGAGCCCCACAGGCGATCTTTTAGGTACAGGGGTAATAATACAGGGGCAATACAGGGGCAATACAGGGGTAATACAGAGGGTCGTTCCACTGCCAGCTCAAGGCGTCGACGGCACCTCAGCACCTCAGCCAACAACGCCCGCAGCGCGCTCTCGAAAGGACGGGCGACACGGACGGGCGACACGGACTGCCGAGACTCTGCCAGACGACTCTCCGGAGAGGCCCGAGTTGTGTAACCGTTAACTATAGAGCGAGCACTAGACGAAAAGGCTGCGAGGCTACATGTTCAGACTCAAGACGCTCTTCGCCTCTAGAGCTAAGCCATCATCACCTCGTTGCTGCCGGCTCTTGGCTGATCATGACGGCCAATATGAACAAAGAAATACACGAAGCCATGAATCCTCAATCCTGCCTGCCCCATACGGGCCCCCGATCTCCAGTCGTGATAGTACCAATGGCCTGTCAAGCCAGGGCAAGTCAACCGCAACCCCCTTACCCCCTTACCTCCCCACCCACTGATGCAGATACCGGAGAAGAGCACCAGGCCAACCAACGCTCAGGGACTTTCGCACATCGTCGTAGAATCATGTTTCCGAAGGCGACGCTTACATTTCGGGAGAGTCTTCCCTCATGACTCCGCGAAACTCGTTCCACGACGTCAACAGCGGTGGCCACAGAAAGGTCGAGCCATACTGCAAGATGAACAGCTCCATCAGCCCTTTGGGGAGACAGACGCCCTCGAGCCGCTGCTCGACGCTCACGCGCCCGCTCCGGTCGAACGTGGTGAATACCGTCTCTGGATCTGGACGCTTTGCCTTTCGGAGGCTGTCTGTGACGGCGCCCACGCCGATTCTTTGCGCATCCCAGAAAACGTACGCTCGTTCGCGGAGGGGACAGTGCATGAGACCATCGTCGTCGTCAATGCTAAAGTAACAGTCGTGCTCGGAGCGTTTGAACAGCTTCCAGCCCGCATTTGCATAGCGAGCGTCGTTGTCTCCAATCCCGGCTGGCACAACGATACCGCCAGGGCCACCAGCGGGGGCGCAAACCAGGGCCTCGGGGAGAAAGTCCCGCACGTTGGGCGCGTTGGCTCGGATCAGTTCTGTGAGTTGCGATCTCGTGTTAATGACGGCAAGGTCATGGATGAAAGCGCAGCCGAGGGAGGCAAGGTAGCTGACGTAGCCCGCTGACTGGGATTTGCTGTCCTCGGAAAAGAGATCGAGATCGGTGTCTTCGAGGTTCTCAAAGAGAACCAGCTTGTCCTGGTGCCTCTCGTCATACGCATCGTCGTCCCAATCCCCGGGGAACAAGGACGTGATGGGGAAAAAATTAGCGTCCAAGTTATCCTCAGTCAACGAGAGACCGCGCTCCAAGCGTTCTGTTGCTGCGGGCGAGAGTATGAGATCGGAGAGATGGCACACACCGTCATAAGAGTGAACGTTTCCGACAGCCCCGTCTTCCATGTCGTCGACGAGTTTGCCGATGAGGGAGGTATAGTAGCAATGGACGCAGCTCATCTCCTCTGCCTCCCAGGGCTCGATCCGAGCCAGGAACCTATCAAACTGCTCCTGCGCCGGCTCAAGCGAGTAGTTGGCCTCCCGGCAGTCAGGAGGGAAAAGGCGGGAGTAGAGCTCGTAGCGAAAGAAGGCTCGTTGGAAGCGTGCAAGCTCTGTGGGCGACAGGGGGGCCGAGGGGTCCGCCCCGCCATCACTAAACAGAACCATCCTTGCTTCAGACGAGTAGTCGTTGACAAAGTAGGTGGCGCGAAAAAGGAGTCGATCCAGAGCCATCAGGTCCTTCCACTCACTTGGGAAGGCAAAGGGTTTGGCCTTGTCAAAGTACTGCTCGAGACAAGCCCTGAGCGGCTCCCGGGAAGGCCTGGCCCAGCTGAGCGCGCCGGGGTCTGGCGTCCACGGGGCATGTAAGACGGCAAGAGCATCATGGAGGGCGTCTGGCTGGATGGCATTTCGGAGGATACAGGAGACGACGAGTGAGGGCGCGGCAAAGTAGAGTCGACAACACAAGGGCGATGCCTTGACGAGGGCCGCGAGGTCGCGAGGATGGTCGAGGGCTTGCATGATGGCGAGCAAGAGCTCGCTTGGCAGGCGGCTCAGGACCATGGCGGCGACTGACGCGGCCCAGATGGACTCTGGACGCGTCTTTTCGAGGTTTCCCAGACTGTTGTTGACCCAGGACAAGGTTGGGAGTGAGAGGAGGTTTGCTGCAGAGTTCAGTGACGGCGGGAAGGAAAAGGGGTTTCTGCTGGCCTGGGAGACGGTAGAACTCGCGCGAAGCAGTCTCCAAGGCAACCCGCCTCAATAGACGCATTTTCTCGGTTGCTGCCTATTGTGACGTGTTCAGAGCCTGTTTCGGCGACTCCTTACTGCGGCAGAAGTGCATTCATTCGGCAGCTAAACAAGCAAGGCAGATGATGGACCGGGCGGATGCCGTGTTCGATTTTCACCAGCGGCATAACACCATAAACGACTCGGAAATCTGTCACGAGGTCTAAAGCCCAGACAACCCTTGCCAGGGAGGGCGCGTTGGGACATCTGCCTCGTTCAACTCTGGGCATATTGACGAAACAAAGACAGACAGTGCAAGCTCGTGCTCACGTGCGTTGACCGTTGGCATCCAAGAATCAAAGTCGGCAAACGGCACAGAGCTTGCGTTGTTATGAAATCGGAGCATTTAACATGTGCAGCCATAAACCAGCCGCAGATGCAAGATTTCGAAGCAGCGGGAGGGCCCCTTTTTGGGTATTTGTTGTTCGCAAGCCCACCTTCCAGGAGTTTTGCAGCGAGTTGTGGGTGGTGCAGATGACCGTCCATGGGGCATTAGAGGGACTTGGATAACTGCAACTTGCCACGAAAATGGACAAAGAGTCCAAACAATAAATCTGGAGATGGGATTTCTTCAAGAATAGGGATAACGCGTCATGCTTAAACCCGGCCCACCTTGCATCATCCCCCAGACCTGGCACGATGAAAGGGCGAATCAAGTCGAAGCTTATACTCAGCTACCAAGGTTGTCTGAGCTTGTTGTAGACACGAGTCGGGGGGTGACAACTCGCAACTGCGACTTGGGTCTTGCCTGGGTCGAGCATCTCAGGCATTTTCTTAGCCAAATGATGATCGAAGATACCCGAGTATAGCCCACCATTGGAAGTGCCTGCGTAGCGTTCTCGAGGGCTCGCTCAACTAAAGCGACTCGTTCAGCTCAAGTTCCGTCAATGTCCCAATTGCGCAACTGTTCGTCCGTGTTCTGACAATAAAGGCAATGGAAGGTATTAAGCAGTCTTTCAAAATAGGCAGGCGTCAACTACCGCCACTGACCGCAAGGGTACCACGGCGGGAACCATTATCGGATCGGGCAAGTCGACGAGCGTCAGGGGCAGGATGGAAAATAGCTAGATTCGCCGACTGATGAGATTCGGTCACGACTGATCGGTTCTGCATACTGCGCTGTAAAGGCTAGTTAATCTTTCCATTGCCGTCAAGTAACCGCCGAATTCTATCGGAGCCGCACCTTACTTCGTAGACCTAGCCAGATCTTGCCACAGATTTCGGACGGTACAGGATTTTATGTTATAATTTCAAAAAAAAAACATGGTGTATTACATTGATTATACTAGTCTTGCTATATTGTACACGGACTTCCTCGCCTGTTGGGCAGTCACACCGTTGCCCATGTGAATTGACACAGCTGGAGCCGACAGAGAAGGACACAAAAGACAGCGCAGCTGTCGACGCGGTCCATCGGAGCTTAAGCAGAGAACTCGACAGCCCGGGTCTTGATGAAGGCAGCGCGCTTGTTGTTCTGGCCGGCGCCGGCGCCGACAGAATTGGCAGCACCGACACCGGCAGCACCGACACCGGCAGCACCGACGCCGGCAGTACCGACACCGGCAGCACCGACACCGGCAGCACCGACGCCGGCAGTACCGACACCGGCAGTACCGGAGCCAGCAGTACCGGCACCAGAAGCACCGGCTGCACCGACGCCGGCAGTACCGGCACCGACAGTACCGGCACCGACACCAGAAGTACCGGAGCCAGCAGTACCAGCACCAGAAGCACCGGCAGTACCGGCACCAGCAGTACCGGCAGCACCGACACTGGCACCGGCAGTACCGGCAGTACCGGCACCAGCAACACCGGCACCAGAATTACCGGAACCAACAGCACCGGCACCGGCAGTACCCGCAACGGCACCAGCTGCACCGGCAGCACCAGGAGCGCCAGCGGCACCAACGGCGGCAGGCGCGGCGGCAGCACCAGCGGTCCCGGCGGTCCCGGCGACCCCGGCGGCAGGCGCGGCGGCGGCGGCAGCGGTCATCTGGACCGGGACAACGCCGCCAAAGGGGCCAGCCTGGGCCGGGATCTGGCAACGGACCATGCAGACGTTCTGCTGGCCGGCAGCGGTGCCGGTGCACTGCTGGCCGGCAGGGATCTGCACCTTGAGAGGCTGGTCTTGCTTGTTGGTGGGCGGGTTTAGGCCTTGCCGGTTGCCGGGGAGGTTGGTCGTGACGTCTACCTTCTGCCAGCTCTGAGCAGTGGCGTCCGAGTTGATCATGCAAGAGTAGGGGCCGGCGCCGTCGGCGTTGACTTGGTGGACCGTCATGGTCAGCGTGCCACCGGCCTTGACCTGGGCCAGTGGCTGGCCCGTCATTGCCATGATGGCCTGGGTGCCCGACTCGATGTCGTTGGGGCCGCCCCCGAGGGTCTCGCCGACGGTCCGGGCCGTCGGGCCATTGAAGCGGGTGGAATCCTGCTGACCCGAGTTGCGTCGCGTGTTGTCACGAGGCGTGTTGGGGTCCATGCCGAGACCCGCGGACTGGCCTTGACCATTGTCGCCAACAGCCTTGATAATGACGCCGTGGCCAGCCACGAGCTCCGCAGCCAAAAGGGCCAGGGAGAGAACAGCGGCCTTGAGATACATTTGGAAGCGCTGTTGTTATTGAACCAGGAGGTTTGTCTATTCGACCCCTGGCCGGCGGGGAGCCGAGACTGTGTGATTAAGAAAGCAAGCGAACGAACAGAATTCTGAGAGCGGAATTAAGAGTTAGTGCTTGTAGCTGCTGTGAAGATGCTAGCGATGACGGTGATGAGGCATGGATGGTTCAGCGGACAGCGAGCCTCGTCTTTATACTCCAGCATGATAGCCATCTCGCTCGTGTCGTCATGGCCGACCAAACAGTCATTTCGCGAGAATAGTCTGAGCGCCGGCGGCCGAGGCCGGGAGGGAGGCCAGCCAGGAGAAGCAGAAGCTGTTGTCGGGAGAGCGCCGTTGGACAATGATGTGCCGGGACGCTGTTCATGCCTCCCGGGAGAGCAGCGCTCGCGACGCGTGCGGTTTCAAGGCCAGGAGGTGTGGATGGCGAGCCTCGTGATGGCCTCACCAACCCTCGAGGCGGGCAAAGCCGTTGCCGTGTAAGAGTGTCAGGCCTAGCTCCGGAAGCTGGATGAATGCTTGCTGTCGAGGGACCTCGCGTCCATGGTGGAGGGTTGTTTCACGGCAGAGAGACGGCGGTCGTCCTGTTCGAGGCGATGGACACTTCGAGTGCGGATCAGCAGAAGGCTGCCATCGCCCGTCAGGGAGGGTCAGATGTAAGCCGACTTCCGGACGCGGCGGGGGGAAGGTTCGGGGACGGTTTTTATCCGACGTTTGGTCTGGAGTGTCGCGGCCCGAGGACGAAGCTCCCAGTCGCCGGACGCTCAAGCCGAGAAGCATGACGAGTCACGACAAGTAGTTCGACAGGAATCTCGAGGAGTCTCCCGTCGGCCTCGACAGCTTCCAGGCGAACGGCCAGTCCGCGGTAGAATTCCCGCAAACATCCGGCGTCGCTGTCCACGCCGAGGCGGCGCTTTTGACAGCAACAACTACCCGCGGAGAGCCCAGGAAACGACCATCAAGTCGCGTCCAGCCGCTGCAGAGAGTCGGTCAGCCTCACTCCGGATTTGCGATTTGCGCGCCCGTGCGCCGATTACTAGTCCGGTGGCCTACGTAACTGGCCACCATGGCGGCCGCTTGGTCGGCGGTGGTGAATGACGACGACTTATAGCCGAGACAGCCCCGTTTCACCCGTCACTCCAGCTGGGGCGGGCAGTCCTGCGGCAGTTCGGCACCGGAAGAAGGGAAGATACGACCACGCGCGGTTCCTCGGCGGCCGTATCGGTGGATTGAGGGTCTTTGCCACGGACCTCGAGCTCCAGGGCCGCGTCACCGGGAGGCGGTCGGGGAAAAGACGGCGTTTCGGCTCCGCCGGCGCCAGCGACCGGCCAATCTTGGCCACCTGGACGTTCTGGGCCAGCGGCTCCACGGCCGTCTTTCGAACATGTAATCTTCAACTTGGCAGGATCGCATTTTGTAGCTGGTTCACGGCGTCTAGGATTTTCTATAATAGGGATATAATATTCTTGTAGTCGCTTACTGGGCTTCATCCTATCTCCGCTTTTGCATTCCCATTCACCGTCTCTTCGCGGCATCTCGCGGGGTTGGCGTGCCGTAAGCCAACCAGCTTGACGGTAACTCTCCAAGGATTCTGTGTCCCATCTCCGGCGGCTGAAGCAGTGCCTGCTGTTGGTGTCAAGAGGTGTTGGGAGTGGTAGAATTGGTCGTGAAAGGGTGGCGGACCCGTCTTCAGGGTCACGCCTTGTCGTGCAGCTCTCGTCGTGGCGCGAACTGCTCCCATCTTTGGCTTCCAGTCTCCGCCGTCTCATGGTGGCTTTCCTCCCAGATAGAATGAGATATTGCCCCTTTGCATGTTGATGCCCTGGAGCATCTCAGCTCGGTACGCAGCCCTCTTTGGGCATCGGAACAGGTGATCAACTGTCTCTCTCGCTGTCCACATGCGCATCGTGCCGAGGGCACGGGCCTTGGTCCTCGACAGACTGAGTGAAAATGTGTCCCGGGGACGTCTCACTCCTAGTCCAGGTATAACGGCGACATGGGATCTTGTATTTCGAAACTACCAGAGAAACGTTCTGCTAATGACACGAGAAAACCGCTGACTGACAGAAATTATGGCCTCCGCCGTTATCCAGTCACAAGGCAAGACGATATTGTGACTCGGTAGCAGTGAGCTCACCGGCCACTCGCAAGGCCACCGAGGAGAAACGTGCCCAACCAGACTCCGCCCAGTACTGATAGGAGGTATCCAACGTTCATTGTCATGACCGCTAACATCCTGATGGCACGTTAGCTTTCCTTTGCACATGAAGAGACCGTAACATCGAGAGGGATGACCAACAAGAGATATCCGACTCCCGCAATCAATACTTCAAACGTTGCCCTCGCCGCCGCCGCACTGGCACGCCATCCACTCCATTGTCCGGCAATGTCGTGTCTGACCGTTTGCAACCGCCGCCCTGGTGTTTTCTGCTCGTCCAGGGCCTCGAGGAGGGGGTCTCCGTTTGGGTGGAACAAATGGCCGTTTCTCCAGAAGCGCGCTTCCAAGATGGGTCTCAGGGCGAGCATGAATCGAAGGATGCAGGCCAGGGCAATGAGAAAAATGCAAGTGCCGGCGTATTCGCCCTGGGTGGTCGGCGTCCATGCGGTAGAGTAGAGCGGTGTCTGAAACGAGGTGAAGAACACCATCATCATGTCGGCCATGGACATCATGCCGCTCATGCCGTGGCCGGACATGTCTCCCATGCCAGATGCGCCGGTGGACGAAGGCATGGCCATGTTTTGCGTGCCCGTAGTCATGGCCATGTTCATGGCCTCGGAGGATGTCGCCATTGACATTGACATGCCGTCTGTCATTCACGAGCCTACGCGAAACGGCTGAAAGAAGAGCCTGGGTGGAGGTAAGTCGAATGGGGTGCTGTGTCGAGCCGGTCTGGCAGGGCCTTGAGAGATCATAACGAGGCAGATGCCGGGCAGAAATAGAAAAGATGGCTCCATGCAGAGCGCAAATAGAGCGTCGTGAAATGGTGGGTTGAGCAAGTTTCCATGGGGTGAGCGTGTTTCACCTCATACTCACAGACAGTTTTCGAGTCGGCTACCGACTACGGACTCAGACACTCACCCGGTACTGTCAGACGGAGCAGACAAGGAAATCAGCTATAACACGCACTAATAGAGGCGTTTGTTAGAGCTTTCTACTTTTGCCTAGTGGGCCGTGGACGCCCAGGCCTCTACGGGACGATTTGACGATCTGCCGCCGAAAAAACCCATGCGTTAATAACCCGGGGTGAGCTATTGGTTGGCACACATTGTTTAATAATTCTGCGAATTCTCTGTCGTGTTTTCCACGACGTTTAAAGCGGCATGTGGATTTGGAATTTATTTACAATGTTCATCGAGGCAATTGGGGAAAGCAAGGCGATGTTCAAGACATGCCACCGAACAATACTACAAATATAGGTATTCTATGTGAACTTGATGAACGGCTAAATCTCGTGTCCATATGCAGGGAAAATAAAACACTCGTGTCGTTCAAATCCTGCAAATTTGTGTCAATGGTTTGTCGTCGAGGTCAGAACGATCCCAGTCACTTACGAGAAACTCTCTTTGTGGAACCAGACTTCTCTGGCGCCCGTGCCGCCTCCAAGTATGCCCTGCTGAGCAACGGCAGCAGCATGGCCCAGGTCGTAGACCATGGACGATGGCCCGCAGGCAACCAAGCCCACGGAAGCACCCTCCTGCGTTGTCAATTTCTCCGAAAGGGACTTGATGTCTGGCCGCCCCTTGAAAAACCGGACATCAAAAACCCCCGACCTGTCCAGCTGGCTTTCTTTGCCCTCGACCGAGGGCTCTTCCGTCTTCTGGCTGCCGTTCGACTCGAGATCAGCGCCCCGTTCAAGTGGTCCCATGCTGCCCGTTTCATAGATTTGGATAGATACGGCTGCCGTCTTCGCTTCTCCCAGCGGATGTCGCGCGGCCGTTTCTGCGAGAGCTTCGAGGTACCAGTCACGCAAGCCCAAGTCCCGTGTTGCGATGACCACCGTCAGCTCCGGGCCGCTCTCCAATTGGGCCCTAAACTGCAGGAAATACTCAATGAGCGACAAGGTGAAGCCGGCACCTGCACCGCCGCCGACGACCAGGGTCTTGTCGAAGCCGTCGAACCATCGGTTCGTAATGCTACCGTACGGCCCGTCAAGAAGCACGGCAATGGTCGGGTTGGGCTCCTTGGACGCCATTTTGGCAAGCCGTCCAGTAAGGCCACCGCGAGGCTGGATATAGAAGACCATCTCACTAGGCCCTCGCGCCCGCGGCGTCGAGCAAATGGTGAACGGGTGTGCCGCCAGCAGGTGCATGTCGCCGGTGAGAAATCGCAGGTATACGTGCTGGCCAGGCCGCCACTGCGCACTTGTCTGCACGACGATCTTGAAAGTGCGGTTCGTAACGAGCAAGAGACGGGCTCTGTGGTAAAAGCCATGCTCAAGGTATGTCTTGAGCTGGGAGTAGAACCAAGAGACGGAGTAGAGCACGCCAGCAGCGATGAAATAGTCCCACGAGGTCATGCGGAAATCGCAGTGGAGAAAGAAGAAGACAACGAAGACGGCGGCGAAGAAGAAATGGGTGGCTTTGAAGAATTCATAATAGCGGTTTCTGAGCAAGCGACGTGTCAGCAGACCCGATGCCTGAGGGGAGAAGGTGAGGAAGAGATCGCACCGTATCCAGCGAATGGACATGATTGTCAACCACGCTTGCGCAATAATGGCGATTACACCAGTAACCCAGACACCGCCAGTGTCCCATTGCGCCCTGATATCTCCCTTCCAGTTGTGATAGACAATGAAGGGAAATGTATGTATCATGGCCAAAGCAAACATGGCCCAAGCAATCCAGTTGTGCCAGACATTGAGCTTCTCGTGGGAAATGCCTGTTAGGGCAGTGACGGGATTCGCCTTGGTCCCAAGTATGCTTTGACAATATCAGCCATGAACATGCCCATATTATACAAAGGGGCGTGATGGTCTTACAGAAGGAAGGGCAAGCATGCAAGGGCCATGTATCCGGCACGCGTGGCGATGGGAGGCGAGTCCCCAAAACTGATCTCTCTCGTGTTTGGCCAATAGTACGGCCGCGGGCCAAGCGTCATGGCTGGTTTTCATCCGGTGAGAATCATATCTCCGCACAGCAACCGAGTTGTTTTGCCAGCTTACCCATGAAGAAGATGAGACCGACTGCACCGAGCAGGTAGACGCCCATCGATTGCGAGTTCCAACGCCCAATGCGCCAACTCTTATAGGCCAGTAACCGGTTCAGGGACACGACACGGAGCCACGCAGTCCGGTTCTTCAGCCCTCGCGGCGCATAAAGAGAGACGAAATGGGCAATGGCAAAGACGATGATGGTGGCGAGGAAGAGGGCTGTCGTCGGCAAGCCATAGCGGTGGTCGGCCTCGTACCAAAACACCCAGTATCGCGTCTTGTAAGCGCATTGCTCTGCCGTCATGCTGCAACGGCCCGCATTGCGGCTCGAGTGCAGCATGACAGGCTGGGTCAGCCAAGGCAAAGACATATTGTCGTTCTCGCCCCTTGTATCGGCTCTCAGTTATGAATTTATGACGCTCTCAAAGCGCGTGACGCGAGCAAGCTTGTAAGGGGAACAGGGCACAGCCGGTTAAAAGCATCAAAGCCTCAAAGACTATATGTATACATGCCGAAAAGAAGGAAGATGGTGGAGCCGTCACCTTTAGAGACCTTTGACCGCGTCTTCCCGGTTTATATCTGTCCGTCTCGTCGGAGGCGTTGCGCAGCTGCCGATCTGGGTGCCCATAATCCCCGTCCACTCTACTAGTCGACTACACACACACACACTCACGGAGAGCCTGCGCAAGTTTGAGAAAGTTTACAGCGCATGTTACAAGCCACAGGTAAGACCCCCGTGGACGTCTAGCGGCCATGCTCGCCCCCGCACGCACGGCGCCTCGGCAAAGGCTGTTTGTTCTGCTTTGCACAGCAAATCTCGTCTCGAGGAGGTTGACCTTGCAGGCCAGTTCTTGACGTCCCCTCAGCAGTCGCGAAATTCCAGCGGCATGTTGGGGAGCTACGTAAACATCCTGGCGGTGATCATTTTCTCGATTGAGGGTGCGAGTAGGCGAAGGTGATTGGCTCCCGTTTGAGACGATGGTGAGGCAGGGAAACGCGCACGAAGCCGTCGAGCCAAGTGTTTTACATCCACTCCAACGGGGTCCGAGACACGGCGCGGCGACCCGAAGGCACGGCCGAAATGGAAGAGGAAACCTTGCCGACAGGCGACATGCGCGGCACTCGTTCGAGCTGGGTCCGGCCGGCCGAGCGAGCCGAGCGAGCCTGCAACACTGCAAGCCATGGAGGAAACCTTTTATGCCAACATCAAAAGGCCTCGGAGCCGTAGCATCCCCCTTAAAAGTGACTGTTCCCTTACACTCTCTTGGGTTTAGCAATGACAGCTCTGGCCCTTGAAGCCTTCCAGGCGCCTGTAAGTGCAGCACATTATAAAACCGCAAACTTAAAGAAAAATTCACAAGGTACTGCCGTTTAAATATCTCGTCTAGTTCAGTTTTCTTTCCAATATCCATAGAGAGTGTAACAAGCTGGAATGATTCTTTCGAGCAAATAATAGAGCTAAACTCATCGTCCCGTCCGGTGTCATAGTCGGGAAGATCGTCCTGGCCCGGGACAGATGCATCTATAGAGGGGCCAATTCAGCGAAAATCCCAAAGTTGCTAGTCCTTATCTCTCAAAGGACTGAACGAGGACGAATAATAATAAATATTAGAAAATTCCCTAAAAAACAGGCATGTACCAGAAGATTTGCTAGGTTGGAAGGGAGATGTCATATCGTTATAATCCGTAGGTAAATCGACTTTATATAAATATTAGCGGATATTAGCGGATACTTATATGCGAGTATTGGAGTACGGGCCCTGGCAATAAGAGAGCATACCGCATGCTTAGGAGGGGTTTCGACTGTAGTATTCCCGCCCTTAAAGAAAGCATCTTCGTAAATTGTAACGGTAGGCTTGGAGTCGGGCTCCAGCAAATACAGGCGCTAATCGCACCGTTAAAGTCGCGGTTGTTGTCGGAAAAATTGTCGTAGCCTGAATTAGAAGCCTCGAAAGGGGGGCCATCGCACTCGTAATCCCTAAACCGGCTAACAAATCTACAACGCCTTCAAAGCTAAGGAATACCGAGAAATTACCAATAAGGCGACAGCGACTAGCAGTTTATTCGGGAGGACAGAAGATACTATATTTTTATACCCTTCGAGCAAGCTCACTTTCCTATATCTGTCGGCAGAAACCGATACCGGGTCAGAGAATCTGTCGCAAGTGGAGAATGCTATTGCACCGCTCAAGAGCGACTTCAATTTCAGTACACCGCTCATGATAGGAAGCATTTTCGCCATGTGTTAACGCTAGGGTCTTTTCCCGGGCTCTGTGGCAGAACCTGACCAGCCACCCAAGGCAGAGGAGCTCGCTCTCGAGCTATCCGCGCCGCGTTACGGGCGTCATGTGGCCGACGACGAGTTAGGTCTCATACCGTTGTGTCGGCCACCACCGATGGAAATAAGCTTCCCATGACGAAATAGTCCATTTGTGCCGTGGGAACCAACTAACATGCGGAGCTGAGATCGATTATATGGGTCCTCAAATGTACAGTCGAGGTGAGACGCGACATCCCGAATTCGTTCAGTGCTATAGACGATACCCTACTTTGTACGAGGCAATTGCTTGTATATACCTAGTCACACTCACACATTAATACAGTCTTGGCAGTCTGCCTTGCTACCCAAGCTTGAGGCGGAAGGAAGCTCCCTTGGGAGCCACCGCGAAGGTGGACGTCCTATATTGTCAAGGATATAACAGGACAAGATAAGCGGCGTTGGTTGGAGCCGCGGCAAAAGGACTTTATGCGGGCTGACCAGGCCAGATGGTCTGGGGGGAAAAGGAAGAAAGAGAAGCTCTATATGATCTCAAACAGCAAGTAGTGCCAATGGCACGTCATGTTGCGCAGCACGCCATGGGAACCAAGGCTGAACAGAACCATTACAGCCTGCAATGAACATTTTTTGGGGGTGGGAGAGGTGCCATGACCTGAAGTTGTGGACTTCGGGCGGCCGAGGCGTCCGGTCAGGCTTCCTGGCGTAGCTGGCTCGTCGTAGCTTGACTCGGATACCAGGGCCAAGATTGTTTCGAACTGTGGTGCCGTGAACTCGGCCTGCTTTGCAGCGATGATCGGAACCAACAGCCAGGGAAGCGCAAGGATGGCGCCGAATATCTCGTCATGCTGATGCGTGTCAAGCTCGGCGGGCGGTTTAGGTAGCTGTTTGTTAGAGAAGCAATTTGTAAAGTGCTTGGGCCGAACCGTCGCTGTAGGCGATGACGAGCGAGGACAGAAGCATCAACAGGTCGCCGAGGACTGATGAAGCCTCGCTATTATTGCTGGTCTTGTCCATGTTGTCAACCAGCCTTGATGAGCGCGCGCTCATAGTCGCCAGGAGCGAGTTTCTCGTCGTTCGTCGCGCTGCATTTTGGTGCCAAGGTCCCGTGACCAGCAACGGCCGGGTAATCCACGGCACAGCACTATAGCAGAGGCATCGCGCCGCTCAGTGAACAGACGACACGCATGTTCAAGGCGATGCAATAAGGCGTCGTTTGCCTCCCAATACGAGACAGCGAATGTGGGTGCCGAATCCGCGCTCTTCATGACCGTCTTCACTGGACTCGATGATCCCGGTCCCTGGCCCCCCCCTTGCATTGGCGGCGCCGACGTGTGCGCCACTCGAAGCTGGCAGCCCCCAGAGCTCCATGGCCGACTCGTCGCGCACGGGCACTTGTTGGTCTCCCTCGAGTCCGCCGAGCTGTAAGCGCAAGCGCAGGTGGGACGCCGAGCCGCCGTGCTTCCTTCGTGTCTCGCCAGACAGCGGCTCCGACTCGCTCGACCCGACTGCCTCGGGGGGCGCGAGCCGAGAACCACAGGCAGTCGTCTTGACCGATCCGCCGTCAGAGCAGCCGCTCCGGGCAGCAACGCTTCATTCCCTCCCGCATCAGCCAGACCCTGTACCCCAGACTCCCCTCGAGCCTCAGCCCAAGCTGTGCCAGGAGCAGCAGGACCTGGTCGACCTGATTGCCAGCGGCCGCAATGTCTTCTACACTGGCTCGGCGGGATGTGGCAAGTCCACCGTCCTCAAGGATGCTCTCCAGAGACTCAAGGCCATGGGTCTCATCGTCCACACCCTGGCGCCCACCGGCCGAGCCGCCCTCCAAGTCAACGGCACCACGACGTGGTCCTACATGGGCTGGACGCCCGACCACCACAAGGTCCCCATGGACAAGCTCACAAAACTGGCCTTTCGAAAGCATGTCCGGCGACGCCTCAAGAGCACCGATGTACTCATCATCGACGAGATCAGCATGGTCGAGAACCATCACCTAGAGCGCATCAACATCTGCATGAAGGAGGCGAGGCGTTGGAAAGAAAACAACGTGGCCGCGTTTGGCGGAGCACAGGTCGTCGTCACGGGCGACTTCTGTCAGCTGCCTCCGGTCAAGCCCTTTCAGCACTGCATCACTTGCGGCCAGGAGATGACCATGGATGAGCACGGGACCGAGTACAACTGCCCGGACAACCATGGGCCGTTCCGCGAGCACGAGAAGTGGGCCTTTATGAGCGACGCATGGGAAGAATGCGATTTCACTCACGTCCACCTGAAGCAGATTCATCGACAAAACGACCAACACTTCATCAAGATGCTCCAGAAATGCCGCCTTGGAATCCCATTCTCGCCAGACGAGACCATGACGTTGATGAACCACCCGTGCAATGTTACCAACGCAACCCGCCTCTTCTCAACAAGGGCAGAGGTCACCGAGGTCAACCTGCAGAACTTCAGCAAGCTACGGACCCCGATCGTCACTTATCAGACTTTGGACGGCTTTGTGTGGCAACACGTCGAGCATCCTCACCTGGAGCATTGCAACGATCGCCTCCCGGACGGCTCCTTGGCGGCTCTGCAGGACCATCGCCTGGAACGACGCGTGGAGCTGAGGGTAGGCATGCTCGTGGTGCTGCAGGTCAATCTCGACCTCCGGGCGGGTCTTTGCAATGGCAGTCAAGGCATCATCTGCGGATTCGAAGACCACGATCCTGCCAAAATCCCGAGAGCCAAGCCATACAATGGTCCACATACAGCCAAGCCATCATCCCATGGCTCATCCACAGCCAAATCATGCAGTGGCTCAGGTATAGGACCGGCGCCCGATGAAGATAAGCCCACAAGCCGTAGGAACAACCACGAGGAGCTCAGAGAACGACAAGTAATGCGCTTCATGAGCGGGCAGAGCAACAAGGTCTGGCCCCGTGTGTTGTTCCACTGCGGCGAGAAGCGCACCATCTACGCTGGATGTGTCGTCAACTCGGTCGGCAACCAGGAGCCCTACTCCCTCCTGCACCGCACACAGGTTCCTCTTGTCGCCGCCTGGGCCATGAGCATCCACAAGAGCCAGGGCATAACGCTGGACCGCGTCATTGTCAACCTGACCAAGGCTTTTGAAGAGGGCCAGGTTTACGTTGCGCTGAGTCGGGCGACGAGTATGGAGGGACTGAAGGTGGAGGGGAACCCAGACGGGCTGGCTGTCGGGCGTGGAGGCAACCCCGACGTACAGCAGTTTATCCGCGAAAAGTTTGGGCCGGGACTCGTGCGGGAACAGCCGGGAACGCCCAATGGTGCCCGAGACCGTCTTACTTCGCAGCCGTCTCAGGCAAAGCCCCAAGGCGGCTAGTTTGGCCTTGAGACTCTTGGTTTATAACTTGCTCGAGGCAAATGCACAAGCTGGATATCGACGGCTATTTTGCCTGGAGTCCCGAATTTGAGCCAAGACCGTGACGGATGTAATATAATAAATTCTAGAGGTAAAAGGAGTGACTGTACAGGTGAAGGAACAGGCAAATAGTTGAATGATGATGCCGAATAATATCAGTCTCGACAGGCGGGAGCTGTTGTCTACTGATTTGAGTAGATAGAATGTCGGTATGAGTACGGTGTGTGGTGCGATCCTGCAGATAGATGACGGGTGAATCCCTCATCGACCGGGAACCTGCCCATGTGCATCACGACTCGTCGTCCGGCCCCGATCAGCAGAAATCTAGTTGCGCAAGACTAAAGATTTGGATTATGTTCCATGTTGTACGATGCCTACGCTACAGGACGTTCCTACTGTGGCGTTATGCGAAGCTTGCGCCCAACTATTCACCAGCCTCGACATGATTCTTTCCTTCTGCGGCCGCAAGGGAGTTGAATTGGTCACCGAGAAAAATTTGGAGAACCACATCTGTGCAATGGAGATTATACGCGCCGGCCAGTGAGCATCATCATAGACGTCAAAATAGTGCTCTGGCTTATAAACATGATAGGTGACCCTGCATCTGCCATCACCCCCTAGAATAGTAATACTTACCGAGTTTACTTCCGCGTAAGATGCAAGTACGTCTGTACGGCATTATCACCTTACTTTCAATTTTATCTGCTTGGCCAGGGCTGTTACCCTCTTTGTCCGCACTTCTAGCTATAACCCTGTATGCAAATGATCAGCTAGAGTCGCTGCAAGGGGAGCATATGGCTCTATAGAATTACGCAATAAACTAGTTCTTCGTCGTCCTAAAGCTGCACTGCCAATTTAATGACGTTCTGAGTTTCCCACGCTTACAGTGGACAGTAGATATGAATACGCTGTGATTAACTGTCTAGTGACGGAACTTAGCCCTAATCAACCTATGATGATTCAACTGACGAAAATGAGGTGGATCATAAGATAGTTCCGGATGTTTTACGATCCGAGAAAGGGAGCGTACGCATAGTGTCTATAGAGATAGAGACTTGCACCAAATGTCTTTGGACTCTAAGTCGCACTCGGTGCACGCCAATCCGGTGGCAAGAGACAATATTTCGTGGATTCGACGGTTTTGAGGTGCCCGACGAAATATTGCGTAATCTGACTCCTGATCCTGAAGCTGTAGCGCCGAAGGGGAGAAGAGAGTAGCTTAGGAAGGGTAGACTTAGATTGAGGTTCCGAATATGAGGATGATATATGAGGACCCCGAAAGACTGATTTAAACATGAGGGCACAGTGCAAGAAAGCTGTTCGACGGCAATATCGATATTATTATTATCGTCCTGCCTAGGAAGTTAAGCGGCAGCTTGCTGAAGGCAGTTAAGACGATGACGAGGGTGGTTACATCACATGGCGCCACTTATGCACCTAGACTAACTTGGCTGCGTGTGACTTACGGAACTATTCTGCTAACAATGAGGCAAACAGTCTGAGGTGTGATGACCTCGCCCAGTTGCCTATCGAGGTGGTTAAGCTCATAGTGGCTCTCAGAGGCAAGAGAAAGTTTCTGTGTTATATTAACGATGGAGTAATATTCACTGTGCAAAGAAGTATCTTTCATTGCTTAATAGCGACAAGGAATGATCACTAGGGCCGCAAATAAATGGACACAATGAGGTCATCTGTGGCTGCCCAAGGTGGAAAAAGGCAGGTTAAAAGGCTTAGAAGTCAATTGTGTCTGGAATCTTACTGCTTGGGTTTACGACGTCGTACTGAGATCCTTGCGACAGTGGCGAGCGATCTGAGAAACGTTATGGGCTCGGCTGGTATACCTTGTCTCTCTGGTCGAAAGTCCTCCAGCAGTCTGATGGCTTTTTTCTCTCGTTCTTCGCCCGGTATTGCTTAATTTACTGGCTGCAGTCACGATTGCCCATCCGGTTAAACAGATCGCGCAAGTCGACCTGACAGCATGTTTTGCTTCCAAATCGCAATAAAGATCATGTTTTTTACATGTTTCGTTTGGCAAGAAAGTTGCGAAAACGGGTACTGAATAACGTCAGGTCTTGTGCATTTGAAGACTGGGATGCAGATGCCGCGAAGAGAGTCTTCGCCGATGCAGCGGTAGTCAACTCCCTGTAGAAGCCCATTGCCTCCGACTATTTTGCCATTGAATATCGAAGGGAACATCACGTGGCTGGTGAAGGACATCCGGCCATTCAGGACGGAATAAATTGTACCGACGTTGCACCATTCTTGGCCGCCTACGTGCACGTTAGAATGACCACGCCCTATTGTCGTGGGATGAACGGATCTTAACATTGCCAGCCAAGTCGGCTAGCACTTGGAACTTGTAGAATTTCGTATTCCGAAGCCCATTATCCTCAAGGTATGCTATGCCTTGCAGCACCAGCAGCTATCAATAGAACTCATTGCCTGCTAGGACGTGAAACCTACTTGACCCAGGATTGCCGTGAGGTTCAGCTCGCCAAGTTCGGCGTACGCTTGCGCGCACACGACAACGACCATTATGGGCATGAGGTTGAAAAGCACGGTGGAGTTGTCTCCCTCTCGGTGGGGGAGGATGGTGTATACGTTGACGAAGGTCTGGTGCCGAATGTGTTGGAGAAAGGACGATTTCTCTGTCTGATTAGGCCCAGTGAAGAAACGCATAACCTTGAAGCCGCGGTAGGTGTGAGTGATTCTGAGATGAGATTTCTACCATTATGTCGCCGTCGCCGTCTTTGCTAGTGAAGTTTATTCCCGTTTGGCCTGGCGTTGAGCACAAGATGTCATTACCGGTGGCAGAGTCGCTCAAACTATCGCTCGACGTTGTCGCTCGAAGTGTCGCGCATAGTGTTGTTCGGGTTTACAAGAAAGACAAATGGCAAAAGTTTTGGGTGATAAGGGGCGATTTATGTAGTTTTGCTAGAGCCCACAGCTTGTACAAGCTGGGCACGGAGACATAGGTAGCGTCCGGTGCCCGCCCAACGCCTCACGGCAGCGACTTGCGCGACAGTGCGATAGCATTCGGTGCTTTTCGGCCGAGAACAGCGTTTTTCTCAACCAACAAATGCGGCTAATAATAGTGGCTTTCAATATCCAAAAGTTCTTATATGATCAGTTTCGCGGTACTTTGTATATGCACCTTCCACAATCGTCACGCACTGCTCTTTGTACTTCATCTGATCTCAGCGTTTCCTTAACCAGGGCATCCACTGTATGAAGTGATCCCTTCAAAAGGTTCCGAGCCGGAGCCCGCTCGGCATGCCGCCAGTCTCCACTCTCCACTGTCATGATTCCCAGGCTACGTGTACCTGCCTCAAGCGCCCTAGCACCTCGAAGCCTCTGCTTCTTCTCTCCAGACGCCGAGCAAGTGTCAGAGACGGCGTCACCGAGTAATACACATTACACATGATGATGCCCAAGGTGGAAATCACGGCAGACGGGTGCCTGCGTGCCTGGTCCAGGCTTCCAGGGTCGTCTTAAAAGCATGCTGTGTAACTTATTACACCCCTGGACAAAATGATTCGGAAGTCTTGGGCCGGTTTGGTGCCCCCCAGACAAGCAGGTAAGCACTAATAATGGAGCAGCAGATTGTAGGCTGACCAAAATCTGATGCAGATACGGATAGAGGTCCTTTTTTCCCGCGGCTACGTGCCTTTTCCCGAGCATATCCTCCGCTTACCTTGCAGATTGTTATCAGCATAATGCATGCCCACGTTCACCATCTCACCGAAGCTGACAGGTTATCGGGCCGAGCTCTCTGGCCGCTTTGTGCAATGCGTAGCGCAGAACGCGATGTGATGGAGTGCATCCTTAGTTCCTTACAAGTTCTTGAGCGCACATTCGATGGATAAGTCAATTCAACCCCCTATGGTCAACTAAAAGAGAAAGGGCTTACATACAGTTCGGTTTCGCCCACGTGCTGTTTCGGAATTCGTCCATTGTTGCAGTCATGGGTGAGTCTCACTCGGTCCCACTGCTCGGCAATTGTACACGGTGAGACGCGACCAATAATAGGTCCCTTTGTGCATGTTGGGCATACAGGTGTCCTACCTGCTTGAATGTGGCTGGGAACCGCCGTTGAGGTCCAAGTTGCTTACCCCGATCCGAAAACGAGGCTCTCGTTGGAGATTTGAACCCACGGTCGAAGAGGACTAAGCTCCGGACCTCATCATGGCTAACACTTGTATCCAACCTCCTTCACCCTAACCAACCTAACCAGCCTTACCTTTTTACTGATCAGTGAAGACTTCCCCACCATGCCGCGACTTTTGGCAGCAACAAACGCTGCCCAGCAGCCAGAACAAGAGCTGCGGCGAGGTCTGAGCAAGTTGGAGCGCAAACGGGAGCTTAACCGGATCGCCCAGCGGAATTATAGTTAGGCCCCCTGATGCCCTTGTCCCTGCTGGCGCTGTTCAAGTCGTAGGACGCTTTGCCGAGCCGGAAATGACTGACAGTCTTTGGTCATTTCAGGGCGGAACCAAAAGCAACGCATCATAGCACTCGAGGCGGCGGCAGCACAGTCTCTGTCGGCCGCAACAGAGCCCCTCCTCGATTCTAGAGTCCATGTATCTGCATCTACTGGCACTGCTTGTGCAACTTCTCCCCTTGAAGATGCCTCGGCTGGTATGACGCCTTCACTTTCAACCATGACGACTCCCACGACTACAAGCCGTGACTGCGCTCCTGCTATCCCTCTCACCCCTCCTTCTTTCTCTTCCCCCCCTGATGCTGCGCTGTCGGTTGATCTGCCAAAAGACTCACTTTTTGCTTCCGGCCCTCTTGATCCGGCTTTATCCCTGATTGGGCTCGAAGATGAAGACCATGACGGGGCTGTTTGGGAAGGCGACGTTGAATGGAATTGCAAGGCGCCCTCGAGTCCGACTCATCGCCAGGGCCAGGGCGCCCTTCATGTTGCCGTCTGCGGCGGGAACGAGGACATGGTGCGACTACTCTTGGATCACGGGGCCGACATTGCAAAGCGGGACTCAAGAGGCAATACCGCCCTGCATGTGGCCGCGGCCATGGGATCTGAGATCGTTGTCAAGCTTCTTCTCCGGAAAACCGCGGACCCAGACGAGGCCAACCTCATGGGCCAGACGCCGCTGTTCATGGCTGTTCAAAACGACAACGAAGCTGTTGCACGGATTTTGTTGCTAGACGCCATGGCTGACGTCAATGTCCAAGACTGCTTCGGCAATGCCGCTTTACATGTCGCCGTGCAAGGGGGTTCCGTGTCGATGACGAGCTTGCTTTTGAAGAACGGCGCAAACATCAACGCTTAAGTGTGGTATTTTGGCTTTGGAGTCCATGGAACGTGGTGCGGATAAGCGAATGCAAAGGGAGTGTTTGTCAGGTATTGATATATATGAGCTTGGTGGCATACCAAGCCGAGACATAAACATCAGGAATCACTCATTGATGTCACTTTTGGGCTTCGAGGCAACTAGGCCAAACCGTTTCTTTGTCCACCTTGCTGCACTGTCACTCTTAATTACTCGCCTCACTCTGAATGCGAAACACTGATTGGTTGCCGACGGCTGACTACTTCATCGTAGTTGAAATGACGGCGTGTGTAGTTGATACAAAGCAACATCACCTCATGGCATAATGGTTCTTGTCATCGTAGTATGCAACTGTCGTGGTCCACGTAAGGATTACCGCTTTAGTCACGACAATTTCTCTTTACCTTGCTCATGACGTTACCCATACACGTAACGTAGAGGACAGTACTTTGGAGGCTTACTTCAAACATGTAGCGGCACAACGCAAGACGATGCGTGCCTGAAGCTGTGCACATACCTCGATTAGCGCTTGGTCGCATCATGACCACACACACAAACTCAAAGACAACTCTATCTAGACTCGTCCCCTAGTTTCTCAGCCATTTACTACGGCCAAATCACCATCCGAGGAATCACATTTTTGACAATCATCAATGGCATCATCCGACGAGACCGAGGCGTTTCTCAAGGCTTCCAGCTTCGAATCAAGACGAGACTCCCCCGTCACTCTGCCCAATTCTCAAATCCGCGTCCCTGCACGGTTCCGAAGACTGACGCGCGCCTTCAATTCATGGCGTGTCGATCTATTCTTAGTAGTCGCCGTCACCTCCATCTTTTGGGTCGCGGTATTCCTCTCGTTTCGCCTTGTCCTCGCCCGAGCTACACCAGGTCAAGAATGGAACCTGGGAACGAACCACAGCATTTTTGAGCAAGCTGCATTCTCTGGATGTGGCCGCTCTGCCGTCGAGGCCAAGGCCGCCGGGTGCCAATACGATATCCTAAGCAATCATTGGGTGCCGCAGCCGTGTATGGACGACGAGGCCATACGTGACTACCAATCGGACGGCTCGTGGCATGGCTACGCGGACAAGAACCGCACCAAGCTGATACCTAGCACAGAGGCTATGGGCGATCTCGGTGTTTACTATACATCAACGCGCGACCACATTGTCCATTGTGCGGCACTCTGGAGAAAGCAGTACCGAGCCTTTGCCGAGAACAGGCGCTTTTTCGATTCAATAATTGCGGATGCAATGCATACGATGCATTGCTCAAACTTTCTTGTGGATATGACGGATAACGGAATGGACTACTGGAACAGGTCTATTGCCGTCGAGGTCGGATTCGCGGGATGCTTGAAGAGAGGGTGAGAAATTCGTGCGTGTATGTAAGGATGAGAGAACCCCATTGTTGATGGAGCAGCAATGTATCGAGTGATAGTGTCCGGTAACATGGCCCAAGGAAGAGTTAGGGCCGTCTTGGAGCTTTTTGATACAACATCTGCCAACGGGTTCCATCTTCGCCTGATGAAGCTAAGATAGCAACCAGTGGTCACCCGACGTGAGGGTGATTGCAAACAGGCTCCAGCTCAATCTCACTCAATATGTAAATTTATGCGCTCAGCCCCGCGGATTGGCCTCGGAGTCTTGCCGTTGACGATGGAAAGACCAGAGAGGTCCACGATGAAACGTTGGCTGCTTTTCATCATCCAGTTGCCGAAGATCTCAAGTTCTTACTTCCAGTCGCCCAAGCAACTGCAATATTCCGAATAATACAAGTGGCGAGCGCGTCTCTAGTTGAAAGTAGGTATCAGCGCGCGATATGAGCAGTAAAACTGAAACTTAGAGAAGCGCTCATGAGGGCTTTGAACAAGTTAGAGAAACTCCTTAATTTATATCAGCGAGCTGATAGAAGTAACCATATAAATGGAATGACCTGAAGAACAGCATGTTGACGCCAATACTGAGAAAGTAACCGAATGCGTCTTTCAAGAATTTAGGTTGCTAACCAACAAGAGAGTGATCTGGCTACATGACCGGTGGCTATGTCCCTCAACCCATAGTGGCTTAACGTTCCTTTTCTTCAGAGTTGCTGTCCCACCCGCCTGAGATGGAACCATCTCGCCGGGCACCATCCGCGCCATCTTGTAGAGCATTCTTCTTTTCGACTCAGTGCTTGCCGTAAGAAGTACCGTCTCGCTTGTCGTCGGGAGAGGCATGGCCATTGGACCTGCCATAGAGAGTGCCGTCTCGCTTGTCGTCAGGCGAGGCGTGACCGTTGGCCCTGCTATAGATCGTGCCATCCCGCTTGCTATCGGGAGAGGCGTGACCGTTGGCCCTGCTATAGATCGTGCCATCCCGCTTGTTATCGGGAGAGGCGTGACCGTTGGCCCTGCTATAGATCGTGCCATCCCGCTTGTTATCGGGAGAGGCATGGCCGTTGGCCCTGCCATAAAGAGTGCCGTCTCGCTTGTCGTCAGGCGAGGCGTGACCGTTGGCCCTGCTATAGATCGTACCATCCCGCTTGCTATCGGGAGAGGCATGGCCGTTGGCCCTGCCATAAAGAGTGCCGTCTCGCTTGTCGTCAGGCGAGGCATGACCGTTGGCCCTGCTATAGATCGTGCCATCCCGCTTGTCATCAGGGTTGGCGTGGTGCGTGTCGCGAACGTAGGCGGCAGCGACAACAGTCAGCCCCTTGCCCGGCGCCAGAGGTGCTGCGCTTGTCATGGCAAGCAGGCTGGCCGCGACTGCAAGAGAGATACGCATCTTGTCTTGGAAGAATAATAAGTTGGGAGGTCAAATTTTGAGGACGAGTTGAAGTCTCAGAAGGATGCCGCGTGTTGGATCGTCTTGGTAAGATGATTTATTCCTCGGGCTCAGCTTTAAACCGGCTTTCTCGCCCCCAGAAACTATGAGAACGAAGCAACTTGGACATAGACATGTCAGAGTCATCATAAAACTATGACAACACGTTATTGACCGCTGACTTACGTGGTCTGGACTGGCTTGAGTGTACCGAGATACACTCGTCCTGTACTTCAGAGCTATTGCCATGGTAATAGTCACCGGTCCTACGGCATCATGCCCACGTTCCCGTCTATCTTCCCGTGTCCATATCACCCGGTATGAATCGAAAGAGAGAGTTTCTTGCGAAACATGAGGTCGAACCCACGTTATTTGCAGTTGCTTTAATGTTCATATATCCGGTTGGAATAATCTTAAGATGGATTTCCGGAACTGGATTACGTGAAACGATGTTCTTTCTAAATCATCTAGCTAGCAATGCTGGTTGTAGTTGACTTTAGGAACTCTGGTCTCGATCCGTTCCCATCTCTCGTCTTTCTGTATGGCCTCGAGGAGGAAATATGCGCAATGATGGGCATGCTCATATTCCTTTAGCTTTGGCGTAATTTGTGATGCATTGTCCCGGATTATTTGGGCCATGCTCAGAAACATGAAGACGCAGTGAGTCAGGTGCTCTCCCCGCTGGCCGTAAAGCCTGATCTCGTTATCCAGAGCCTTGGACCAGTTCTCCCCGACTGCGACTTCCTTGCCCAAGCCATCGAGATAGTAAGTCCAATTTTGCACACTGATAAACTCATCGTTGGCGTAATGAGGGCAGCCTGGAGGAGACCACGCCCAAGTCAGATGGTCGAATGAGCAGCCACGCTCCACAGCCTCCCTTGATGAATTTCCACACAAAGACGCCGTCGCGACCTCGGCTGACTCTTTCTTGCTCATTGAAAGGCCTTGGGGCCCAGAGTGTCTCAGCCAAAACGACCAGGTAATGACGAAGGCGACGAGGAATCCGCAGACCACGCCGCCCAGGAAAGTGAACAGCATTGCCCGACGTTTATTGGTCGGTCGTTCTTGCTGTCCACTTGTGCCGCTTGCTGAGAGAATTTTGTCATTTTCGAGGGCGGTTTCCGGATATGCTATTGGCACGACTCTGTATGGTCCTCTGGAGAACAGGAAGCGGATTCGTTGAGGCATTGTTTGCGAGTCTGTATAGTGTATGTCACGCTTTGCTGGCGAAATGGAAGAATGGAAAACGTGCTAAACTGCTTCCCATGTCGACGAGGCTCGTGTTATTTTGCCCATGACAGTACGTGGAAGTCTTGCCCGCTCCTTACGGCACGTTCAGCCGCGCAGCTACTACGTTTTCCCAATATTGCAGTTGGGGTGATGACATGACGTGAGACCAAAAAAAAAGATAAGACGAGGTAGAGTACATATGTGATGCGGATCCACGTAGTATGCAACGCAAAGAATCTGTCATTGATGTGAAGTTCCTGCACCAGCCAGAATTACCTACAACATCTTGGCAGAAGTCTTGCAAGACCATGCCTTGAAGATGAATCCCACGACGAGACAATCTCCGAGACCAAGTTGGGAATCAAGTCGTGAGGGCAAACGAATGCTAGACATGGGTGTTCCGATTGGCCCATCACACTGCGGACATGAGTGCCACAGCTTACACCCTCGTCGCCCCTGGAAAACAGTCGTCCCCTGGAGCATTTCCTTTGTTCTCCTCATAGCCCTTCTGCTCTCTCAACATACTTCGTCGCAAGCTTGCAGACGGCAAGGATTTTGGAGAGAGGCTGAGTTCGGTAACAAGAGCATGCTCCTCCTGAGGCCAGTAGCAGCCCTAACGATAACTAGACACCGCCAAAAAAGAGATTGCTCCGGCCCTGCAGCCGCGACGCTTCGAAGCCACTCTCAAGTATAACGAGAGCCACATGCTCTATCGGCCAGTTACGTATCCGCAATACGTTGGAGATCCGAGTCCTGAAATCGACAAGGCGTGGGACGAGCTTGTGGGGCGTATGAGCTTTCTCACACCTTGCTGTGCGACTGAATACTGACTTGTTCGTCCTCATCAGCCGTTACCCTGTTAGTGTCTCCGGAAGAAAAGAAACTCTTTCCTGGTGCCGATCTCTTTTTGGATCCGGAGACAGGATTGCATCTAGCGCAGTGAGTTTTGATGGTCCCTGAAACGGAGTAGGATACTGGCCTTGATTGCTAATCTAGTGTCGATGAAGGCTGACCGTTATGCATGACCTGCATTGTCTGGTACGTCGCGCAGGGAGTTGGCAAAGAAATCCATCACTAAAGAGCTGCCCTCGTAGAACATGCTTCGTATGTCGAGGCACCTTGACTACTACACGGAAATGGATGACTACACTCTCCAGCCGCACATTGGTATTGTTTGGACCGTTCCACTGTGCCGGTCCCGCTAACGTTGGGCAATCTCTTAGAGCATTGCATCGATAGTCTCCGTCTGAGCTTAATGTGCACCGGCGACATGACTCTGCTCCCGGTAGAATGGTCAGCAAACAGAAACTGGCTGATGCCAGTTTTTGAGTCGGTCCATACGTGCAGAGACTTTGGCGAGCTGAAGGCTTGGGCTAAAAACAGGGACGGCAAGGGTGCGCGGAGTGTACGCGAAAACTCTCAAAGGTACCGGAAAACTGGTGGTTTTCAACCTCGACGGTAGGCGTTGGTTTGCATTTTCCAGTAACGATATCCTGTTTGACCAGCAATTCATCGTGTGGAGTAGAACTGGTATCCTGAATTGCCTTGCAAGACCATTTGAGCCACTTAAGACAAAAGCCGCCGACCATTGTATCCCTCGCTCTGACGATTCTTGCCGCGACATGGGTAGAGTTCCGCTACAGATAATGGAGCAGTTACTTTGCCTTTGTCCGAGTTCCAGTTGTCTGTTCTTCCCTGTCGCGAATCAAGTTGTCTCACACAATTTGCTCGTTGACAATATGAGAAGAGTCTCAAAGAACGAGTCTGCATTATCTGGGCCGGGTGAACTAGCGCAAGCACTGTTTCCTCACTCATGGCAACACGTGGTCTATATTCATGCCCTCAACGTACAAATTATCAATACGTATAGCAAAGAACCCCAGCCTCGGTTGCCATCACATCAGATACCGGGACCGTGGGGGCCAGCAAAGTACCGAGAGAAATTTCATCTGTCAGTCGCGCAAGGGTCGTCTCATCGTTTCGCGATATACCGTGATACTCGTTGACGCGCTTATCGGGCTTCCGATTTTGCCACGTCCACCAAAGTCTATCGAGCTGACTGGTAGCAGCGGCAAGTTAGCTCCAGGCGATAAAGAAAAAAACGACCAGGAAGCTCGTGAGAAACTAGGAGGAGGGCAAAGGACTGCTGTACCTGAGATGCAAGATATAGAGCGGATCATTGGGCCCGGAATACTGAGAAAAATCTCCACCAATGCTCGCGCTTATTGATTGACTGGGGCCGGACTGCAACTGGACTAGAAACCTGTCATAGTCCTCTTGGCCCAAAATTTGCTCAATGACGGCCGGCTTTGCCTGGTCGCCTGCAATTCTGCCTTCTATTTGGCCGTCATGGAAGCGACGCGAAAGACAGTGGATCTTTGGGTCGACGAATGATGAGGAAGCGAATGTCAGGGTGAGGTTGGCAAACGGGCCATCTGTGACACAGAATGCTTCATCGACGCCCTGTTTCGACGATGCATTGCCGTTGCCTCCAAAGCCGACAGTTGCGGAGAAGACGTCCGATGAGGCCATAGACTCCCTAAATGAAATGAGATTCCGAGAATGAGAATTATCGCTGAAATGATACGCACCAGTCGACTGTCCAGTCCCAATACCTGAGCAAGACACGTCAGCGATTACCACACGGAACAATGTCGAGATAGGGGCGCTCACATCAAGCTGCCATTATATCCGCACTCGTTTCTCAGCATTTGTTGATAAACATGAAGAAAGTATCGGTTCCAAGGCAGAAAAGATGCGGCACCAGTGGCTAAGTTGTGACATTGAGTTAAGACCGAGAGTCCCTGTTCGTTCAGGTCAAGGTCAGAGAAAAGGTGACCTACTATGACGGCCAAGGTATGCGCGAACAAACGGAAAGTCGTCGTATAGATTGCCATGACTTCGAGTCTTGGATGGTCTGGCTGACAAACATTGTACGGCACGAATGTACTCGTCCTTGTCTGCGGCACTTAGACTTCGCCATTCAACTCGCTTCTGTGGGTTCTCGCAGTGGCTGTCACGGTGCTCTTTCTCATGCTGTATCTTGGCAATAAGACCATTGTCTTGGAGGAACTCGCCGGCAAGGAAGCCCAGACTTAGGAGCAAGAGACAAAATGCAGCTAGAGGAATGGGGCCGAGTGACAGTTTCCGCGTTAGAAAGGTCTCGTGGAAGCGTTGTGTTTCTTTCGTGGCTGAGGTGTGATTTCCAGGGCCTGGTTCAACGCTGCTGCCTCGGGGACTCGACTCCTCGTCCCCTAAAGCATCGTATTTGGCTCCTTGTTGGCGTCCAGGCAGAAAGGAGAGCACTCTGTTGAACATGCCCATGGTAAATGGCAGCGCCGTCGACTGTTTACCCGTCTCTAGCAATGCAAGTACGAAAATTGATGAGATACTGGCTCCGGAGGTCCAAAGTACGTCAAGCCTTGCAAAGCTACATTTCGCGGAATGTTGCTCGACAAGAGTGAGAGCTCCAAGTTCGGAGCACTGTATTGGCAACCACAGAGTTCACTTTCTCTGTCATAGGCGGGAGACAATGACGTGAGACGTGTTGCGGGGCGTCATGATATTACCCTTTCGTGCCCAAGAGTATTACGTGCTGCAGAAGATGTACATAAGCTTGTCGCACGACCTGCGCACCGTGTGATACGACTGCATAGAACATGTCTAACTAAAGGGCCAGGTACGTGATTACTAGAATTTGTCTTTGGGTGATCTACGGCATACATAATCGTCGTGAGTGACGTATTAGTTAACGTTGTCTACTTTTTGCTCATCCTATTGGTCTCACAAACGAGTGGGATAGCGTTGTTGGTCCGCAGTGTCACGTACTTTTGACCCTTACGTTGCACTGCCTCGGTAGGACGACTTTATGTCTTTCGTCTCGGGTATCATTCCCTGTTGTTGTCGTCTCTCACCAAGCATTGACACGTGAACATGCTTACGGGTACGATAATGTCTCAGTCTGCCGCAGTATTGGTGCTCGTCGACCAGACTGACTGCTAATTGCCTTATAGTCATCTAAACACACTGCAACTTGCTGTCGAAGCGTGCCCCCATGAATTTGGCAAACATTCCCAACCACCTGCAGTCGCCGCCGCAGAAGCCTCCGGGGTTCACGGCGACTGCCGACTCCATTGTCCAAGAAACCGACTTCTTTCTGCAAGGTCTGCTCGAGACGCATGATCGCGTCTCACGACAAGTCACGCCAGAAGACGCCCGTTTCGATAATGTAATTCTTCCTCTTGTCCACGGGGACAATAGTCGTATTCACCACGGACGTACACTGGACTTGTACGACCTGTTGTCCTCCGATGCCGACGTCCAAGAAGCTGCTAGCAAGGCCCGGGCGCGCCTTGATCAATTCGCCCTTGAGTCCGGCCTCCGACAAGATTTATACCAGCTGGTCGGCCCGGTCAAGACACAGCTCGACAATCTCGACGATGAGTCGCAGCACCTAGTGCGGCAAATGTGCCAGAGCTTTGTTCGCAGCGGCACTTGCCTACCACTGAGTGCTCAGGATCGGCTCAAAGAGATTAATGCGCGAATCAATACTGTCAAATCCGAGTTCAAGAAGAATCTCTTGCAAAGTAGAACGAGTGGAGGCGTTTGCTTTACCCACGAGGAGCTTCATGGTGTTCCCGATGACAACTTGTCTCGTCTGCCCCGCGGCAAGGTTGAGGACGGGGATCAAGATAAGCTGCTTGTGACCAGCCCGGCACTGGTAATGAGACACGCCAAGCGCGGAGAGACCAGAAGGCGATGTGAAATGGAATCGCATAATCGGATTCCCCAAAACGTCCCCCTCTTCAAGGCGGTCGTTGTGCTGCGGGACGAGGCCGCGCGACTGCTTGGATATCCCAGCCACGCCGCATTTCGCATCGAGACCAAGCTAGCACGCGACCCAGACACGGTCAACAGCTTTCTTCAGCAGCTGTCGTCTCGACTTTCTATCACTGGGAAAAGCGAAGTGGAGGAACTGAGACGCGTCAAGCAAGCCGATGCTGAAAGAGGTAACCACGGGGATGATGTCAGTGATGACAACGTCTACCTGTGGGATCTCCACTACTACCAGGCCATGTTGAGGGAGAAGGAGTTCTCCATAGACCAAAAGGCCGTGTCCGAATATTTCTGCTTGGAACCCACTGTTTCGGGTTTGCTAGGCATATTTGAGCACCTTTTCGGGCTGACATTTGTCGAGCTCTCAACCAGCGAATGCGGTGCATGGAGTGACGACGTACAGCTTTTGGGCGTTTGGAACAGCGATAGAGATAACGCCTTTCTCGGCTACCTCTACCTGGACATGTTTGAACGCGACGCCAAGGCTGGCATCCAGTCGGCTTTGAACGTGGTGCCCGTAAGTTGCTACCCTGAAGCACAGCTTGAGCGGTGCCATCGTTGACCGTGCTTTCATGTCAGGGTTATCGTCGACAAACGGGCGACTATAACTACCCCGTGTCCGTCCTGATTTGGAACTTTTCCAAGCCTAAGCCGGGACACCCAAAGCTCATGGATCATGGTCAGCTTGTGCAGCTCTTCCACGAGCTCGGCCACGGCGTTCACGACATGGTGTCGCACACGCGTTACGCCTGCTTTCACGGATCTTGCGGCACCTCAGTCGACTTTGGAGAGGCGCCGAGCCAGCTGCTCGAGAACTGGACCTGGGTCCCTTCGCAAGTCCAGTCGCTCAGCAGACACTACTCATACCTTTCGAATGAGTACTATCAGATGTGGCAAGAAGAGCAAGGAGCAACTGCAAGGGACCAGCCCCCGGAGAAGATGCCGGATGACATGATTGCTTCCCTCTTGAGGGCAAAACACGTAGGAACCGCCATCACCCATTTGCTCACGCTTGCGCTCAGCATCTACGACATGACGGTCCATCAAGCCAAGAGTCAGCAAGACGTGCAAAATAGCAACATGTCTGCCCTTTACAACCAAGCGCTGAGAAAGACGTACCCTCTTCAGCAGCCAGAAGGCGACGAATGGGGCCACAATCAGACCAAGCTCCAGCATCTCATCAGCTCAGACTACGACGCAGGGCTGTACAGTTATCTTTTGTGAGTGTTCTAAGAGTGTGCATGACGTTTCCTGTTTCCGCGTTGCGATGCTTGCTTTGTTGTCCCCACTCTACCCTTCTTGTCTTGATTTCTGTCTTGCTGATACTGGCTGTAGCTCCCGGGCGTATTCCGCGGACATGTTTAACACATACTTTCGACATGACCCCATGAGCGCGACAGAAGGTCGCAGGTTTCGCCAACAAGTGCTTGAGAAAGGTGGCAGCCAGGACGAGCTCAAGACCATGGAGGATTATCTGGGCCGGCCTCTCAACATGACAGGTCTATACAAGGAGCTTTGCTACAACGAAGTGCGAGAAAAGGAAAACCACTGCAGCTAGTATGAGCTGGTAGTAACTTCTGCCCTTCCAAGGCATGGGTTCCCGTTGGGGGGCAGCGCGCGCGTCTGGAGAGTCAGTCGAACCGGAAATTGACCAGGGGTCGGCCGAAATGCATCATTCGCAGCACACGCACGCTCAAGTTTATCGACCATGCTTTCAATATACTGCTTACGGCGGCGACAACGAGCAGATTCCAGGTCTAGGCACTGAACCTCAACCTTGGTGGTCGAAATTATCACTCAACCACAGCATATAGAGCGGCATGCTCGACATAGCACTGATCACATCGAGAGTCTGCCAAGTGGTAGACCTAGGCGAGCAGTTCGTCGAGATATTGCATGGAGATGAAGATTCTCTGCTCGATGGCTTTGGCTGCTTTCTAAGCCTGCTCCCTGGACTTGCAAGCTTCCATTTGGCCTTTAGCGAACACTAATGCCTCGAGCCAGTAATGCCGACGCTCGCCAGAGGGCTGTTCATTCCCAACTTGAGAGAGCCACATTTGTAGTTCAAAAGCTCCGCGTCTTGATTTAGCGAAACGCCTTCGTGCCAATTGTTGTGCTTACGTCGTCGGGAATCGTGCACGGCAGATATTAAAACGCTGCTGACGCCCTGATCTCGTCCCACAAAGAGGAGGAATCAGCTAGGAAGAAAGTCCAAGTTTCGACGGAGTTGTCAGGCATATCCTCGATGAAAATCGTTGTCGAGTCACTAGTCAAGGCAACACGCGTTTCTCCTGGACCCTGTTTGTAATGCCGGATAAGCTTATGCATTTGAGCTGAAGCCCGGTCCATATTCCATATCAGGGTAACCAAAGAGAGCCGACCATTAACCCGGAGATTAGTATGGCGTCTGAAACCTCCGCCCCCACCGTTCCCCTCGTCAAGCAGAACCCACTTAGTTGCGACGTCTTAGCTTTGTCCCCGCCCGATCAGCTATTTACTCATGACTCTCCCATCCACTGCTCCGCATCTGATGTCCTTCTTCGCTGCGGCGATGCACCCTGCACATACTCAGGCTACGAGGACTTGACTTGTAGCCAAGGTTTCGTAACGGACGAGGTATCTGCTCGCATAATGATGATTAAACCAAACGTCCGACTCATAAGCAAGTGGATCATAAGATGATCCCTCATTTGCTTGCAAACAAAACGCGCATCCCTAGGTTTCCTGAACAGCTGGACATCCATCATCCCTGTCTTTCAGCATCTGCTCTCCTCTCCCGTGGGAGCCAGCCAGTCCTCCTGTTATTTCCGTTGCCCCCGCACAAATTTCTTCGTCTCAACTCGGTGGCGCCGCTCCGACTCCTTCTGCGGTCCTCGGCACTTGTCGAGATGCAAGCGGAGAGCTTCTAGAGCGCATGAAATCATGCCGCGGCACGCCGATGATCTCTGAAAGAAACTATAGGGAGGCGTACCTTGCCCGCGACGGCCTTGGACGTGACCTAGCAGCAAGCATAGGCCGCACCTGATATTGGTATAAAAGAAATTGGTCCCCTTTCGATTAAGGAGCCTGTTTCGTTCGATAACGGCCACGGCGCTGAATTTCATTCATTCTTCCCCTGTCGTTATTGAACCCATTCGCTCTCTTACCTTATCATTCTCTTTGCTCGTTCTTTGCTTAACCACCTTCTTTCACTGCACAAGATGCGCTCCATTACGCTTCTTGCTCTGGCACTGCCGCTTATCGCGGCCTTACCCCTTGACGAGGCAGTGCCCGTGCAAAACAAGGAGATGAGGTGGACACCCTCGAAGGGTGAACTGGGCGAGACCATCTGGAATGGTCTTGCAGGAGAGACGGGCGGGTCGAAACCGGATATCACGTACTGGGGTCCTCAGGCCAACACGGACGGGTCAAAGGGAAAAGGCTTGCCCGAGGAAATGGATGGGACCAAAAGGCCCGAACCGGTGGGGGAAAACGGTTCTAAGCCTCCCATGCCTCCGCGCCCGGCAACTGCCGATATGCCTCCCCCGGACGCAGAAGTCGACAACGGCGACGAACTCGCGTGCCCAGGCGGCGATGACGGCAAGCCCGACGAAGACTTAAAGCCCCGGCCTTCTTCGACTCCCAAGCTGGCCCGACCACAGCCCGCCGGCGGAGCCACCGGTAACGGCACTGGTTCTACTCCGGGCCCCGTCCCCGAGAATGCCAAAGCCGGTCTGGCCAAGGTTAACGACTTGCGAGCTCTCCACAGCGCTCCCTCCCTGACATGGGATAAGGGGCTCGAGAAAATGGCTCAAGATTGGGTCAACTTATGCAAATTTGCACACGGGGGCACTGAAAGGGGAACGGGCCAAAACATCTATGCCAGCAGCATAGAATTAGGCCCTGAAGATGACTACCTCAGCGAGCCTACCCAGTCTTGGTATAGCGAAGAACCACAATATGCTAGCACCGGGTACGGTGAGCCTCGCCAGCTTGGCGTGGCCGGACACTTCACACAGCTGGTCTGGGAGGGAACCACCAAGGTGGGCTGCGCCAGGAACACTGTTGCCTGCCCTAAGAATCAATGGCGAACCATTGTAGTGTGCAACTACAAGGAGGCCGGTAAGTCTCGGACTCTATTAAGGCGGCGCCTTTCCTAGTACTAACTTTCGCAGGCAACTTGGCGGGGGCTTACGAGAAAAATGTTTTGCCACCGTCTACTTCGCCTAAGTCCTCGTAGCCGACGAGCGTAAAGTCGCTCCCGCTGGTGAGCCCTGTCAGAGCAGGCAGGTGACCCGAGCTATTCCAGCTTCGGAATTAGATAGCCTAAGGCCGCGTACGACAAAGAAACAGGGAGCAGGGGAGACTTCTTCTCAATTGTATGCCTGGGCGGCTCAAGCAGTCTCCATGTACTTAGCCACCTGGTGTGGTGCGTAGATCTCTGAATATACGTAGGGGTCCAACGTCTCGGAATCATACAACCGCCTAGGAGCAATGGAGGACACACCGCCTATCACTGCTATTCTCAGCAGGGAGACAATTTCCGAGCTGATGTTGGGGGTTAGATTAAGGACCAAGGAGCAGAGGTCCTGGCGTCGTCGTTGCTGGTTGGAGGTTTGGGGAGTTTCACTCCAACGCCCGGATTTAATGTACATGCGTACATTAGCCCCCTAGAACAGGTTATATTGTTTCTCTGTCCCTTCCCAGCCACTTCCACCTTCTGCAGGTCATGCTGTATACGCCTGCACGCCTATATATTTAACAAAGGCTGCATATATACACTCTAGAGTTCCACGTTTGCCACGCTAGAGACGCCATTCTTCTGGGGACACTCTGCTTCATGGAAAGTGACGGTGACATACTGGTCTTTTGAAACGGCCGACGTAAGGTACCTATCGGTCATCGTTAATCCCTGGTCGTCCCGGAGGTTGTCTACGCGTAGCTTGACAGAGCATTTGCCTAAGAAGCGAAAATCGGCGTTGGAACAGTCGTTATCTCCCCAGAAATTAACGTAATAGCGATAGGCGCCGCCGGCGGGATACAGATTGCGGTTGGCGCCAAAGGGGGGGGAGTTGGCGGCGACAAAGTCCCCGTTGGGTGAATAGGCATTACCCTCGACGTCGAAGAGCCAGAAGCGGGAGCGGTTAGGGAGAATTTGGTAATCGGTATTGGGGGCGGTGCATTGGCCAATGCTCTGGCAGACCTTGAAATGGGCCGGCTTGGTGTCGGTCCCGAACCGCAGATAGTTCCAGTCCGAAGGCTGGTGGCCTAAGACCTGCCCGTCGGTGGTGTTGATAGTATAGCAGTGGCCATACCGAAGCAGCGAGGAGCTACCTATCTGTGCCATGTTCTTCTGTGCGTCTTGAGAGGCTGAGGCATATCGAGGCTCAACGGTTAAGACAGCTAGGAGGGCCGTAAGGCTACCCTTAATAGAGGTGGGGAGCATTGTGACTAGTAAGAGTGAGACTTATCGGTATATCCTAACGAGACTATAACGGTATTTGATATGGGGATGAAGAGCAACGGGATGGCATCAGCGGCAAAGCCAAGTTCGCTCCGGCCTTTATAGACATAAATTAATGCCCGAAGAGAATGACTTGATGAGGCGGGTAAGGCGTTAACTCGTAGAAGCCCGCATGATTCGTATTGCTTTTTTTGAATGGTCGCTCGGAGAATCATATATCAGATATAAACAAGGATTAGGAGGCGATCAATTCAATTTACGCCCCGAGTTGACGTGAAGCCGGGCACGTCACCAATCCCATTGCACATCTAGCTCCTTCTCAACCGCCTTAGATTAACCTTAGACCCCATGGATTAATGGACGAGACCCTGGCTGGGCAACAAGGGTTCAGCTAAGAGTTTGAGAGCTGACATTTTAGTGCAAGCACTCAAAGTGCATTCGGGTACAGACGTCATGCTGCAGCATCATCATCGTGTCGTTGAGTACCATGTTGTAACTATTCATGCTCCCTTTTATATACCAGATATTTGTTGGGCTTCAAAGGTGGATACTTGAATACCGATTGAGGTTTTTCGAGAAACTCAGTGTATAGTTATAATTAAGACTAATAGATATTACTTGTCGAGGCTGATAGAAACCGGAGAGAAGTATGAGAAGCACCGCTACCTGGTACTGTTTCTCAGGTAAAGTACCTTGCCTGCTTTGTACCAGGATTTTGTGCCCAGCTAAATGGCAGAGAATCTGCTGGCCGCCTACGGGTAACACATCCAACTTAGCCCATCTTTGTCTTAAGGACGGTGCTTAAGCAGTCCGAGCGGCGCGGCGTCCGCCGCAGTCACTTGGTCGTGATGCATCCATGATCCGACTTTGGGGGGCGGCAGTGGCGGGCCGGTCGTGTGTCTAAGACAAGCAGTTTGAGGTAATGTACGTGTACGTGTACGTACGTTTGGAGAGCGCGACGTGCAGATGCTGATGGTCTATCCCGCGCCTGCCGGGTCAATGGCTTATTGGTGCATGCTTGCAAGGATTCCTAACTTCCTCTCGAAGACGGCGGCGAAGATGGGCAAGCTCCATGTAGCCTGAAAAAACGAAGAAATTGTACCGAAAATCTAATATTGGTATTCACAACGTCTTACATGTAGTCAAGTGCCCTGGAGTGCAAGCAAGTCGGCATCGCGAGGGCTACGCAGTTCCAAAGCCACAATGCAAGTATGCAAAAGGAAGTGACATGTACCCTCGTACGAATTTTTAAATGTGTTTTCCTCTACCTACTCTACCGAGCTGCTTTTGGACAAGCACAGGGTATTTCATCATCTCTGAGGAGAATCTGGGCTAAGCGCCAGCTAGTTAACAGTATTCTCTTTTCAGGGGGTTTCTCTTCCCAGTGCCGGTTTAGCAGATTCAAAGCCCCCAGATGCGTCTAGTCCGCCACAAGTTGTCTGACATGTTCGTTGATCCATGGTTCGAGTTTGTGTACACAGATGACCCGGCAATGAAGCAGAGGCAATTGCCCTCGGCGTCACATTCACAGGGGAACAACTGGGCCATCTCCCACTCCGAAGGCGGATACAAAACAAGTAAAGGAATACATAAAAACCAATCCATGTCATGTCCTTCGTATTCGGAACGCAGGATGGAAACCCTCAGGCACAACAAATACTCCCACATAGCATTATTTGTTGACAGTGTCTACGATGTACTCGGGAATGCTCTCGTGGAACACAGGCGGATCAAACGCTAACAACCTGATTCTGCTATTCGGCCATGTGAGAGATTCTGCAACCCCACCACGTTGCAGCTCGCGGCTTAAGGATTGCACTGCCGTTAGATCTGCGTGTCCCAGTTTGCATGAGCATATCGGGTCGGAAGAATAATGTCAACTTGCACGTAGATCGAGAGCTGCATTGGCAGACTAGTAGGTAGGTTAGCACCAGGCCTGTAAGTCATTGCCAGTAAGCTCGAGCTGAACGATTGGTAAGGCCCAAAGAATCCAGCCTGCCATCCTGCATACTCCATAGAATGACGCCTGATGACCAGGAGACACAGCTGTTCCACGAAATCGCACTCGCTGATATGTCCACACCTCCCACGTTAACTGAGACGATTGAGAAAAGGAATCATTAATCTGCACGATTATTGACTTCTCAGGCGGCAGAGATTATGAAATACCACACAGCGCTGCGAGTTCATATCTGAGATTAAATGCAGAGGAGGTACGATTATTGATCAATCACTCGTTCTGACGTCAAAATCCAATGTAATTGCTCCGTATACGTACTGGATCCGGATAATACCAGGTCAACAAAAAAAGACACATCACAACGCGCTGTGACCGCAGTGGGGAAGTGGCCGCTCGAGCCGATCCGCTATGCAATAGTGCAATGCAGATTACTGAGGCTGATGAAGCCCAAACCAGCTAGATCCACGATATTGACCGCCTTTTCTGGCCCGACTGCGCAGGGTACAGGTAGTGGTTGAAGTACGGAGTAATGGGAGAACCAATTTTGTCCTAGCCTGCATATTCATGTAGCAGTTGAGCCATGATGCCGTTCCCTGCTGGGTGGCACACTGCCGCGCCTCGAAGCCCTGCATGGCAGCCTGGCACGAGGCGTTTTGTTAGGAGACTCTCTCCGGCTGTGCACCTGCGGCTTCACCTTGAATCCATCTCTGCTACGTTTGACCTTGACCCCAGGATCCGGACTAGGGTGCCGCGAAATGCCGAGGACCGGAACACAGAAGACGACAAGAATCAAGCTGGTTTGGCGCCAGCAGAGAACGCTGCGTGTCTGTTCCCGATACGAAATGCAAACTCGTCAGAGGCCGATGCTAGCCGACGCGTCGCTGTTCCGATCGATATTCCACCGTCACCGAGTTCAGGGAGGAGCATGAATTTACCTCTATGCAACTGCTGGAAGTAGAATGGGGTATTGGCCACCGATCCTACACAGGCACGGACAGGCCTTGGTTCATGTACGAAGTTGACCAGGGGTCTTCACATGACAGCGGCTCTACCCATTGCCGACTCTACAAATTGCCGACTCTACAAATGTCTGTACTTGTCAAAGGGCCTTGACGTTCTGACACTGGTGAAAAGAATCATCAACCGAAGAGCCGGCTCTTCAGATGACGACTTGAGTTGTCGATAAAAGACAGTTGTGCTTTGGCCATGTTAGTCCAGCGCTACGAATGAGCTCAGTGACTTTGCAGTATGCAAGCATGAAAGCTATCACCCTGTACAGGTTAGAGTAGGTTCCAGTGTGATCATTCAAGCACGTGGAGTCGGCATTAACTTGAGTATTTCGCTGCAGTATACGACTTCTGCCCTCTATGAGAAATAGGCTAACAACCTTAGACGTATTGTCACGTACATCTTGACCCAAGAGGACCGCTCACTCTAAGCTCCATCGGCTTGTAATCTCATGAAGTGATCGGCATGAAATGAGAAGACTTCGGGGATAATGCATCGATGCATTCATGATCTCGAGCAATTCAGGGCTCCTTTAAAAGTCACTAGCTCGGAACTATCTACTGGAAAATGTTTTGGCGGCTGGTTGAGCGAGCTACGATAGACCCGGCCACCTGACTTCCGCCATATATAATTCGGGGTTGGTATACATGCCACCCACTCCCGCAGTTCGGCCCCCCTTTCTTCGATTGCCACTCTTTCCACTAGCTATTACGCCCCTTGGTAACCCGCGCCAACGCGAAGAACCGACAGGTTCATTTTTGTATAGCCCGGACGAGGCGTAAGAGGGAAAAAGGTACAGCAATAAAGGCAGCTGCCCATGAACGTAGCAAGCGGTCAAAGTAATAGGCAGTAAATATAGGGAGTAATAAAGGTAATAGGCGGCAGTGATGATGCCTAGGCGGCGGAAGCCCTAACCATAGCGCGCGATAGATGGTGGCAGAGTCTATCGTGGTGGACGTGCCGGTAAGATTAACTTCAGGGTATTACTTAGAAATTTGGTGGGAATCGAAAAGAAGTGGCCGAATATTAGGGAATGCTGGCCCAATAACTAGTCCGTATAATTTCTTCTACTATAATTCCCTTAACTACTACTCAAGACAATCCCACCGGGAAGTTGGGCAGACGAGAGTTATAAGATTAGCATCGAAGCTAAGGATAGATTGACGGTTTCTTGAGTAGCTCCGTTAAACGACAAGCTCTAAATACTGACAGAGAGACGCTTCTTCCTATACCCTATTGAAGGAGGGACTCATAGCACTGTCCGACTCGAGCCTAGAAGCGAAATATGTTACAGTCTCTACCTACCAAGGGAGTTCTGGGGGAAATACTTGGGCGATTTCTCCGCACAGCCCTTCTACAGCGCCCCAGCCGGGCAACCGAACTACTGGCCGGCAGCTGCAGGAAAGCTAAAGTCCTCGCCATCCTTGAACTCCATACTGTCAAATGCCACGTCTCTTTCTTGGGCGATGACTGTCTCTCAGTACACTGGCTCCTATGTCTGTTTCGGAACTCCTCTCGCTTGAAAAAACGTCCTTGACTCCCTATGCCGGGGGTAGATCGGATTCTTGGACCTACAATCACGATAATTCCCCTGAGGATCCAGTTGAATCGCTCTAATACAGTACACTACACGCTTGAAGCACGCTCCCAGCAGCCGGTTCCAGTTCCCTGCATCTCGAGGCTATATAAGTTGACGTCGTTCCCGAGGCCCTTCCTATTACCATTACCATGCCCCACCCCCCTTTCGGTAACACCCACCTTTCGGTAGCGCAATTGAAAAATTCTCCACCAAAAGTCTACCATTTGAACTACATGAAATATGATCAGAACTTAACATTATAAACACAAAAATTATATCATTCCGTAGAGAAATGGACGCTCTTATATGTACCGGCGCTTTTTTACCATTCGCCCGGATCTGGTGGTGACTGGAAGGGCTTCGGGTGCCACCTTGACTTCGATCACTGAAGCTGTCTCCACCTCTGAGACCGCCTCCTCCTCTGTGTCAGAATTCAGCACAACGGCTATCTCTTGGCTTTTAATTTGGGGAATGGCTTCCTCAGCCACCAAAGCTTCACTGAGAGTCATGAACCGTCTGTTCCGGTTCGGAATTGCTCTCCTCTTCTTGCCTCTCTGCAGCCGGGCCACTTCTTCCTCTAGCTTCGCGATTCTGTTGCTGTGCTCGGCAAGCGTCTGTTCTGGGCTTCAAAGCCTCTAGCTATCACGGCGTATCGTCTCCGGGTGCCAGGAGTCTTGTTCTTTCCGAAATCGCGAATCTGGCGGCTGTTTCTTGGCGTATCATCAGAACCCAAAAATGGCGCGGACTTTGGAGACGTCTCTACAATGTCCGCGTGAATTTCTGGATGCCGCAATGCCTTGGATCGTGAGATCGGCCAATTCCCAGTGACCCTCCAGCCGGACAATATATTCTTTGCCGTCATTCCAACCTCGCGCGCTTTAGCATATGCCCGTATAAAATTGACCTTATGAACAGGCGCAGAATCGGTCAAACAGGTCAATTTCTGAAGTTCTTTCCGGTAAGCTGCCTTGGAGGCATTGAATACACCGTTATCTAACGGCTGGAGGCCATGAGCAGTGGGCAGGAAGGTAACAGCAATAAACGTTGTTCAAAAAGCATGTGGCCATCCATGCATCCTGGTCCCGGTTAACGGTAATTCCTACAGAGGTGGATAAAGAAACGCACCGTTGCATGACTTCCATGTCCATCTAATATGATCAGTCTAGCATCTGAGGCATCGGCTGGTCGCGTCTGGGGCAAATAGACCCTCTCAAGCCACTCAATAGCGATATGGTTGTCCGTCCATCCGTTGGGCGACGTTATGTAATGCCAGTCGGCTATTTTGCCGAATTCCGTCAAGAACCACTGTTTCTGAAGTTCTTTGCCCTTAAAGATAATGCCAGGGTAAGGACACGGCCGTCCGCGGTGATAGCTTCAATAAATGAGGTCCAGTTGCGGACTGTGGCCCTTTCAGAAGGGCCTTCCGTTTTGGGTCTGCACTCCCAACCACAAGACTATCCAAACCTGGCAAAAGAGTCTGGTTAGTAAAAGTAATGAAAGACAAGCCAAATACTCACCAAAGCCAGACATAATACCGCCTTCGTCAACATTCACGGTATTTTCTGGTTTAATCCATCCATACTCCTTTTCCTGATATCGAAGAACCAGTGAACCGCACGAGGCGTAAAAGCATTAAATCGGTTAGCTTCCTGACGTCTCCCACGCTTGTTCTTGATGTCCGGATGGCGATTGATGAATTTAGAGACCCAGTTGCGCCCCACTGTCCGCTCGTTGTTCAGTTGCTTCATAAGAGCCTCCACACATGCGCGGATCTGACTGTGGGAGGAGCATAGCCGAGAGACTCTTGGCGGAGGATCCAAGAAACCAAGCGAGCTTCCTGAGACTTACTCAAGAGTTGACGAGGCTGGATCTGATCAGCCAGGGCTACCTGGCCTTTGAGTCTGTCGGAAATAGACTGCTGAGGTATGTCATACTTTTGGGCGGCGCGGTACTGCGACAAGCCGTTTTTTGTGACATCAATTATCGCATTAGCCATAATATCCTCCGTATAAATACCCGAGGCCGCTTTAAGGTCATTTTGGTCATGTGGTGGAGGAATAACGAGAAGAATCATCGTCAGGAGGCGGAAGGAGATTAGGGGTTGGATGGTAATTTCGCGTGCAAGGTACGCACAGGCCACAGACCCTGTACAAACATTCAACCATCGAAAAGTAGAATTCAATCAATCCTCTATCTACTCCAAGTGACGGCTTGTGAATATCTTCAAAGCTGGCTGGAATCGGTGTAAGTGAAATTGATGGGTTTTGGTGGGGATATTTCCTAATGCGCTACCGAAAGGTGGGTGTTACCGAAAGGGGGGTGGGGCATGGTAGTTCGGGGAGAATTGTGGAAAAGGCCTCGGTTTATATAAGAAGGTTTGTTTCTCTATAAATTGACATCTTTTTCGTATTTATAATCTTGAGTTCTGACAATAGTTTGGGACATCTAGTGATTCAAATTTGAAAGGCGGAGAGGTTTTCTCTTGCGGATAGCGGTGATTTAGTACATAAATAGTAGTATTCCATATACGAATGTCTGCAACAGGGGTTTAGTAGGGGCTGTGCTGTGTCTTTGTAGCGAAAACCATCACCACCGGAAACTCAATTCTCACTTTCTCTCCCTTCAGGACAAGCTCCATGTCATGCCAAAGAAACTGAATTTCGGACTCCGGGATTCGAGGCATCCATGTACCAAAATACCCTCTCAACCAATCAATCCCTTGCTGGTCGGACCACTGCTCGTCACCGTCTTCCCAGACCTTCTCCTCTCCATTCTTGACCCTCCTACTTTCACCGACTCGCTCGTTAAATATGAAGGACTCAAGGTTCCCGTTCGCGTTGATGTATATCCGTTTGACAGTCTCCCATTCCAATTCGGGAAACTCAAGGCCTTCTAGTGCTTTATTGCAAAGCTGAAAAGCACGATCAAACAGCGCACCCTTGGCCTTGGTCGAATGTACACCCCAAATGGCTTTCCAAATCCTCTGAGCCGAGTCATTGCCCAATATCTGTGCTACACCGTAGTGTGTAAGCACAAGCGTGCCACCAGGTTTGAGTTGCCTGCCAAATTCTTGGAGAGCGGCAATCGTGTCGGTCCAGTGAATGCATTCACATGCAGTAATCAAGTCGACCGTTCCTGACCCCAAGGTGCTCTCTTCGGCACTGCGGAGAATTGAGCCAAAAGATATGGCTGTTCAGCCGCGTATGGCCAAGACTCATGTGATATGCCGTCTCCCCTGTACCGCCTCCCATCCATAGGCATGTAACTGAGTTAAGCCCCAACCAAGTGACCGCTCGCAATCATACAATCGATTTTCTCCAGATAGAAGATGCCCGAGGTGGTGGCGGAGATGGAGCCCTTAGGCATGTAATTGCTCATGGCATGTACCTGCTGGGAATCAGAGCTCGCCGGGCCCCTTGCCCAGAGCGTAGGCCAAACTACTGGTGATGGCAGATCCAGGGGCGAGTATCAAAGCTTGCCCTGCTCACTGGGGCGGCTTCCTGCTGGCGATTCAATAAGGAGGCATTCCTTACTATACACACCCACCTACCCTGATTGAGGTATTGCTGTCACGGGGTGCAGTTTGCTGCGCGGCTACTGCATGAATAAACTTACTTATGCCACCTACTATTTGAGCAGAGTTGTGAAATGCCTTTTCTTTGGCTAATCGACCGTCAGTTGGGGGCCGAAGGGGGGTGGTTTGCGGCCGTTTTTGAGACCCCCTTGTACAGCTGGCGGCAGACAGATTCATATATATAACCTTGGCTGACCCCATTGCGTACAAGTCCCCCCCCCCCATGCCATATCAACCTGCCAGCTCTCGATCCAAATATGTTGATTGTGTGCCCTAAACATGGACAGATGGTTCGAGATTCAATGCCCTCCGTTCAACCTCAAGCTTTCGCATTGGGACACAATTCTTCCACATTGGGGTCAAACCTTCCCACCAAGCCATGCGACACGAATCCATTGCTTTTCCCTTCCGCAAAATGCAGACAAGGAAAGCATAGTCGGCCACCTACATGTCGCTTTTCATAACACCGTTCAACGCATACCATTTCTGGCTGGATCAATCGTCCCATTCTCTCCAGAGGAAGGAAGCCGCCTCTGGCTTCGCAAGCTCATCCCCCAGGGAGCTGCACATCCGACGTACAAGATCTTTCAGATACGCTCAGCTTCGATAGACTGGTGGAAGAAAACTTCTCGCAACGCTCACTGGCTGAGGAGTTCTACTCATCCCCCAAAGTCATTGACGTCGAGGATAACACTGCGGATGTCTGCCGATTTCAGGCCAACTTCATCGACGGAGGCCTGTTGCTGGTTGTCTCGATTATTCACATTGTCGCCGACGGCCGTGGAGTGACAGAAATCGTAAAGATATTTGCGGAGAACTTCCGCAAGGCACAGTCGGGCCTGCTTGGCTATCCCTTGGAGACGACTAAAGAGTTGTATCACTCCGATAGAACCGAAATTATCACAGGAAACGGCATCCCGGGTTCAATAGAGGCTCATGCTGCCTGGACCTCGACAGCTGCCAACACCCACTCCCAGCCCGTGGACATTGAGACTTCCTGCCGTACGTATCATATTGACGCAGACGCTCTAGTAGCACTTAAGAGCGCGGCGACTTTGACGTCAGCTTCACCTAATAGCTGGATCTCAACCAACGATGCCATATCTGCATTCATTTGGCGCAGTATTATGGTCGCACGTCATCGCGCCGGGTTCCTCGACGCTGACAAGGAGGTCCATATTGCCCAGCCCGTCGATTGTCGGGCACTGCTTGGCCTTGACGAGCTTTATTTCGGCAATGCCATTTACATGACCCAAGGCTCTTTGCCGTTCTCTGACCTGGCCGATCCTGCGACTGGGCTTTCCGCCGCAGCACAAACCATTCGTGCCCAAATTCAAACCGCAACGGCAGAACAGTTCAGAGATCTTGTCGGCTACGCCGAGCGAACTGGACAAGAGAAGCAAACCCGAATGAGGATTATCGACGAGGTCTTGACCGGGGGAATTATCCTGACCAGCCATTTCAAGTTTGGACTTCATGCAGTTGACTTTGGTCCAGCCTTCGAGGGGCGCCACGTCAAGGCTCTTCGCTTCCCTGCTCGTGCGACCATGGTCGGTGCAGTTATTGTGCTTCCTAAGTTACTGGACGGAAGCTGCGAGTTCATGATCACCGAGCAAGAGCGCACAATGGACTGCCTCAGTGATGACGGAATCTTCTGCCGATTTGCAGCGGAGAATAAGAAGATGGCAAAGTCTGCGCTTTTAGATCCTCATCTTCTTCCATCTCCGCCTTGTTCAGACCACGACGTCAAGGCAGACTCGGATGCCCTAACGTCTGCAGAAATCCCCGCCACTACCAATCTAGAAGATCGCTTCAGCACCACGACTCCATCCGTCCTGAACGTGATCACTATGCAAGCCGCTCACATTGGAACGATCAAGGTCATTGAAATGAATCGTCCGAGAGCCAATAGCGCGATCTCACTGCAAATGCTCCACCAGTTAAATGAGGAGGTGGAGCGAATACACCATGAAAGGACGGTTGGTGGTACGAGAGTCCTCATTCTGGCGAGTGCTTTAGAAGACGTCTTCTGTGCAGGGGCTGATTTGAAGCAGCGCATGGTTATGAGTGACGCAGAACTTGAGGAGTTCTTGACCTTGCTACGCAGAACTCTTTCGAGGCTGGCGGCGCTGCCTATACCAACTATTGCTGCGGTCTCCGGTGCGGCCCTTGGTGGCGGATTAGAGTTAGCTCTGTGCTGTCACCTGCGCGTCTTCTCATCGACGGCCATCGTTGGGCTACCAGAGACCCAACTTGGCATTATACCTGGTGCGGGGGGAACATACCGACTGCCACAGGTTGTTGGAATTTCGCGTGCCAGAGATCTTATCCTGACGGGCCGTCGTATCGGGGCACAAGAGGCATTCTCCATCGGACTATGCAATCGTCTGGTTAATATTGACCAAGCCGAACTCCCCAACTCGTCAGGAACGGCACGGTGTTGCACTTTGCAAGCCGCTATTAGATTGGCTACCCAGATATCTGGCGGCGCACCTCTTGCCGTTCGAGCAGCCATGAGTGCTCTCTCGTATGGCTCTCCAGCGGTAGAAGAAGCCGCGTACGCGTCGTTGCTGGATACTACGGATCGTTTCGAGGGCCTGTTATCCTTTCGTGAAAAACGTTTGGCAGACTTTGTCGGAGAGGATACAAAGCTGCTCCCAAGACCCTCTAAAAACCGCAGCAACTCAAAGTTAGGCGGTCGGCAGCTCGTCCTATTATAGCATACGGTTTATGTCCCTTGAGTAATATGCTCAAACAACTTTCCTTCACAGTACATCGACGTGGGTGGCAGAGTTTGCTGTCGTCAAGTTGCTGGGCCTAGTGTGAATTGTAACTTTTTCAACTTTGGCCGTGCTCGGTGGATAGACGGGATGCTCGAAAAATTCGCAGTGCTTCTAAAGCGTTACTGGAGAACTTTTTGTCAAAGGTCCAATTATAGGGAAAAATTATTTCGGAAACGAAGAATAAACAAAGTCTCGTTTCATCTCGAATTGCGGTTGGTAGTTAAAGTTCCCTGTATCCGAGAGCAACCACAGTGTGATGTATTGCATTGGAGACTTCGTCCAGTGTATAAGAAACGGGTCGCTGCGGTACCCAGCACGTAGAGATTCGCAAGTAAGGATCCACGATTAGCGATGGAATTAAGCGGGGTGGAATATGGCCTGTCTATTCGTCTTGGATCCCACAGCCTCTTAATGTCGGCTATTTTAGGCCTCTTTCTATTACGTATAGAGATTTTATAAATACGCCATTGCGGGCTGACCAACGGCAACCGGGGCAGGATTTCTTTCTCTGATCGTCCTAATATAGATGCGAATGTCGATTCGCCGCTAAATATGTCCTAGTGGTATTAGTTCGAGAGCCTCACCGGCCGAGTTACCGGCAAAGGTTTAAGGAGGCCGAAATCTCGCAGAGCCAAGGGTTCGGATATGGGATCATTGGTTGTACCGAGATTGTATGTCTCTCGAAGTTCACGATCCCTAGAGGCCGAGGCTACTTTATAGCAGCGGATCCGTGTATGCCCGGTTAACCAATCTCTGAACCGCATTTTCGACCATGTCACGTTCAAAGTCCCCGGAGTCTAAGCTCACTGCTAATAGGCTTTAGCAACGAGTTTACGTATTCTATCTGATGCTAGGACGGAAATGCGGGCATGCAAAACAAGTCGCCGCTCGAGAAGTCGTTTTGGATCTCCTCGTCTCGTTGCAAATAGTGCGAGGTCGAGTGGCAGGCTATGGACCTAGTAAGGCGGGCTCTAGATAAGCGCGGGTGCGCGGGACGAGCAGCACAATAAAAAAGGGGTTTGGGTTTATAGAGAGACTAAATATCTATAGAGCTAGATATACACATACACCACGTCCGTCCGTCCGTCGTCGCGTGGCTTCTGTGTTTACGTGAGCAGAGTGCACGGTGGGAAGTCGCCGTAACTAGCACGTCTATATCTCGAGAAGGAGCAGCTATATAGCGTAGAACGGTCATGAGTATTAATAAGTGCATGAGTATATATGTCTAAGTATCACGGGTAAAACTCCCTCCTCCTCCCAACACGACTTCACCCATGACGAGCATCATGGGCTTGCTCGCGGAAGTAGTCGTCTAAGACGGCAATTGTCTCCCTTACGTTGGTCGGAACAAAGCGGTATGTGCTCGTTGAGATCCAAGCCGCGGCTTCAATAATGGGCTTCATGTGGTCGATCGAGGTAGGATCAGAGCCCCGCGTCTGGAAGAAATGGACGACGGCCTTTTCAATGAGCTGATCGTATGTCGTCACGGGCAGGATCTGGAACGAGATGTCTTGGAGATATTGCCGGACCATGTCAGCGTATTGCTGCTTGAAGATGTTTGCATCCATTCTGATCTCAAGATAAAGGGCTTTCACGCGGGGCCTTGATTTCGAACCGGGCTGAGCGCGGAGGTTTAGAGGAATGGTGATTGTAGATATGCAGGGGAAGAAGGTGCAGGGGAAGAAGGCTGTGGCCCTACTGATGCAGTTGGACATATTCCCAGTAAGTGGCTCCAAGTTCGAGTCGCGTTGCGATTCATGAAAACTTATAAAGCGCGAGAGTTTCGACAAGGTTCTAATAGCATCTGACTACGCTATGCAGGCACGGTATATACCGACGTGCGTCACCATTAGGGAGGCCTTTCTTCCTTCATTGTAACTTAAAATTCATTCGATTACTTACTTGATCATGCGAAATGCCAGGGTGCGGAAAGGCGCTGCCTCTCTTTGGGGGGAGTATGTATGTCTTAGGCGAGATGGAATATCCGGCCCGAGAGCAGGATACGTGAACGCAATGCGCCAGATGGCTGTGGGCGATGTGAGAATGTCCCTTGCAAATTGCCCCCATTACCTTTTTCCAAATGTCCCAGATAAATGCGGATCTGTTTATATCGTGAGATTTAAATTCGTGTTGAGGTACGTGTCGAGAAGAAGGTCCGAACGAGTTGAGGTCCCTAGGTCTCTCTAGGTAATACAGCTTGAAACCAGGTAAGAAGGGAAGTCTGCAGACTATTGTTTCTTCTTCCTAGACCACTGAGGGGTCCGGAGGATCTCCTATTCGATCGGGATCCTCCAAGGAGTCCGGTATATCTTTACTGGCTCGGGGACCTCAAGAGATTGAACTATCGACCTAATAGCTTGGAAAGCTATTGATCGGGAGATCGAGCTGAATGTGCTGACGTAGATGGCTTACGCGGCCTTCAGTGAGAGGCAAGGAGTGCCCTCTTCCTGATAGAATGTATATTATACCTGAACACGGGATATGAACATAGGGAAGGCACAGAGGGATATAAAAGGGGAGGGCTAGACGGATACAGGGCAACTGGACAGAAAAAAAAACACATGCACATCACCGACTATCAGATCATCTGAGAATCTACCTACGAAAAGTCCCTTTATCCACTTTTATGCCCACTTATGCTCTCTTCTTCGCGAGAGTTATGAGCCCGGGAGAAACAGACCTGTTTCTGTAACTTCCGGTGGCAAAATTGCAACCTTGAGAAAGAACCCCTCTTCCCCGCACGCTTCACACCACCTCGGCTTATCTTCGCCACCTTTTCGGCCCCTCTACGGCAGTTGAAGATGTCGAAGACCTCGGCTATGGCGCCGACGAAGCGGACAATTCTAACTGAACCCCAGGACTGGGACCGTTGGGTCAAGGAGCTCCGAGCACGAGTGGATAAGCTTATCCACAAGCTGATCTTTCAAGATGGCTCTGAAGCTATGGAGCTACCTGAGCGCCCGACTTTGACGACTTTGCACAAGGCGTTCGACAGTTTGTTAATCTAACCAGCGAACAGCAAAGAGCTTACTCGGCGGCACTTCATGAATATGAGGGCAGGCGTAAGGAATACCTTTACGAGACTAAGCTAATCACGGCAGCCAGGACAGCTATTACAGGTCTATTAGCACTGCTAAACTAACCTCCCTTCGAGAAGGGGATACGCTTAGACAGTGGCTGCAGAAGCTAGAAGCATCGACTGCTCCTTCACGCGGCTTTATGACTGACCGAATTAGGAAGCAGTATTCGAGTCACCTTCGTACTAGTACTAAGACTAACATATTAGACTGGCTGACTAAGTGGGAAGAGATTATAGAAGAAGCTGACCTTTACTTCCTAACTGAGGCACTAACAGGCCAGTGGCTACGAGATATAGCTAGCGTCATCCGACCTCTTAGCGATGGATACGCCACTATCTTCTACGAAGACAGCCGAAGAATCGATGAAGAAGCAGCAACTGCTCAATATAGGGTCTATCAAGCTCTTCGACCAGACTCTATCGGAAGCACGCCTACTTTGGCAGCAGTACCACCTTCTTCGACTCACTGGACCTTTCAGCTTGTTGCTAGAAAAATCAGAGAAATTGCAGAGCAACAGCCGCACCAGCAGAAAGGAGGAATCAAGAGAGGTGCCGGCTTTCTAGCTGATAAAGAAACTGATGAAAACGACCCTTCTGAAGAAAGACCGAAAAAGAGAAAAGGAAGAAACCTGACACAACCAAAAACACAGAAAACCGATAAAACCGATAAAACCGATGCCCTGCGTGTGGACGGATAAGTCATGTTCTTTCTGACTGCTGGGCTCTCTTCGAAGATAAACGCCCCTCGTGGTGTGATTCGAATCCTCGAATAGAAGAAAGGGTGCAAAAGGCCCTTGAAAATGACCCAGATTTGAGAAAGAAGGTGGAAAAACCCGTCATGAGAAGGAGGCATAGCAACTACCGAAGAATCGGATAGTCGGAAGAATCGTTGGGCACGCAAACCCTGCCTTTGTCTTTAAGGCTAGCCAAACGACCGCCTCTAACGACTACCCTCTTCGAAAGTCGACTCTGCTAGACTCAGCAGCTTCTTTACATATTTGCAATAACCTATCGAAATTCCGGTCTTTTAGAAAAGCAAGAAACGAATACCTAGTCACAGGGATTCAGAAGTCCGGATCGAAGGTTATGGCAGAGTCAACGTTACGGTCACGGCCTAGACGGGTCATTACGGTCTTTACGGTTAAAAACCGTTGCTTATTGCCGAGATTTTCAGCAAGCCTGGTATCTTTCCAGGCTCTTCGAGACGAAGGAATCTACTGGGATACCTTCACAGAGCCAACACGGCTAGTCTACCGAGACAAGAGACCGATTTGTATTTTATTTCGGAAATATCGCCAGTTTGTTCTCGATTTCCAGCCTATTCAGAAGGAGGATATCGAAGAAGCGGCTTTTCAAGCCTCTAAGCCGAGAAGAAGAGGCTCCCGGGACCCAAGACCGACAGCGTCAGCAGAAGCTAGCCTTTGGCACGCCCGACTAGGTCACCCGGGACCCTAGCTTTACTAAAGCTAGGACTACGAAAAGGAGTGCATATTCGAGGTCCGAAGACCCATGAATGCCAGCACTGCGCTCAAGGGAGGGCAATAAGACAGGTTTCTCGAAGAACCCCTATTCGAGACGAACGTCAAGAGCCCTGCCAAGAGATTTGGATCGACTGGACCGAGCTTACCCTGATTTCGAGGGCTATGTCCGTGTGATGTTTATCACAGACGCATATTCGGGCATGGTTTTCCCCTATTTCCTTAAGACCTATCATTCAAAGCATCACCTAGCCGCACTTCGAGATTTCGTTAGCTGGATGAAGCTTCGTTTTGACTACACGGTGAAAATCGTACGGTCTGACGGAGAGCTATTTGTTACGGCCAGGCACATACGAGCCTTGACGGCTATAAAGATGTATTGGCACTATGAACGAAGACTCAAAGCTAAGGAGCAAGAAAGGAAGACTAGACTACACGACCGAGCGGGCCCTTATATAGACACGAGGTCGCGCGTGGGCACGTGATGCTGCTTGGGCACGTGACACTGGTGAGGTGCTGCGCTGGCGGCTCTACGCTGGCGCCCAGGGTCGTGACACTACCCCCGTCTAAGGCCTTGATATGCGTATCAAGGTAGTCAGTCGTGGCGGCGGCTTCTGGTTTCACGGCTTTCTCTGCTGTGTCGTCATCGTCTCGTTCCTCGCAGCCCTCCTCCGCTGCAGCACATTCGATCCAGTATTGCAGGTTGACGGGCGGCCAGCTGAGCCGTCACTTGGGCCATCGTTGGCGGGTCTTCGATTGAGGCCGACGTCTCCTCTTGCAGCTGGAGAGTCGGGGTCGAGTCTTGGTCTTGGTCTTGGGTCGAGGGGCCTTGATCAGGCACTTGCGATGCCGTACGGACTGACTTCCTTGTCGGGGGTCCGTAGTCGAGTTTCTTCGGCATCACCTAGTCAAGGGCGAGTCGGGGTCGAATCCCACGAAGCGAATCGGTGGGCCAAACCTCCTGATCACACACAGGAGGTCAAGTCGACAGGCGGAGGTTGTTCCTTTCCAGTCTTTAGGAAGAGGAACGGGTCGATGCGCTGCACAGTCCTTAGTGCGTGCGCGGGTCAAGGCCGAGCCGAGCTGCACACGACGAGTCGACAGGTGCCTCCAGTACCTTCGGAGGGCTTGGTCGAGTGTCCTCACGGACAGTCAACCCTCTGATCACATACAGAGGGGTCGGAAGTGATTCGCAACGCAGTCCTTAACGAAGCGAATCGGTCGGGCTCCTGATCACACACAGGAGGGTCGGTCGGTGTTGAGTCGGGGCACAGTCCTTAGTGCAACGGGTCAACGGTCGGTCGGAGTGCACGAGTTTTCAGTCCAGCGCGAAGGACCAGGTTGTGGGTGCCTATTTGTTTATCGCGGGGCACGCGAAGGTTGCCTATATTTGTTTCGCGGGGCACGCGAAGATTGAGCTTTGAGTAGTGTTACGGCCAGGCACATACGAGCCTTGACGGCTATAAAGATGTATTGGCACTATGAACGAAGACTCAAAGCTAAGGAGCAAGAAAGGAAGACTAGACTACACGACCGAGCGGGCCTTATATAGACACGAGGTCGCGCGTGGGCACGTGATGCTGCTTGGGCACGTGACACTGGTGAGGTGCTGCGCTGGCGGCTCTACGCTGGCGCCCAGGGTCGTGACACTATTCACTAATAAGATTAAGAAGTGGCTACGAAAGAGAGGAATTTCAGCAGAAAAATCAGCCTCGAATACACAAGCCCAGAACGGAGGGGCAGAGCGGTCCGGTGGAATTGTTATTGAAAGGGCTCGCAAGATGAGGATTGCAGCAGGCCTTCCTCACGACCTATGGAAAGAGACCGTGGAAGCATCCTGCTATCTACGGAATCGAACCTCGAGCCCCTAGGACTACGAACTCGATTTCGAATTCGTCGGAAGACTGGAAAACACCTCTTGAGCTCTTTACGAAGAAGGATCAACCTCAACAGCATGCCCAGCTCAAGGCGTACGGCTGCAGAGCCTATGCCATGACTTCTAACGCACAGCTAGGCAAGAAAAAGAGGCAGAAGCTTGATCCACGGTCACATATAGGATACCTGGTTGGATATAATTCAACGAATATCTTCCGAATCTGGATTCCACAACGAAGAAAGGTCATTTCGACAAGGGATGTTATTTTCGATGAATTTACCTATTTTGATGGGAAATTCGAGCAGCCGACGCTGCTTCCTAGCATCAATGACCTAATTCAACGCGTTGAGATACCGGAGGACCAGAAAATCAACCAGGAAATCCTTGACGAAGAATCGGAGCTTGAGAGCGTGTTCGACGAAGACTCGGAGGAAGAAGAAGAGGAACAGACCGACCTTACCGATAACGAAGAAGACTATAAGAGGGCTAGGGAGCTTGAAGAAGCTTCTCTTATAACACCTCCACTGACAGAAGAAGATCCTGAGGCAGGATTCTTGGTCTCTCTTCCGGTTGCTACCCCTAAGGGGGTGGGGCGGTTTGACAACTCCTGGAAAGCTTCCTTTTTATCAATCGACGAGTCAAACAGACCTCTTTCTACATCGTCTACCAAGGAATCGTCTGATCAGATGATAGGGTAGATCCGGAACTCAAACCACTGCCGACTTTGGACCGATTTAATGACTTTTATCCTACTCCTATAGAGGACGGGGTACACGGAGCCTTTATTGCTGGACGACTATTCAAGCCAAAACCAAGGACCAAGGTACACAAGAAGGACCTACCAGACCCACCAGAAAACACCAAGCAGCTAGAAAAGCACCCTTTTAAAGAGGAATTTGTTCAAGCTCAAAAGGACCACTTAGCCTCTCACGAGGAGATGGGGTCCTTTATCGAAGTTCCTTGGAAGAAGGCTGCGGGCAAGCAAATTCTATACTGCAAATGGGTCTTTACCTATAAAACGAATAAGCATGGGTTCCTTCTAAAGTGCAAAGCCCGCCTTGTGGTCTGCGGCAACCAGCAGGAAAGGGGGGATCTACCGACTCGAGCAACGACCCTAGCAGGGATGTCTTTCCGGGCACTCATGGCTATTGCAGCAGAATTCGACCTCGAACTTGATCAAATGGATGCAGTAAACGCCTTCGTTAACTGTCCACTCGAGGAGGAGGTAGTCTTTATGAGGATGCCTCCGGGTTTAGCAAACCAGGCAGAATTCTTTTGCTCCGGAAAGCCCTATACGGTCTACGACGATCCCTTTGCTTTGGCAACAGCACCTTACCCGATCCCTAGAGGAATTAGGATTCGAAAAGGTCCCACAAGAACCTTGTGTGATGAAGAAGGGGCAGTCATTGTCTTCTTCTACGTTGACGATATTGTCTGGGCCTATAAGAAAGAAGACCAAGGAATAGCTATGGAGGCTATGCGAGGACTGCAAGAACGATATAAAATGACATTGCTTGGGAGCCCGCTGGTTCCTAGGCATACACATCCTTCGGGACCGGACTAAGAAGACGATTTGGCTGACGCAAGATGCCTATATCGAGAAAATAGCCCACAAGCTATTAGGACCGGACCGACTTTCCTCAAAGCTTCCAGACACACCAATGACAACAGAAGAGCTACTCCCTTCTACTAGCCGAGCAAGCGAACAGGAAATTCATAGGTACCTACAGAAGGTAGGATCTATCCTCTTTGCAGCTATTTCGACGAGACCAGATATCGCCTTTGCGGTCTCTCGGCTAGCTAGACATAACCAGAACCCCAACGAATCACACCAGAAGGCAGCAGACCGGGTTATTCTTTACCTCTATAATACCCGTTCCTTTGGAATTCGCCTAGGAGGATCAACCGACAAGAGAGCCGATATCTTTATTTGCTCTAGTGATTCTTCCTTTGCCGATAATTCTCTTGACAGAAAGAGCTCACAGGGTTATATTATGACCTATTCGGTGGACCTATTGCGTGGAGAGCTTCGAAACAAGCAACAGTCACTACTTCTAGCACCGAAGCCGAATTGCTGGCTATTTCAGAGGCAGCAAAAGAAGCTATTTTTCTTAGCCGGATGCTTAGGGCCCTATACCTTCAAATTCCGGACCCTTTGCAGCTAGAATGTGATAATAGTCAGACGATAAGACTGCTTGCAGAAACGAACGCGAAGCTATCAACGAGACTACGACATGTTGATATCCATCAGCATTGGTTACGCCAAGAGACTCAAGAAGGAAGAATTCAAGTCCGTTGGGTTCCAACGGCACAGATGAAAGCAGACGGCCTAACCAAGGCACTCCCTCGTCAGAAACTACAGAAATTCCAAGAGATTATTGGAATAGTTGACTTAAAAACCAGGCTTCGGCTTGAGACCCGGATGGAAGACCTACGAGACCGGATTCTAGTAGGACGGTTAGGAGAGAGGCCCTTGACCGCATAGGAATATTAGGGGAGGTCTCCTGGCCACGACTACACGGTAACCTCGTTGAGGACCTATAACCCTTTGGCTGTAGCTTTGACCCGTTGGGACGGCTCATAGCTAAGGGGGTGTGTCGAGAAGAAGGTCCGAACGAGTTGAGGTCCCTAGGTCTCTCTAGGTAATACAGCTTGAAACCAGGTAAGAAGGGAAGTCTGCAGACTATTGTTTCTTCTTCCTAGACCACTGAGGGGTCCGGAGGATCTCCTATTCGATCGGGATCCTCCAAGGAGTCCGGTATATCTTTTACTGGCTCGGGGACCTCAAGAGATTGAACTATCGACCTAATAGCTTGGAAAGCTATTGATCGGGGAGATCGAGCTGAATGTGCTGACGTAGATGGCTTACGCGGCCTTCAGTGAGAGGCAAGGAGTGCCCTCTTCCTGATAGAATGTATATTATACCTGAACACGGGATATGAACATAGGGAAGGCACAGAGGATATAAAGGAGGGCTAGACGGATACAGGGCAACTGGACAGAAAAAAAAAACACATGCACATCACCGACTATCAGATCATCTGAGAATCTACCTACGAAAAGTCCCTTTATCCACTTTTATGCCCACTTATGCTCTCTTCTTCGCGAGAGTACGCGACGTCGGGTGCTCGCCTGAGAACATATGCAACGTAGGTGCGACTTGTACGACCGAAGCTGCATAAGCCATCCTATCTAGCATTCGTCTGCACCCTTGCTATTCGTGGAGTCCTTTCCAACCTCGGAAGAAGGAAAGGCCAATCATATCAAATGTGACTCTGAAGTGGCGGCATAGGAGACTGGAGGTGGACGAGACAGAGACTCGGGGCTAATTGGTCCAAGGTCGCATGACTTGACAGCCTGGGCTGTCAGTTGTCAGTGACCCGAAGGAAGGAAATGAGAATCACAGAACGCCGTAACGAGGAGTGGCGTGGCAACATGCTGTGCTAAGGCTGGGTCCGGCGCGCCGGAGGGACTCCGGTGCAGTGGGGCCGGTAGCGCGGCGCGGCCCGGTGGGGAGCCGCACGCCCTGTGGGCCGGTGTCCGGGCAACGGCTTTGTTGGTCCGGGGCATCGGAGTTATATGGTGTCGGCACTTGATAAAGACGCTAGCACAGCCCTAAAGGCACTTTACCCTCTAGAGTTTCTCATAACGTAGTCTTATACGAGACGAGCCACATTATAGCCGGACAAGGGTAATGCCTGTATTTACGAGTCCGGTTCATAGCCTAAAAACCACTAACACGATGTCCAAACAAGCGGCCTCCTTTGTACTCGCGCACCGATTCCTCGCCTCGATCGGTTAGTCACTCTGAGAGACTCATCCCCACATGGCGGCTTGTTGACGATGCCTCCCGGCATCGACTGGAAGAACGTAAATAATGACGGCTTCCCAGACAAATTGATTCTTCGCCTAACCAGATTGTCCGAGACTGACATTCCGACTTCAGCGAGACTCCCGACAGCGTGTTCCCGCGGCGGCGAGATTCTCATTTTAGGCCCATCACCAACCACACCGGAGGCTGGGGACCTTGTGGAGGCGGGCATCGGCGGTGCCCAAGGTGGGCTCGGTATACTCGGCGCTGATGTACTGATGGGCGGGAAGCTTTTGCTGCACCGAGAGATGGCAGGTAATAATGGAGACGTTCGCTCTTGAGTGACAACTCGAGTGCGAATACCAGCACATGTTGTAAAAGAAAGCTCATTATATAACAGGTCCTAAATATCAGCTCTGGCGTATTTTGTTCAAGGCCTGCCGAGAACTGCAGGTGCCACGTAGAAAGGAAATCAAAGGAATCGTGCATTCTCGAGGTCTGTCTCCAACAATGCGACAACCTTTGAATAAACCTCTTGCCGAAAGTCCTCCTCCGCCAAATCATGAGTTTGCGTCGAAAAGTCACCATAGATACACCGCTGCACCGCACTGCCATAGTTCCAGCTCCTTTGCCTCACCTTAAACAGCAATCTTTATGCCGTCACGAAATTCTGCAACAGACTTGGCGCCTCCGCTGAGAAGGCCTCGTCTTCTTCGTGCATCGAATTCAGTGTTTTCCCAAGCATGAGCTCGATGAGCAGGATCCCGAGAGACAGCAGGGTGGCATTGCATTGGCGACCGAGCCGGGACGAGTCGCCGCACCGTGCCCGGCGGCCGCAATCAAGGAACTCTTTGACGACAAAGGCGCTGCTGTAAGGAGGGTACGTGTCCCCGACGAAGAAGAAAATGTCCCAGCTGCTAACGATGTCCGGAAGCCAGGGTGTCTGGTGGAGTTGAAGAACGCTCGACGAGATTATGACTGACAGTTGCAGCTTATCTCGAAGAGTCAACCGTGGATACTGGGAGGGCTGCTCCAGGATCTGCCCGAGCGATACAAAGGACCCATCGTCGAGGCCTACACTCGCCATCATACACACGTCAAAGCTCCTCGGTGGGTGTTGTTGCTGGTCTATGATGGCGCGCGGGAAGCTCGAATCCCATGCCTGCGCTCTGAATTTTCTCTGGCAGAAGCTCCCGCAGCAGCCGACGCGATATTCCGGTTTTATGGCCAGGCTCGGCATGCAACTTTGTTCTGACGACGGCGTCTCGTCGAGCGCCCGCTTGGATGGTCTATGTTTCGCGATCTGGGAAGGACAAACTGTGACATGCAGAGAGCCTCGTAAGGATTTAAACGAAACTGCATTGATGTCAACGGTCAACACAATCCCAAACTCGAAGCGACGTATAATGGTCTCGACGTCGTCGCCGTAAGCAATGCCGACTGACTGCGTCTCCAACTTCAGGTGGACGTCGCGGGTACAGGTGCAGGGCATGTTAGCGCGAAGGGCGCTGTATGCGCTACTGGAGACGTCTCGGAATAGTGTCATGAGATGTTGGCGCTTGTCTCGGTGCCTTCAATCGTCTTTTGGGGTCTATTCCGGTGTCAGGCGACGACACGTCGCAACTGTCGCTGGTGCCCAGGCTGGCAGATGAGCTCACACAGTTCAAATTATGGTCGGGCAACGTGGGTGCGCGCCGGACCGGGACTGGCTCCTTGGAAGACCGGCTCCGGGAGGCATCGCATATCCGGCAACAGGTATCGAAGCTTCTCCAGGACCTTGCTGGATCCCTTGAGGATGCAGTGGCCATCGTGTCCGGCGAGAAGACGCCTTAGGAGTTAGGACCAGCTTCCGGAAGACCAAGAATCGATCAGCGGCTTCGAGGGTAAGCCAGACTCGGATTCAGAACTAGCACAGATCGCAACGGACGTTGCTGAAGTCGTCGACTGCCTCGGCCGACTCAGTGTCGCCATTACGAACCCGACACCTTATGACCGAATTATTGCCTCCGGAATAATAGACGCATCAATGTATGAGCCGTTTGACGTACGACACGTATAGGATAAATTCCCTCGCTTGAGCGGGGACCTTGCGGACCGTCTGGGCAAGGCCAACTCACGGCGGCGGCATTACTTCAACTGCATGGAGGCCCATCGCGCCAAGCTTGCCGGCGATCTCGAGCCCAAAGCAGCCCCCGATACGAGGACGGGAGCCGTGGTTGAGAGAGCAATTACGTCTTCGATACCCGGTAGTCTCGTGAAGCAGCATGCCGCTTCGTTGAAAGCCGTCAACTCGGACGGTAGTAGCACCCGGACCTCTTGCGCCAGGTCCGTGGCCGGTGCCGAGAAGCTCCGGGTGCCTGACTTGCCTGAAGAGGCATGCAAGGGCCCTTTTGAGTGTCCGCTCTGCTTCGTGACGATTGAGGCGAGTACGACGGCTTCGTGGGTGTAAGTAGTGGTTGTCTGAATGCCCGCGACGTGGCTGACATGTGCAAGGAAACATGTTTACGGTGGCCTGCGGCCATACGTCTGCCTCTCTGCCGACTGTGCGGGCCCGGATCGAGAGTACGCAAGACGGCGTGAGTGGATGAAGCACACGCTGGAAAACCATTGGAAGGAATACTGGTGCCCGCTTAAGTGCGACACTGCCTTTGCCTCTGCGCAAAAATGCGAGGAGCATATGACGGAATGTCATACGGCGGTGCCGCCCGACCAACGGAAGGCCTTGATAAGTCTGAACCAGCGGCCTCTCAGATTCGAAGCCGGAGTCCATAAGTGTCCCATGTGCCAGGAGATGCTCACCTCCAGCAAGCAGTATTGGTGGCACGTTGGCCGTCACCAGCGAGAGCTCTCCCTGTTCGCCCTGCCCTCGATAGAGCGCAAGGAAGACAAGTCGAAGATGAGCAGCGACACGCCGACCACGGGACCAGCTTATTACGCACGGCCCTATGCTCTGGGCACTCCGCCGCGAGGCACGAGCCAAGGTGGTTTTTGCTCATCATCAAGTCACGTATGGTTATGTGTAGGTGTCACTCCGCTCACGGGGAGTTTTGTGAAATAACAGTTTACCCAGTGTCACTGCAGCCAGGGTCCGTTTCTTGTTACTACGACATGGTCTTGCGAAGGTTGTGGCAGCTGGCGTTGTCCTAACTGCCAGTACATGCAAGCCGCGCACTGAGAGCTGTAGTTATCAGCAAGTATCGTCTAATTAGTGAGAGGGTACTTTCAGTCATGGCATCTATCTCTCTAGTCTCTAAGTTACCTAATAATTAAGTGGTTGTTCCGCTTTTTCAAGTCTACTTGGCACTGCCACCAATCTTGGGTCTCGGATTCCACGGCCATGGCTCTCCTATTAAAAGTTCTAATATACGAAGCCCCCCTTCGTAGATAGCTGTTTACTGGCAGCAGTCAACCCTGGAGCGCTAAAACTGAGCCTTCTGTAGCGCCGTTTACAGTGGCGTTTGCCATTTGCAGGCAGCATCTCGGGGCGCTCTGCTCCGATCAGCACGTGCTATGCCGGTACCTCTTGCAGGGATACCCCGCGCCCAGTACCGTTTCGGTGATGAGCGGGCGGGTGGGTACTTGAGACGCAGGTACCCACTCATTACGCAGCTCCGAGCTCCATCTGCACCATCTCACGTCAACCTCCCAACTTCTTCACCTTTCCCTCTCCCTTTCACTCCCTCTCCATTCCAGTCTTCTGCCCGGGAGCTGCTTCGACGCCACCACCTCCTGTCCTGCCATCCAACAACAGACAGCTCCATGACTCGAAACGCGTCCCGCCGCTGATTTCATCCCGTCTCCCTGTCCAGCGCCGCCGCCATGGCTCCAAGCTCTGCCGTCTTCGGCGCTCTCCTCGCCCTCGCCCGCGTCGTGCGCGCTTCCCAGCCCGGAGCTGTCGAGCCCGTCGCCGCCCCGATGCGAGACCTATCTTGGGGCCAGCTTAATTTTCTGCACACGACAGATACCCACGGATGGCTCGGCGGCCATCTTCAAGAGTCAGCTGAGCCTCTCAATGCCCTCTCTAGAACCTCTCGAGTGCTAACCTCACGAGCCTGCCTGTCAGACCGCAGTACTCGGCCGACTGGGGTGACTACGTCTCCTTCTCCCACCACATGCGTAAGCGAGCCGACAACGCCGGCGCAGACCTCCTCGTCATCGACACGGGCGATCGCATCGAGGGCAACGGCCTTTACGACGCCTCGGTCCCAAAGGGCCGTTTCCAGTACGACATCTTTGCCCAGCAAAACATCGACGTCCTCACCATAGGCAACCATGAGCTCTACAAGGCCTACTCGGCCGCCTGCGAGCATAACACGACCCTCCCTCACTTCAAGGACGCCTACATTGCCTCCAACGTCAACTACACGGACCCCGACACCGGCAAGTCCGAGGCCCTCGCCCAGCGCTACCGCAAATTCAAGACCAAGAACCTCGGCCTCAACGTCGTTGCCTTTGGCTTCCTCTTCGACTTTACCGGCAACGCCAACAACACCATCGTACAGCCCGTCGAGGAAACCATCAAGGAGCTTTGGTTCCAGCGCGCCATGCGCGAGAAGCCCGACCTCTTCCTCGTAATCGGCCACGTCGGCCTCCGCATGCCCGAGTTTCGCGCCATCTTCACCGCCCTGCGCAAGCAAAATTGGCACATACCCATTGTTTTCTTTGGCGGCCACGCCCACGTCCGCGACGCCCTCAGCTACGATTCCCAATCCTTTGCCATGGCTTCCGGCCGCTACCTCGAGACCATTGGCTGGATGTCGATTGACGGCATCAAGCCAAAGTCGGCCAGCCAAGAAAACGGCCCGTCGGCCGCTGCCTCGCTCACCTTTAGCCGGAAATACATGGACAATAACCTCCTCGGCATGTACTACCATACGGGCCTCAACAAGTCCACCTTTCCCACCAAGCAAGGCAAGCACGTCAGCAACATGATCGCCAAGGCCCGCAATCAAATGCGACTCGACGACCGCCACGGCTGCGCGCCCCGGGACCTCTGGATGAACCGCGCCGAGTACCCGAGCAACGCGAGCATCTACTCCTGGCTCCAGAACGAGGTCCTCCCCGACGTTATCGTCAACGTGACGCGCCGGGAAAAGGCGCGGCTCGCCATCCTTAACACTGGCGGTGTCCGCTTCGACATCTTCAAGGGCCCCTTTACGCGAGACAACACCTTCACCGTCAGCCCCTTTGCAAATTCGTTCAAATTTGTCCCCGACGTGCCCTACAGTGTCGCGCAAAAGGTTCTGGGCATCCTCAACAGCGCCGACAAGGTGCTGGGAGGAGGCATCGCCGACACGCGGCTCCTGACCATTCCGCAGCAAATGTTTGCCCCGTCTCCCGCCACCGTCGACGAGCCGAGTCTCGAGCTGCGCAGCGTCCCGGAGCCCCGGCCAATGTCCCGTCAAGGCTCGGCCCCGGACCTCATTGCCGGGTACACAACCAAGGACGACATTGGCGACGACGGCGACGACACGGTCCACGAGCCCTTGACGTTCCACCACGTGCCCAACTGCATCCAGTCCGAGATCGCCTTCCCCAAGAGCGGCGATCCCGACACGGTGGACCTTGTCTTTGTCGACTTCATCCAGCCCTGGATCGTACCGGCGCTCAAGTTTAGCGGCGGCGACTTTGGCGACGGCGACGTGCAGGTGTATATGGAGGAGACGCTGACGCACAAGCTGGGCGAGTGGATCGAGGGCAACTGGAAGGGTGATTGCTGAAGAGGGCAATGTCTCGTCGAGAAGCGGCAAATGCATTCTTTTGTTCACTGAGATGCAAAGTGTGAGAGGGAGGATACCTGGGCGCTGTCATTGGGTCCTGTCTGGTTTTTTGATATTATGCTCGCTCTTTCCCTTGGGTTTCTTGCCAGTTCCATCACGGGTGACTGGGATTTGGCGTATTCTTCGACAGGAGGCCGACTGTGTCGCGAGTGGCCGAGGCTCATTCGGCGATATATAAACTTACATCATGCGCATTTACATTGAACACTACGAATACACTGGACTATATGGCAACTTTGCTCGCTCGCAGCCCGAAAAAGGCAAGACGGACACCGGCTCCTTCGGTGGGAGAAGAGGGGCCGCTCTCAAACGGGGGATTCCAGAGCGGAGATGAATCGTGGGGCGTGGGTGCTTGCTCACCATAGCCCGAGGCCTCGTCAAAAGGATAAACATGCACACTCGCACTCGCAATTACACTTCGCTGCACCAACGAATGAGTCATGCGGGCGCCGAAGAAAGAAAAGCCCTATTCAGCCCCTGACCAGTTCCCATCTAATTCCCCACGTGTTCCTCGTACATACACGGATCCTCTCACAGAAACGCCTGCCACCTCCGGTCAATCTGCTTCCTCCGGACCTGCGGCATCGACGTTAGCGCCCGAGCTGCGTTACTTGGATGTTGCGCGTGTGACCCGGCTGACGGGACATTGGTTCACGCGGGACATAGATGGGGTTGAGACGAAACAGAAAGGGGATCAGCATCACTCACCATTGGAGCCAGAAACATGACGCCGCCAGACAGGGCCAGCACCGTCGCCACGAGCGTCACCTTGTTGAAGCCCCTGCCCAGGATGTCAAAGACGCCGCTGGGAGCCACGCGCGCCACGTACACGTCGACACCGTATGCCGCCAGCAGGCTCGTGCTCTCGACGACGGCCGCCGCCGTCACGAGGCCGCGGATGCCCGCCACGTCGCGCTCGTGCGAGAGGACGGTGCGCGGGTCGATCTCAAAGGCCGGGGCGTACCGCATTAGCGCCTCGGCCTCCATCTCCGCCGCCGTGGGGTCCCGCCCGACCGGCCGCCGCGGGTCCAGTACGTGCCGCGACAGGCCCAGGATGCCGTGGGCGTGCGGCAGGTAGGCGACGAGCTCCCGCGTGCTGATGCCCTGGCGCGTCTGGGTAACGGCCAGGTGCGTCAGCGGCTGCGAGACGACGTATGCCTGCGAGAGGGCCCAGGGGAGCGGCAGGCCCCCCACGGGGTTGTCGACGGGGTCGAGCGACGAGAAGTTGGCCGCGTCGCCCAGCGGCCCGCGGCTGTTGGGCTCCGGGGACTCGTAGAGGTCCGTGACCACCACCTGGTAGCCCTTGAGGGAGCGCTCCGTATCATCGTCGAGCATGTAGTCCCCAAAAAAGGAGCAGGCATACCAGTTCTCGGCCATGGTGCACGAAATCGATTTGCGCGAGTCCACGCCCTTGTACAGCTGAGACGTGAGAACCTGGCCCGAGGCGGTATCGACCAGCTGGACGGACAGGGCGTTGGCCGACCCGTTGGTGGCAGCAACGACGATGCTGTTGGTGTTGAGATACTTGTACAGGACGCGTCTGTCACCCAGGACGCGGCCGATCGAGGCAACGGGGTCATGCGCAGGAGGTGTCACGATTTGTTCAATCTCGAGCCCCGGACGCATCTGAAGCTGCCACATCTCCTGCTTGGTCACCTTGCCGCCTTCCGCGCTGAATCTGATGCCCTTGAGTGTCTCGCCTTCGCCGCGGACGACAACGGTCTGTTCCGAGTCCCAATCGGCGGGAAGATCTCGCGTCGGCAGATCATCGTTTCCAATGGGAAGCAGACCCGTGCCTGACCCGCCCTCAACGACGGCAGTGCAGGACACGCCGGGCTTCTCGCCTTCTGCAAGGAGCACCTCGCGAGCCACGCCGGAGCTTGCGTTGAAGGCGGCATACTCGCCCCCAGCGCCGTACATGGCAACGATTCCGTGTTCGTCGTCTGAAACGAGACCCTTGACGATGAGGGGCGTGTCTGTGTCACGAGGGAACCAGCTGTGCGTCCAGAGTACCTGGCCGTGATTTCCGGAATCCAGGCCGTAGAAGCGCCCTCGGCGAGTCACGACGACGAGAATCTTGTTGAAGCCAAACGTGTCTCGGCGCAGGCCTTCCTTGTGGCCCACGAGGTCTCCGCCCGCTATGCTGTTCACGACACGCTCTGGGATGCTAGCCAGGTAGCGGGGCAGGTATTTCAAGTCGTCGATGTGGCGGGTTACGCGATGAATGTAGGCAGCCAGCGGGTTGGTGTGCGCCTCCTGGGCGAGAACCTTGGCGAGGTCCTCACCCTCGGGTATCTCGGCCCAGACGGCGGCCACGGCGCCAGATAGGCCCTCGTGCCGAGTCCAGTCCTTTTCGCCGTTGCGCAGCAGCGCCCAATCACCCGAGTTGGTGACGACGGCGGAGCGAACCGCAAACTCCTGTCCACCGGGTTTCTTGATGACCTCTGCCGCGGCATGGACGGGGCTGATGTCGACGGCTCGGTTGTTTGGCCAGCGAGCGAGAATGCCATGCGACTCAGAAGATACAATGAGCGTCTCGTCGCTGCTGATCTGAGCGAAGTAGACATTGGCCCCTTCGGAGCTGGTGCAAAAGGCGCCATGGCCTCGAAAGGCCGGCAGCTCGTACGCCAATTTGATCTGGCGTGTCTTGAGGTCCGTGTGGAACACCATGGCCTTGTTTGTCTTTTCCCCTTTTGAACGAGTGTGTACCAGAAAGTGCGTCTGCGACTGGGTCAAGTGAGGCGCGTGGATCTGCACCGAGGCGGTGTCGGGCGGGAGATTGAAGTCTTGCTTGGACTTGCTCCCCAAGACGTTGACGTTGAGCTTGGCCGAGCCCTGGTTGGTCCACGCGACGATGGGCGCGGCCGAGTTGGAGCCGACAAACATGACGTCGCCGGGCCCGTGAATGTCGCCTTTGGCACCGACGACGACGTGGTTGACGCGCGTGCCCGTTGCCGTCTCGAGGGAGGTGACTTTGAGGCTGTAGGACGAGGGCGAGCCGTGGAGACTGACGACGTAGACGTTGGCAATATTGTTTGATACCTGGAGAGGCAGATCATTGCTGTGTTCGCGAAACTCCCAGACGACGGTGCCGAGGGCGCCATGCAGACGTCGCAGAACGGTGACGCCATCCTCGTCAAAGAGGGCGAGGACGTCTTTCCTCGAAGCCTCGGTCAGCTCGAGTATCTCAAGATCCTTGACCTCGCCCTTGAAGTCCACGCGCCAGAGGTTCCTGCCCGTCAGCGCGCTCCAGGCCTGGACGCTCGAGCCGTAGGCGGCGGCGACCCAATTCTCGCCTTCCGGGGCCCGCAGGAAGCCCCCGCTGGTGGGGGAGGCATCGTCAGCGATCTGGTGTCGCCACACCAAGTCTCCGTTGCTCGGGTTGACGGCGCCGAGGATGCCGATGTCGCTGAGGGTGTAGAGGAGGCTCGCCTTGTCCTCCTTTCGCGGGCGGTGGAAGAAGGTGGTCTCGACCTGGGGGAGGCCGACGAGGGAGTAGTGGAAGTCGATGTCGCCCACCTCGTCCTTGAAGACGGCGGCGGCGAGCGCCGACAGGCCGAGGAGCAGGCCCGATTGCAGCGTGCGTCGCATGTCTGTTCCGTGGGGCTGTTGCTGCTGCTGCTGCTACTGCTGCCGCTGCTACGATTCCATCTGGGGAGCTCGTGGTCGCGAGCTATGCTCTGAGGTGGGCCCGCTGGCGGCGGCGCTTAGTCATCGGGTCAAAGCCAGAGCACGTGCATGTTGCGCGCGTGGTCTAGGGTAGACTCGATGAACGAGGATGCTGGAGTCGAAATGGGATGAAATCACAAGGTCAATCATTAAGCGAGTGCGACAAAGGATGCGTCTAGAGGCGAGTGCAGAAGAGCCTTGTTGCACACGGGTCGTCGTCTCCCCGGGCAAATGACTGCGAGACAGATCTGGCCCATGTTTGCCACCGACCCAAGACCCGCAGCCGTCACATCTCCTTGTCGCATTGCTCTGATCGGGATCCGCAACTCGCATGCTGCAGGCACGCACGCCAGCACTATGTAGGGCTCTGATAAGTTCAATAAGTTCAATACAGACATGCTTCTTCTTCCCGCGCACGCACCGCCCATTTGCTACTAATTGATGCAAGTGCCAAATGCCGCCACAAGGGCCGGAGGTTGCAGCCCAGGTCACGTCGGCCGCGCCTCAAAGCCGACCCCCCCCTCCCCAATGAGGTTTGGTCATGATGCCTTCTACCTGCGTGTCGGGTCCGACCCGGTGACCGCATGCTCCTCGACGGCGTCTCTTTCTCCTTCACCAAAGTCAGATGGTCTCGGCAATCAAAGCGTCAAAAGCCCATCCTGCCCAGCCTTGCCGACAGTGACGGTCCCATCTTGACCTCGAGTCCTGTCCATGTCCATCTTCGCCATGTATTAGAATCTTAGAATCATAAGTGCCGAGCCTCACCCTGTGGACGCCCCCCCTCGCCACGGCAGCATGAACTACCCAAACACCCGCCCGCTCATCCCCTCGTGGTCCCCAAACCCCATCCCGAACCTCTCCCTCTCCGCCGGCGGCCTCCTGGCCCTCGCCGACCTCAACACCATCGCCCAGCGCACCGTCATCGCCGGCGGCTCCTCCTGGCTCGACGCCCTGGTCCTGGCCCCTGGCCTGCACTACCAGCAGGCCGCCGACGCCCTCGACCACAAGCTCGACGGCGCGGCCGACATTGCCGCCGCCGCCATCGAGCAGTCGGCGGCGCCCACCGGCCCGGCGGACCAGGTGCGCTATGTCATCAGCAATGCCGCCTTGGTCAGCTTCCTCCGCCGTCTGTGGACTGAGGCTGCCGCGTCGACCGGCGGAGGGACCCTGACGCTCGACGTCGCCATGCTCAAGGACGGCGGCGCGCTGGGCAGGCAGGAGATGGAGAAGCTGGTGCAGAGGGTGAGCGGCTTCGTCCATCGACGCCCGCCCGCTCCCGCATCCGCGCTCCCCGTCCCGCCCGTCGAGATGGACTGGCTCAGCCACGTCTTGTACCTGCTGAGCCCGCTGCTGACCACCTTGGCCGTGACGCTCATGATCCTCCTCGGCGACTGGTGGGGCCTCGCCTTCATCTTCTCCCTCATGCTCTCCCGCATCCTCAACATCTGGTCCATCAAGCAGCGCTCGCGCCCAGACCCCAAGCGCGCCCACTCGCCCCCCCTTGTCCCGGACGGCGACCGCCTGACCGAGTACGCCATCGACCTCGGCCACGGCCGCCGCGCCGTCCTGCGCGGCCTCAACTCCGACCTCCAGGCCGTCACCACCCAGACCTGGCTGCGCGCCAAGTCTAACCTCGACGGCTACCTCGAGGCCGCCGCCAAGCTCCTCGTCTACCTCGTCGCCGCCTTTAGCGGAAACTTGTCCCAGGCCGGCGCCATCGTCCTCATGGCCCTGCTGCTCGTCAGCGCCGGCCTGCTCGGCCTGAGCAACGCCCACGCCCGCGGCTTGCAGATGAATGGCCGCGTTGCCAGGGTGCAGAGCGGGCAGCAGCATGCCATGCGGCAGCGCCAGACCACGGGGCGGATGCAGACGGACAGGGAAAGCGGGTCACTCGACGCACATACAGGCGAGAGCCTCCTCCCTCTCTCATGACGGAATACTAGGTCCTGTCATGTCGATAGTGGGACATCACCGGCCTTGGCTCTGTGCGCCTGAATAAGGAATGTATGTATTTCGATACCCAAGTCGTGATTCACTGTCCCGTCTCGTTTCCAAACGACGAGGACATGATCCACCACACCCACGTTCCCTTGTCTAGTCCAAGCCTCTTGTTGTACAAAGCGCACGTTCCGTCTCCTCTCCGCGTGACCGACCAGGCGGAAAACACCTGCGCGGCAAACCCACAAGGCGTAACATCACCCCTCGAGTCTGATCATAACGAACCGCAACTCAGTGCTTGTCCGGTGCGGAGCCCGTACTCGCATCTCTAGCTCTGGCGAGCCACCAAGGCGACCTACGCATTGGAGGGCGGATTTTCTTGCACGCCCGGAGGAGACTGCGCCGCGACGGAGGGCTGCGCATCGACAGCCTGCGTATTCGAGAATGGTTCCACCTTTTGCTCCTCGTTGTGGTCGTCGCCAGGGCCTTCCGCCGGCTCCACAGACATCTTCGGCTCGTCCTTGATGTTAGCGCTTTCCTCTAATACAAAGCCTTCCGCGGAGGGCTGCTCAACGCCATGTTCGGGCCCGCCAGCGGGTTCCTCAACTTGTGGCTGTGGCGAAGGGCGCCTGGCTACATCGCCGCTCGATGCGGCCTCTCGATCCAGCTCACCCATCAGCCCGCCGATCAAATCCGGCTTTTCATCGTCTGCAGCTTGAGATTCTTGAGGAGAAGCCTGCTTTGGGGCCGGTGGCGACGATGTCGTTGCCGGAGGGGCCGCCGATTCCTGGGCTGGTTCTTTGGCCTCCCCTACTGAAGCCGTGCCAAATTCCGACGAAGGCCCCGACTCGGATAGTGGAAATCGCACGGACGCGGAGTCATCTGGTTTGATGGTGTCTTCTGTCATGACGGAATCGCACTGGTTGAGCGAACGAGGCGGCAGAGCCTCGCCCTCAAACTGATTCTCCTCCTCTTCCCCGCCCTTGTCTTCGCTGTCAAGCGACTTGGCCGGACCAGACTCGGCCCTGGGGGAATAGATGTTGCCAACTTGATCAGGTGGTGGTGGAAGCAGAGCATCTTCATTGGTCGGGTCATGTTCCTCTCTTCCCTGCCATGGCGATTCCTCTTTGAAGGGGGCGGGCTCCGACAAGGCGGGTTCCTGATGCGCCGTTTCAACCATTGGCTCGGGCTCCGGGAGGTCTCTTTGATTGGCCTCTGCTGGTTCATCGCTCACAATCGGTGAGGGAGGCTGGTCAATCATCGACTCGGTGGCTGCTTCGACTTTGGGCATCTGCGTTGGGCCGGGCGGCGGCGGCACCTCGGAGGACGTTGGCTCGGGGGGAGACGGCAAAACGACATTCTTGAGGGGGCTTCCTTCTGGCCTCGGCGAGCCCGAGGCAAGGCTGCCTGCGGGTGGCGCAAGGGAGAGCGGATTGGGTGGCGTGAGTTCCGTTGGGTTCATGGCGTCTCTGGGGTCCGCGGCTGGGGGTTCCGAGAAGGACGGATTGGCCGCGAAGGCGGCATCGGTCATCACTTCGTCTTGGTTGTCAGCCTGGGCGCCTTGCTGCTGATCGCTCACAGCGCCTTCGTCCCTATCCCCGTCATCACCGTCTTCGCCGTCGTCGCCATCATCGTCGTCTTCATCATCGTCGCCATCCGCCATTTCGCTGTCCGGGTTCGGCGTGTTGGTGTCTTCTCGATTGAGGCACTGTGGTACACATCAGCAAAAGGACTCGGATTCTGATGGAGCAGAGCAAACGGACATTCTCGCCTTGATCCTCGATTTTGATGGGTGCAACAGCGCCCTCGGCTGCGGCGGCGGGGCCCGGCGGCGGTCGCTGGCCGAGCATCGGGTTCTTCATCTTCTTCTTGCCCCGGCCCGGGCCGGCCTTGGCTTTTCGTTTCGGCGGCGGCGGCCTTCTCCTCTGCGGAGGCGGCGCGGGGGCCACGGCTTCTGTGTGGGCGCCCGGGGCCACCTCGACGCGTGTCGAGATGATCTCGCCCTGCACCGGCTGGCCCTCCACCAGCGTTACGTCTTCAGTGTAGGGGTTGCCGGCGGCATCAATGCGCCTGACGGTCGCGCGCGTCACAGTCGGCCCCGTCGGCTTCTCCTCGACGGTTTTGCTGGCAATCGTGACGGTGCCGCGTCTGCGCTTGGCAAGGTGGGAGATAGTGGAGGCCTCGACGTTACGAGGAATCTGTTTCCAGACCTTGATGGAAAAGCCTTGGGCCTCGGGCTCCTCCTCCTTCTTCTCCGGCTTCTCGGGCGCGACCACGTCGACATCGGCGTCGTCTTCTTCCGGGGCAGGCCGTTTGTAGAGACGGCCGGATCGGGCGGCGCGGAGGAGCTCTTGGCTGTGAGGGGGGAGCAGGTTGGCGTCCTTGGGCATCCCGTGTATCAGCTCAATTGCCCAGATGTCGTTTAGCTGCTGTTGTTCCTGCTGCGGCTGCGTCGCCACGCTTGCCCAGTCGTGTCGCCATTGTCGCACGGGAAGTCCTGGCGGGAATCAGCGGACACGGCACCGACAGAGACAGAAGAATTGACGCGCAAACCTTCGAAATCGTCATGCTCGGCGTACCCGCTGCGATTGGCGCGACGCGTCTGGACGAAGATGGCATGTCAGCCAGGTAGCCCGAGGCGGTTGGAAACGGGAACTCACGCCAGGAGGCATGGCTGCGTGGACCAAGACTGCGCAGATGCGCGCAGCGTCACAGCACTACGGCGGCGTCGCTTCGAAACCTGGCTTGTGGACGGCAATGCTGGCGGCGACGCGCAACCAAGTCGCTGCTCGGATGCGGTTTGTTGGCCAATATAGAGAAGCGGGATCCGCCGGAGGATTTTCCAAAGGGAAAGGCCAATGAGGGATGGATGACGTAAGCTGGAGGGCATCGCGAAGGACAATGGGCAGGGCTACCTTATTGTTGCAGATTTTACAATAACAGCGGAATGATACCGTGTAGTCTCCAAAGCTGTTGGCTCTCGGACGTGCGGGACATGGAATTTTTGGAAGGCTATCAAAGGCGTGGCGGTACTCGGCCGAGCACCCGGTAAGCCTCCCGAGAATTGCTGAATGCTCTCTCGAGTCCGCCTCAAGGTCTGTCGTGGCACACCAACACAGGGCAGCCAGAGTTAGCCAGCCCGACACGTTCAGATCCCCGGCGAGACGTGGCAGAGAGTTGACTGATATTTCCCCCTTATTGCGCAGCTCCCTCCCCACAGCGAGGGTTGTAAACGCTCCCCGACCAAAGAGCCTCCACGACCTACTGCCTGTATGGTATCTGCAGTGATGGTGTACACCTTTCCAACCCTACTGTACAATGGTGTTTTCGTGTGTGACGTTGCGGCCGCCGATTCAAGCCCATCTGCAGCCAAGTCTGGTCAGCTTCGTTGCGCAAAGGCCGTTGTCCATCTGCATATGCATGGCTCACCCAGGCTCCTTCTGTCGAACCACCTCGCCGTTTCGGCCAGTGTCCTTGCCCTGGTTCTTCAATCAGCTTTCAGGCCGGAGCGCGCGTCCGAGTTGAGGAGTAAACGCGTACTGAGATGCCGCTCTCTACAACCAGCCGATCCAGCTGATAGAACTGGCCGACAACCGTTTGCCGCTGTAAGAATGCCCGTCAGTCTCCGTCGCCGGCGTTTGAGCTTGCGATAGGTACGGGCCGCACCTTCATCACCTGCAGCTCTTTCAAGCCCTTTTGCACCAGCTCCTGTACCTGGCGTGGGTCCTGCACGCTCATCTTTTCCCGGAAGGCGTCTCGTGTCCGTCGCTTGGCATACTCGCGGAAGTTGTAGGCGGTGAACTGCTCGCCCTGCCGTAATAATTGGCGATACTGTATTGAAATGAGAAGAGTCAGCCAAAGTCCAGACCGTCGGCCTCTGCCCGCACGCGATACACCCGCTCTTCCTGTCACGGCTTCCTTGCGTCGAAGCGGGCGTACCGGAGGAAGCGGGCGGCGCATTGCGCAACTGTCTATCGGACGAAGGATGGTGCTTACCAGGGATCTGACTTGCTGCGGCATGTCGCCCTTTAACGCGCCGACCGCAGACATGTTGCGCGTCCGTGATGTCTGGTCAAGATCTTTTCGCGGCTTTCTATTTCCAAAGCTTGGGCGAAGGCGAGTTGTCTCGGGCGAAGCAATTCTCCGATCCGGTCAGCACCGTCATCAAGGGACCAATCAACGCCCTTCAGGCAGGTACTCAGTACATAGAGGTCGGGTTTCGGAAGAGTACTCCGTCAAAGTGATAGCAGTAGATATACATGGTATCAGGTGGGTGGGGACGGCTGTGCTGAGTCGTGGTGACTTGGCGTTGCGGGGCCGCCGGTGGGAAGGGTGGCACCGGCCCGAGGTTATCTTATCAATCAATTTAAACCACCTCAACCTCGTCCTAACATTAGCATAAACGTGTGGCCGCCCTACTCTTCCGTTCTCAAACGCCTGCTTGGGGGCTGTCCTCCTCTCTGTACTGAGCACGCATGGCGGAATGTCAAGGGCGGCGGCCGTTTATTTTGCGTTACGTCAAATGCAGCAGCTTTTGCGGCGAGACTCTCAGTCAATCTTCCGGGGAGACTCAGCAGTGCCTCAACTATGATGCAGCCACACTCTCAGAGGCGTCGCCGGAGATACAAGGCAACTCTGGTTTGATGCTATGGAAAGGCAGTTGATTGAAGAGAGACTCGTGCTCCGTACAGTTCTGCGAGAAGAGAAGATGGCCAGGACACTGCGAGAAAGTGCCGCCTGGGCAATTACAACAAGGGACAGCGAGAACCCGAGTCCATTTCCATTCACCCTTGGCCGCTGAGCCTCGTCCGGATTATGCGACCGCTAGTGGGACTGTGCGCGTTTGCGCGGCGTTCGAGGCGCATCACGGATCTCGAGTGGCTTCGGCTGGTCTCTCTCCACAGACTCGCAGGCCAAGACGGACCGCTGCATGCTGTCCACGGGCTCAACTTTCTCGTCGAACCAGATTGTGGTTGGTCGTGCGAGCGGGCAGTTTCTTCCTGCGTGCACGCTTGGAAGCCGATTCTGCTCGCACGACAAACAGCGCAGTGCTGCTCTGCATTGTACAGACAAATGGCCGTGCTGAACGCAGCGCTCGCAACAAGTGTTCCAGCTTGGCTTGTCGCGGCCAACTTGGAAGATGCACTGTTTGTTCGAGGCGTACGTGTAGAGGCTCCTGAGAGAACTGTCGCCGCATGCCGGCACGGCACTGGCGCTGCCCACGACAATGTACAAAACGTCTGCTCGAGACATGGCAACGGCGAGGCGCTTCGCGTCGTCGATGAAGCCTGGCGCATCCCCCGACCGGACCAGGTCGAGAATCACGACTGTGGCGTGTTCATCCTGCGACTCGTCGACTGTGCGAACCGATATGTGGCCACTTGGTATCTCGACCGGCGACAGTTGGGCAATTACATGCTCGTATTGCGCCTTTTGCTGGGCGTACGTTGTGAGAATCATGATGGATCCCCGGCGGATGCGAGTGCCATCGCTAAACGACTGGAGGTAGTCGCTCATGTCGTGCAGCGGAGCGTCTCGGAATAGCTGGACCGTCAGCTCGACTGCGAAGCGTGCGTTTGCCACACTGATGAAAGACGTGCTTCTTACATTCTTGCCAAAAGGCGACCCACTCCGGAGGCATCCTTCCCTCGCTATCAGAATCTTCCTTATATTCCGTCGGTTCGGCAGCAATCCATCCGTCGCTGACTAGCCTGGCCACGACGGCGTCGCAGATCTCGGTCGCGAGGGCAAACTTTCCCGCTCCAGGACATCCCACGACGAAGACCCTCCCGGCTTTGGTATCCGCGAGGGACTCGATGGCTGCAGCCGTTTGTTTGTCGAAGCCGCGGCTGTCCAGTCTGTCCTGCAGGGCTAGGAAGGCTTCCAGCAAGTTGCGGCGATATTCATTGCCAAAGTCTCGGAGGTCAACCACGTAATGCCACCATGTGGAGGCTTCCTGACAAGACCCCGGATTATTGAGAGATCACACCGCAACGCACTCGGCCCTGGTGATTGTTTTGATGGGATCATACGCAATGCTGCAGGAAAAGGCATTCTTGCGATTGCCGTCATCCGTAAAGATGTGGGTGAGAAAGCTGCGCCAGGATCCGATGACCGTGGTCGTGGGAATGTCGTATAACAGCGGAGGAGCACCCCCCCCCATTGCTTCCACCCAGGCAGGATCCGGCGGCGTGCGCATGTAACACATGGCAACATCGGCCGGGATCCCTGAGGGCAGCGGGATGCGTTCTGCTGGGAATGGCTCCCCCCACGCATCATCATCACTTATTTGCACGACGAGGCCACTCTGCAAGACCCACAAACGGAGGCGATCTATTGAAGTCTTGCGGTCCTCCTCATCCCGGAATTGGACATCGCCCGCGAGCTTAAAGGCCATGGCATAGCGACGAGTGGTCTCGTCCGCATCCTTGGTCTCCTTTCGAGTCTGCTCGTCAACGTGAAAAACGTAGGAGAAAAGGAAGTCTGCGATAATGCCACGTCGCTTGTTCTCAAAGACGGTCAGCCTTTTCCGCAGGAGCTTCCTGAGGACAGCCGGGTCAGGACTCTCCTGGTTTTTCTCGTCTTGGATGCGATTGTCCACGGCCTACAGGGCTTTTTGGGCGCAGCACTGAGCAAATTTCAGCTTCTGGCGAAGCGTAGATGCCACACCCCGTATCTGGTCCCGGGGCAGACTCGGGGGCACACGTTGCGTGCGAGGAACATCAAGGTAAATCCACACTTCCTGACCAATTTCGGGCAGTAAGTCGCGTGTGTCCTCCTGGTCTATAATGAGAACGTGACCAGTGATTACGTCGTCCAAGAGATGTCCACAATGCTCCAAGCGCTCGCGAGTTGGACACCAGCGATTGGAAGGGTCAGGCGCCGCGACCGCCGTCATTTCTCTCTTGCACAGCTCGTCTGCCGCTTCTTCCCGCATATTCCTTTCCTCGACCGCGCCGTACACGTGTGCGATGGTGCGGTGCTCATTGTTGACAAAGCTGTTTGTCGGGGGCAACGGCTTCTCTGGTAGCCCAATGACCTTGGTATGGGTGGTATCGAAGTCCAAATCGTAGACGTTGTCATCGTGGCTCTTCAGGATGAGCTCATATGGCTCTCTTTGGTCTTCCGACGAGCTCTCGGTGTCGTCCATCTTGATTCAAAGCGGGAGCAGAAGGCGAGGGTTGTCATTCAAGTTGGTGCGGTGCGTGAGGTGAAAGAGTGAGAGATGGGCGCAACGCGAAAGGGCACCTAGGTCAAGGGGGTGTTTTTGACAGGCTTTTGGCTGTTTGTGAGTTTCGAGTGGCGGATGTTCAGTCGGCTGCCTCTATTGCTAGGCAGCCATGAGCCCTACCCCGTAGGGTTGGCAGCTGTTTCTGGTGCAACATGCGTTCAGCTTTCCGGGACAATCGTTGTTGTAAAAGGAAAAGATGAGTTGCCTTCTCTCGTCCTCGCCCCTGAAATGTCGTTTCCCATGATGCTCTTGTATTGAAAATTGAGCTCGATTTCCTTCTGAGTCGATTGCTGTTCTCGAACTGGACCTGGTCAACTAGGCAGAGAAGCTCGACCCGCGCGAGCTGGGTTTGACAACCGCACGTGGTGAGGATTCAGAACGACAGAGAGCTCTCTCTCGATAAGTCGCCAACTTGCTGCTGAAAGCCCGGTTCGTCACGTTTTGCGAAACACGGAGAGAAACTTGCACTCTCCCACATTCAACCGAAGTAACGGTACTGTTTGATGATGCACCTAATGTATCCAATGTTTTGCAGGCGACAAGTTCAGGACCGTGTGCACAGACTTATCCCGAGTTAACTCGCCAGGAGCGGCGAAGTCAAGGAGCATGGCCTCCTTCCTACCCCGAGACTGATGCCGCGCTTGCGGCTGTACTCTTAGGCCTCTGCAAACTGTACATTGCGTGAGCCATGGGACTCCAGAAAATGCCGCCTGTGCTGTTCTAGAGTTCCTCTTAACTCTTCGCCGTCTTGGAAAATCAACATGGCTCAAGGTACGCAGAGGCGAGCTATGCTTTGCACACGTTAATCGATAGTCAGACTGCCAGACTCTAGGGCTAGCCGCTAGCACTGTAGCTTGCTCCGTGCAAAGTTCCCGGCAGATATGTTGTCACAGCCAGACTTGCCATCCTGCTGAGACGTCGTGGTCATATTCCGTCCACGTGATGCCTGGGTTGCTCAAACACGGAAACCTCGTCATGCACGGCCTGCACGCCTCCTAATCCAGCAAGACAAGTGCTCGGCTTAGCACAAGGGGATCAAAAGGAAGAAAGAAAGGGGGGAGGGGGGACAGCCGAGACTCGCCCGCAGCGTGCCGCCACCGGTGACATGCCAAAAGACACCAGCCGCAGCCGCATCTCAGGTCGGACAAACAGCCCGGGATGCGGGGAAAAGTCACTCGTAACCAAGGGCGGCTGGTGAATGGCCGGGGACAGGGGATGGATGTCTTGCTGTCGATGATGCCCTTTTCGCGGCGATACGCTGTTGTTGATGTTGCTGTTGCTGTGGGGGGCCGGCTGGGGAGGACAGGTGAATAGACGAGATGAGCAACGCCCAAGTCAGTCTGCATCGGCGTCGGATACTGTGTGTTTGCCTCCATCGGCCTGTGAGAGGGACGGCCTGCTGTGATTGCTGAGCTGCCAGGCACAGGGGGGAGGCATGCACTCCTGGTTACGCGAGGCGGCAAACACGACCGGCTCATCACACGAGGCATGTATGTACAGCACTCCGTATGCAAGCACGGGTCGTGTTCGTTGCGGGCAACCTGCTACACACCTCATGCAGCCAAAAGCCGAGGGATCTGTCTATGCCGCTGCTCACAAGCCAGCCGCGCGAGGGATTATGACGGCCTGTTATCCCCTCGTGTCGTGCCGCATGTAAGAACCGCAGAGGGAGCATCTCCGGAAGAAACAAAAAACGCGGTGAAACCCAAGCCTCAGCGCTCCTCGATGCCATGTTCTCCCACGCCGCGGAGAAGGCAGTGTGCAGCGCCGCCGCCACCACCGAGCGCCCCACCCCGGCCCCGATGCCGACCCGATGCCGACCCGATGCCGACCCGATGCCGACCCGATGCCGACCCGATGCCGTGCCCAAGCCGACGCCGGCCCTGACGCCGGCCGCAAGCCCGAGCCCCCACCCGGCGCCGCCCTCTCCGTTCCGCGCCTCGTCACGGCGCGAGATCTCGACGACACAAGCCTCTTCTACAACCGCCACCGGTCCTCGGTCGCGCCCCTCTCCGCCGCCGGCCGCGCGCGCCTCGACTGGCGCAACCTGTGGTTCCTGCTGGCGCAGACGTGGTGAATCGCCTTCCTCATCCACCTCGACAAGTCGACCCTCGCCCAGGCCAGCACCATGGGCCTGCTGCGCGACGTCGCCATGGGCCAGGACCAGTTCAACGGCCTCTTTGTCGTCTTCTACGTCGGCTACTTGTGCGCCCTGTGGCCCGGCGCCGCCGTCGCCCAGCGCGTGGGCCACAAGCCCTTCATCACTGGCTCGCTCTTGCTCTGGGCATTGCTGCTTGGCTTGCATCCCCTTGCACGCACGTCCGGCCACATGGTGGCTCTCCGCTTCCTGCTGGGAATGGTCGGTTGAAAACCCTCCAGTCTACGAAGCCCGCGAATCTGACAGATATCTCCCGGGCCAGACGGAGTCGCAAATCGTGCCCTCAACCGCCGTACTCCACCAGGCCTTCTTCCCCCCAAAGAAGAGCCCCTGGGTGCAGCTGCTGTGGTGGGCCGCGGGGAGCTTCGCCAACGTCCTGCTCACCATGGTCGCCTACAGGCTCATCCAGGACGACGCCCACGCGGGGCTGGTCGGCGGCCTCAGGTCGTGGAAGTGGCTGCACATCATCTGCGCCATCCTCACCCTCGTCGTCGCCATTGTGCTCATCGTCTTCCTGCCCAACTCGCCCGTGGATGCCAAGTGGCTGTCGACCGAGGACAAGGTGCACACTATTGCCTTGACCCGCGAGGCCCATACCGGCATCTCCAACTCGACCTTCAAGTGGTCGCAGGTCAAGGAATGCTTCCTCGACTTGAAAAGCTGGCTTTTTATGCAGGTTCCTCTCTTGTAACCTGACCTGGGACATGGCTGGCCGCTGACGGAATGGGGCAGCGTCCACATGTTCTTCAACGAGCTGCCCAACAACACGTCGCAACAGCTGCCGCTCATCCTGGTCGGCTTCGGCTTCACCCCGGCGCAAAGCGCCCTGCTCAACGTGGCCAAGCCGCTCTGGGGCTGTTTCTTCATCCTCGTCTCGGCAGCGATGCTCTACGGCACGGAGATAGGCGTGGGCTACACCTGTGTCATCTCCTACACCCCCTGTTTTGTTGGCGGCATCATAATGGTATCCAACTCTTCGGCCTCTTGGCGCTCCGTGCTGACCACAAGACACTCGACGGCAGATGGCCGCTCCGTGGTCCAGCAAGGTCGCCATCTCGTCGTCGGCACCCAGATTTCGACATTCAAGCCATCATACCTGCTCGGCCTTTCCTGGGCTGGCACCACCACCAACGGCTACACTAAGCTCTGCCTCACGTCCACCTGTGTTGTTGCTGCTGCCGTCGCCAACATGGTTTCTCCAGAGTGAGTGGTCACTTGCCTAATTCTATTGCCTAGCTATTGACAGGGCGTGATAGGTTCTGGCAGGAAAAGTATAAGCCCCGATGCTTCTTGCCATGGGCATGCATGACTGCCTTTTGGTTCCTCTCTTCTGGCATGTGTCTCATGATCCGTTTCTACCTTGCGCGGCAAAACAGGATCCGGGCCATGAAGCTGGGGCAGCGCGTCGTCGGGAGCACGAGAGACGCGCTCGACACCGGGGGCGGCATTCTGAGGCTCAGCGACGAGGACCTGGACCAGACGGATCGGCAAAATCTTAAATTCGTCTATCCAATCTGAGCTCCAACTGCTTAGGTTCATCTGGATCCCGGTGGTTTGACTTATCTAGGCTTCTAGGTAGGAGACCACGTCGATGCCAGATCTGCTTGATCCGGCTCGCCTTCATCTTCCCAAGAGTGGCCGTTGACTAAGCTGAGCCAAAAAGAACGCTGCCATGGAATAGTACGTGTCTTAGACCGTCGAGACTCGACGAGATATTGAAGAGATCCCTCAAAGAGCAATGGCTCGCTTTTGCGTGCTTGTATGGTCATCGTCTTCTCGATGCATGCTATGCCGCTACTAACTTAATGACGGGCGATTCGCAAATACGCCGACATTATGATCAATCAAACTTTTCACAAGGGGACATGACACACGTCATCTTTGGCCCTACCTCTAGGCTCGAGTATCATTGGCCTCGATCTGGTTATATGAACATGTCGTACGACATGCGAGAGGCCGTGGAGCAGCGGCATTGGCTGTTCGGCTGCTCGAGACAAATCGGCAACCACTTAGCTATTTGTCATACTCATCTCAGAGCATCCTCGAGGCCCGAAGGCCAATGAATTGCTGCCTCCAGCGGGACCCGAGGGAGGGGGAATCAGGCCACCGACTCGACCTCGGGTATAGTAGGCGGCAGTTGGTGAGAAAGCCCTGGCTGACAAGCCCAAGCTCAAGCCTTGGGCGCGCCTTCGTATTGCACCGTGGCCTTGTGCAAAGCCTTTTGTTCCTCAACGATGGACCGAAGCTCATCAATCTCTTTCTGGAGATACGAGTCATTTCTCACACTCGGGGCAGAGGCCACAAGAGAGGCTATGGCGGTTTCCAGCTGGTGGGAATGGATACCGGTGGAGTCGAGCCTCTCGGTAAATTGGGCGTCGAGGTCTAGTAGCCCTTGTAGCCGGGCCGTGAAGGTGTACTGCCGTTGCGTCTGGTTCGGCTTGACAACATTCACAACTTGATAGCGCCTTTCCTCGGGCACAAGAGGGACAAAAACGAGGTTGGTCACGGCGGCGTTCAGATTGGCCATTTCCGCCGGATGGCCGTCGTCGGTGAGAGTCCATCTCATGATTTTGCCCTTGGGGTGGCCGGTAAAGACCAGGGTGCCGTCGTAACTGAGAGCCAGACACGATGGGGCGCCCACATCAGCATCGGCAACGCCGAGGGGAGAGTCTACCTGGACGAGGGAGGAGGCAAGCTCGGCACTGCGAGAACCGAGAAGAGGCTTGTCGCCGAAGAGCTCGACGAGATAGAGGCCACCGTCCTCGGCGCCGGCAAAGAGGGCCCGGGCGCAAGGGTCAAGAGAGATGCAGAGGGGTACTGCGGGGAAGAGCAAGGTGCGGAGAAGTTGGCCGGACTGGTGGTTCCACAAGATGCAAGTCTTGTCCTTACTGGCGGATACACAGAGGCTCGTGCTGGCGTGAGTGCTTGGACCGACGACGAGGTCGGTGATGGCGGCGCGATGGTTGGACAGGATGCGATCCGGCTCATGGCCTACGTCGGCGCCAAACTCGAGGAGGCGAGCCAAGGACCAGACGTTGATGTTGGAGTCGTCGGAAGCCGAGAGCAGGTGGAAGGGGGTCACGGCCAGGCAGCTGACGGCCTGCACATGGCAGGGAGGCGTGGTGGCTTGTCGGCCGGTGCAAGTCTGGCACCATGATGTCGTTAGCGTGGCGGTTCCAGTGACGAGGGGGGAAAAGCAAGGCGTCTCACCTCCCAAAGGATCAAGCGACCCTCGGCGGTGCCCAGGACGAGGACGTCGCCTGCCAAGGCAAGACAGCGTATCCTTTCTTGGAAGGGGACTAGGGCCTCCTGGTTGCCACGCGGACGCGAGTAGACGTGGACGTGGGCCTTTTGGTCCTGGGCGGCGAAGACGTGCGAGTCGCTGACGGCCAGGCACCGCGGGGGGGCCGAGCTCTTCTTGAAGGCGGCCTTGACGGCCCACGAAGGGCTGACGGCGTGACCATGGACGCCCACGTCGCGGGACACGGCCGTGTTTGCTGAGATGGGCGGCCCGCAGGTCGAGGAAAAGAGGACTTCGGAGAGCACCATGCTGTCTCTGCAGTTGCGCGAGAGCGAGAGCGAGGGCGAGAGAGAATCAGGGGGTCGGCGTCATCAGCGTCGAGGCGGCGTCGGCGTCGGGCGTCGCAGGGACTTGGGAAAGGGCGGTTATAGTCACTGGCAACGAGGGCTCTCCCTGCGGTGACTGAGAGCGCAAAGGGAAGGGTTTGGCGAAAAAAGAAAGGCGGCAGGGGAAAGAAAAGAAAGAAAAATTGATTGGCTCCACTGGGCGGGAGCTATTTGGGAACACAGACCGCTGTAAGCCCCGGGGGCCAGTAGGGTGCTGCAGCGGAGCCAAAAGGGTCCGGCAGACGGCGCGGGGAGGAAAGAAGGAAACAATTGTCAAAATTGTCAGCGCAAGGAATTGGGTCTGACAGTGAGAGGAGCGGCACAGATGAGTGCAGTACTAAGTTACAGAGTATACGGCGTAGGTATTCGACTGTGGGCGGCGGACGGAAGGGGATGCGAGTTGGCCAAAAGCAATGACGCCCAGCGGCAAGGGAGGCGAAGAAACAGGGCTACTACGTGGGTGGTGCAGGCGTCCGAGAGCGAGCTTCGGCGCTCGAGCGCATAGTACAGTACATATCAGTTGCATCATGCGCCGCCGACAAGTCGTGAAATGGAGGATGGGAGGCACAAAACCGTTGTGAGTGTGTGCGTGTTTGCGTGTGTGTGGTCGCACAGGGCGGTCGGTCGCTGTGAGATTTTAGCATGCCGCTGGACGTAGTACCTACATACAGCATACAGTGCCCCGTCGACTTCTGCAGTGCTGTAGACAGAGAGAGAGAGAGCGACAGTGAGGGAAGAGTTGGGCCTAACAAGGCACGCATGGATGGATGCACAGAGCCGACCGCTCCAGGGCCAGGCAAAGCAAGGTGGGGTACCTACGGGCCTGACGGCCAATCAAATGGCGCTGTCTGTCAAGATGCTTAAATTTCCTATTGCCCGTTACAGCAGTCCCTTGCGGCGCTAGGGCTGGAACAACAACCGGCCGCGTCTAGACAACGTCAGGCTCCAATGGGCTGCTCTGCCCATCACCCTCTTCTGATCCACCTGCCATCCCTTCCGTCTCGCGGCACGGCCAACAATCATCCAGACTCAAATCAGACGTCGTTTCGTCGCCCGCCGTCGGGCCACTGAGTGCCGCGTCCCTCAAGCGCAGCCGCCCCCTCGGCGCCGGTGTTGGTGGCCCACGTCGAGGCTCGGCACATTCGGCTCTCTCGACAGGGCCATCATCTCCCTTACTCCCCATGGCCCGCTCGCCGCATCCCTGCTTCTCGTCTCCTCAGGCCTTTCCGCTTCGAGCACGCCGTCGATGCCACCACCTGTGCCATGTGGCATGCCCAAGTCGACCATGGCTCTTGATGCGACCACGAGCACCACCCAGCCGGAAGCCATCTCCGCCAGTTAGAAGCACTGCTGTCGAGAGTCGCAGCAGAGTCGTCCCTCGTAGCGCGCCTCAGGCGCTCTGTCAGTACTCGTCGTCCCCGCATCTCCATCGCCACATGCAAAGAGCCGGCCTAGTCTCGCCCTCGACGACCGCTCCAGGGTTGTGCAACGTTGTTTGCCCTCCTGGGCTGCACAACTAACGTCTGTATCCGCGCACGTTTATTCCCTTGACTAATTCCGCCACCCCATCATGCCGCGTGGACCAGGCACACAGTGTTGTGTGGACCAACAGCCTGCTAATTCCACCCAGCCTCTTGTTGTTTCTGGAAAACCACGTCAAGAAGCCAAAAAAAAGGAAGAAAGATACGGCGCTGGTATAAACAGTTCATCCCATCCTCCCTCTCGGCCTGCGTACGTACAGTCTGCCGAGCTTGCACACGTACGGTATGCCGGCATCTTGCCTTGGCGACGCCCGCACTGCAGCCAGCTTGGGCCTCGAGCACTTGCTTTTTTGCCCAAAGGGCCCTCGACAGGCTCGCATGTTGGGTCGAGGGCACCGCGATCTGAACTAGAGCTGCGCCTTGCTTTTGCGCACTGTCTCGTCTTTGCTTATTCCGCCGTGCTACGCAGGCCATCGTCAGCCCTCACCTGGCCCTTGCGCCCATCGCCGCCCTGCACGCAGATATACATAATCTCGCTGCTACCGAGTACTTCGTATAACGCCGTGTTGTGCCCCCTCGTCATTAACGTGTGTGTTGGGACATCAGTGCGACAGTCTCTGATTGTCCTTGCCACTGTCTTGCTTTGGAGCGGCCTGGGCGAGCCTCAATTTGCGACAGAGCCCCAGCCAGACTGTCTTGTCTGCTTGTCTGTCTCTGACTCGACTCCTGTTTAATTCCCCGTTCCTGCTCGCCCTTTCTCCCCGCCGTCACCGCCCATTTTGGCCGATTGATCGATAATAACTCAAAACGTCGGTCCCAACGCGAACTCGGCTGCCTGGGCTGATTCCCAGGCCTGGTCCGCTCTCCGATGTGCCCGTCGAGTACGGAACAAGAAGCGTCTAGCCAATCCTCCGTTTCCCTCGCTCCAGTCGACTCCATCGCCTTCCCCACACCTCAACCCTTGCTCAGGCCGGCAAACCGCCTCTCCCGATCGCTGCGCCCAACCAGCACTACGCCGTCGCCCAGAAGCAGGCGCTCCGTCTCCAGTATGAAGAGCCTCATGCCCCTCGCCCTCTCACCCTCGTGCTCCAGCCTGTGGAGTGCCTCGTCCGCCGAGGAGCCCGTCGGGGAGCGCGTCGACGACTACTTTCCCGAGTTGCTGGCCCGCGATCTCGAGCTCTCGGCCCGTGTCTTTGCCTCCAAGCGCATGACGGCAGGCACTCCCATCTCCACCCTGTCCTCCGAGGACCGTGAACGACACAGGTCCTGCAGGATGGTACCCTCGTTGCCCTACCTCGCCGCCTCCGCCCGCGTGCAGTCCCTGGGCCCCATTGAGGAGAGAACCTCGAGGGTCTCGTTCCTCAACCCACAGGGACTCTCGCGCCTCGATGACAATGCGTCCGACCTAGATTCGAGGTCGACCGCTCAGGCCTCGGACTACACCGGGCCCCCGTCGATTCGGCCCCGGGAATCCGTCATGACCATGGCTACCTCGCTGGCATCGACAAACTGGAAGACGTCGCTCAAGAGCCCCCCGCCGTCGGATGGGCTGCTTGAGAGCAGCTGGATCGACGGGGATTCGGATGGCGAGGACCAGGACGATGACCTGAATCACGGCAACATGGACCCCATGGCCCCGCGGCCACCCACCCCGCCTGAATCGGACCGCGCCTCGGGCGTGCCCGCCGTCAAGATTGACGTGCGAGGCCACTGGGGGTACAACGAAACCCCCTTACACCGCAAGTCGCACTCGGTCAGCGGCGGCTCCCCCGTGGCGGCTCGAAGGAAACTGTCGGGGGGCTCGTTGGACGTACCGCTGAGACCGGCCTCGACCGCCGGAGTCCGAGGACTTGAAGGCCGTGAACCCCGGGAGTCCAGCCAGGCGCCAAACCCCGTGATCGCACGCAAGCTTTTCCCTTCCAGCGAGGAAGAAGTTCGCTCGCATCGCCCCAGGAGGAGTACCGGCGTTTCGCAAAGGACCCGGAAAAAAGCCCTCCACATCAACCTCGTTGCCGAGCCATCACCCGTCAGCGACGAATTTCCCGACCGTCAAGACGATATCACGCCGCCTCCTGCCCTGCAGGCATACCCGCCCCCGAACAGCAACATGGACCCTCAATCGCATCTCCCCCGGCCGGCTCTCCGGAACGTGCAGTCGTGGCTCAACGGCAGTCTACAGCCCTACCCCCGCTCACTCCAGAGTGAGGACCTGACAAAGGTGGTGCCGCTGCCGCCGGACGCAATGGAGACGCTGCGCGTGTCGATTGCGTGCTTCCCGGAAACCATGCTTCTCTCTTCGAGCCTGACCATCGAGACGATTCGGACTTACTCGAGAAAGGTGCGGCAGCCGAGCATCGAGCTCCTCAGGAACCTGCCGGTCCGAAGCCCCTCGCCAGAAAGCCCTACTCAGCCTGGCCGGAAGTCGCTGTGGCGCAAAGTCGTGCCCTACCGGAAGGGATGCGACGCGCCGGAGCCCAAGCAGCGATACCAGCACTCGGGAGCCAACAGCGTCGACTCGACCACCTCTTGCTCCGTCTCTCCGCCCAAGCCGTGGGAGCCGCTCAAGCACGTCTTTGGCTGCTGCTCCGACTATATCTGTGACGCGCTGTACGCACACATTCTGGCATACAACTACGTCTCCGCTTTGGTTGCCCGTAACCCGCAAGCCGCTGCCAAGGCTGGCCGAGGCTTCGCGAATGCGCCCCATGACTCTCAACAGGAGGACATTCCCAAAAAGGCGGCGTCGCTCCTCGGCCTGGCGGGTGCAGGCGGTGCGGCCGCGGCAGGCTTTAGTCGATTGACCAGGCGGCTTGCCACGCCTCTGGGCTCGTGGACCAAGGAAGAGATGATCACGAGCCAGCCCACGGCGGCTGCGAACCACGAGAACATGCAGCACGATCTGCTGCGATGCATCTCCCGGCTGGTGGCCACGGCCAAGCTCGTGGCCGAGGGCGGCGCGGGAGACGAGACGATGATCAACACAGACGTGGAAGACACGGACATATTTTTCGTCCGGAGCCTGTGCGAGATTGTGAGGATAGCTGAAGAAGCATCCTGAACAGGCGGCCCATTGCCTGTTGAGCAAGACTTATGATGCCCCGGGATGCGAAATTGGGAGAGCGACCAAAAGCGGACGACTTGAGATCATCATGAACGATTTTACCACATTTCCTTTGTCATTTGTCCCCCCCACCTTTGGTCATGAAGGAAGCCACTGGGATTGAGGTTTTGGTTTTGGAATACGGATGCGAAATACCCATATTGGCAAGGAGCACGGTCGGGTTGATGGATGGTGCGATGGCTGCTGTTTTAACTTGACGATGTGAATTGAAAAAACGGCGCGTTTTTCACATGCCTTGGTGTGCTTTGATGCTTGTGCAATGGCTGTGCCGATGACGATGGTCTCTCGAAACAGCCCCAAGATTGGATATGCGAAGTTGACTGAGTCAGCAGAGGTCCAGTCCTGCTTGCCTTTATGCAACGCCGCATAGGTGGTCTAATATGGCCCTGACATGTAACAGAACTCGCAATATAGGGACTACTTGGTCGTGTACCACCATCTGGGCGACGGCCTGTGACCCGAAGCACAAAACTGCGCCTCCTCAAGGCTGCCCAGCAGGGAACCCATTAACACGCCGGCCGTCTTGCCCACGCTGACCACGTGGTCCAGCTGCTCCAGGGCCCTTGCGAAAATCTTGTCGTACACCGGCCCCCCGGCCAGGCTGACCTCAAAGGCGGGCGCCAAGACGAAGAGCGTGTGCGGTGGGAGCAGAGACGAGGAAGTGAGGAGCGGGAGGGCCGCGTGGATTCTCGTAGTGGTGAGGACGAGCTTATGCCTTTGCACGCGGAGGAGCAGTAGGGATGAGCGCGCGAGGAGGGTTTCGAGGCAGGTGGCCAGGCCGTAGGCTGTGCCAAAGGACGTGTGGGTGGTGAAGACGGGGGTCTGGGCTTGGGCGCGGGACATGCCGGGGTAAGTTGTGGATTGCAGCGCCGAGGCGAGGAATAGTGGGAGCATGCAAGATCGGATGAGGAGGTTGATGAGTTTCCAGCTGGTTTGTAGGCACCAGTCAGGGCGTCCGGGGGCGATGTGGGCGATAGGTCGTGCATGAGCGGCTTCAAGTCGTCGTCATTGTCCTCGAGCCGCGGCTTGTCCTCGACGGTCAGGATGGCCAAATCGGACGCGTGGCTCGGCGGCAGGACGGCCAAGTAAGCAACGAGTATGAGGGTGGCGAGGTAGTAAACGTAACCAACTGCGTCGCGCAAGAGGAGACCCAACCGCACCGTCAGGACAAACGGCAAGACTGTGCAGACGACGCCGCCGAGGCCGGTCCCGATGCCCCACCCGGCCAAGCCGGCCCCGCTGCCGCCGCCGTAGCGACGCACGCGGCCGAGGAAAAAGACCGCGGCGGCGGCGGCAGAGCGAGGGTCGTCATGGCGACGCGGACGGGAGGCGGGAAGTTGGGGGGTTGTGGAGGCGGTGATGAAGGCTGTGAGGGCGAAGAGGGCTGCGAGGAAGCAGGGGATGGAGATGCTGCTACGGACGTGGCGTATGGGGGAGAGAGGCTGGGGTGGGAGGTGTAGAGCGAGGCTTGTGAGGTTTAGCTTGACGGCAAGGGCGGAGACGGAGTCGACGAGGAGCAGACGAAGCCTCGAGGCTTGAAGGATAAGAACCGAGAAGTGAAGCCGGCGGCAAGATGGTCGACTGAGGATCCCGTTACAGGCGCCGCCGGGGCGGGATGATGAAGAGTGGACTTGGCAGGGGTGGAAGAAATGTTGATATCTGAGGCATATACTTCGTGTATAAGTGAGTGGATGGATGAAAGAAGTGATGGACAGCTGCAAAATAGATAAAAATGCTGGATCGGCAGGTTCGGATGTAGTTGCACGCACGAGGGGAGCTCGAGGGCACCATAAGGGCGTTTATCAGTAGCCGCCGTGCGTGTCCCTTGTGTCCACTATCTACCTCTCCCAGGGACGCACGTAAACATATTTTCCCAGGCCATCGTACGGAGCAGGTGTGGAGGGACCCCCAAGCCCGTGATGAAGCCGACTGAGCAGGATGCCTCGTTGATAGTGGGTGGAGGCAAGGAGGCGTACATCGGCTGGGCGTTGTAATAACCGCGGCAGTGGGCATTGAGGTCCGTGAGATGCACGTGAGTCCCGGTAAGCATGAATAGAGTTGCGGCTCGTCGATGGAGACTGGCGTTTGTTGGCTGCGTCGTGGCGGGAGAGGACGGTGGCTGCTCCGTCCATCTGCGCTGTGCCATACTGCTCCGGCTCCGGTATAGCCCGGCGCGTAAAGCCCTCTGTTTCTTTCTGCTTATGTACCAAAGGAGGTATTGATTGCTGTAGATGGTCTGCCGTCCGGCCTCGTTGACATTCCAGGGGCTGTGCCGACGCAACATCTAGGATGACTGGTTAGATGCCAACCGCCCCCCCCCCCTTTCCACCTTCGGACCTTGTCAGATGGGCGGTCTCGGCAAGGACCAAAGAAGTGTCAAAATTCTGGGCAGGGGCGCCGAGGCTGGTTCCGACCGATGGTGCGGTAGTGTACCGGGTGTCTTATGCCTCAACTGCCGATGTCGTCAGCCAAGTAAGTCTAACAGATGCTTCCATGTTCCTGCTGTATCGAAAGCACACTCGCCTCTCACCAAGTTCTGATAGCTGTTCATAGCAGGGGACGTGTTTCCCGCTCGGACTTTTCATTTTCTTCTCATAGCTCCGTTTCGTCGACTCCTTTTCTCCCTACCTGCATACACAACGACGCCCCCTTCTGTTAGTACTCCGTAGTTGCCGCCGGGAACAGCGCGTCGTCTCCGGCGATGCCCAAACCTCCGTGCTCCGTGTTAGCGACGACGTTGCCGTCCTGGACGGGTCAACAAAAGAGCTTGCGAAAGATGGCCCCTGATGGTTCCGTTTGCCCCTTGTTGCTCCAGCACCCCATCCCTCTTCGCAGAACGGGACTAAGCTCGGCACGGATCGCATTTCTTTTTTGGCTGTGCTTGAACCCCGATGTATATCCCCAGAGCTCTAGTATATACTGTCCGTCCTTTACTTTCTTTCCTTCTCTCGCCTCTGCTCTTGTTCTGGTTCATTCCTCCCACCCGTTTTGTTGAAGTCTGGCCGTTTCCAGTTACCGACTCTCGCGTCGCTTGCAGCCTTGGCCAGATGGAATGATACGATTGGCCAGCCTCGGGGCCCCTCGAGTCTTCTTCAGTCGCCTCGCCTACTCCCCTTACGGCGAGTATCGCGCCCTCCCCTAGTTAGAGACGCCCCGGGCCGTCGTCGGCCAGGTCACCGCGCCGCGACGGCTACTCAGCCCCTCCGTCAGGAATGGATCCCTCTTGTCGCCGGCTTCATGCTGACGAGCGTCGCTCTTTTCTGCCAGGTTTGCCGGCGTCTCTTTCCGCGCATGCTTTGCGTAACCCCCCTGGTTGGAGCTCGGCTTTCTGACTCCGTGTCTTCTTCTCTGTAGTACACGCTCCTCGCAGATGTAGCGGGCGTAGACGGGCCGGATCTCTTGCCGGGTCAAGTCGTCACCGGAGCGCAGCTCGCGAGCTTCAACGACGCGCACCGGTACCGGAATGACTCCGGGGGCCACTGTCGGCTGCGCATCTTCATGCCGGCCGACTCGCCACACATCAACCTTTGCAAGACCATCATGTCGGCCGTCGCGCAGGGATACCCGCCGCCGACCCTGCTCAACCGGGAGGGCAAGTACAACCGTCCAGAGTGGCACTTGGCCGGCAGCCACACTGTCAAGCTCGAGAGCCTCCTGGCCGTCATCGAGCATCTCCTGCAGCAAACGGGCGACGACGGCGCCAACGAGTATAACCTGGCCATGCGCCTCGACGCCTATGATATCTGGTTCCAGCTGCCGCCGTCGGTTCTCATCGAGCGCCACCACCGGCTCAATCGCGAGGCCGACGAGAGTGTTCGCAAGCAGTGGCAGGCTGCCCAGGGCTTCGCGACCGGCTTCCCCGTCACGTCGCCGCGGGAGTCCATTGTCGTCACAAGTGTCAAGGACTGCCACCCGAACCGCGACTTGGGCTCCGACCCGCACTACGCGCATTGGCCACGCCCCTCATGCCGCCCGACTTATACGGCGCAGGCACCGACAAGATTCTGCCCTGGCCCTCGGACCCAGCTGGTGTTCTGTGCGCCCCAGGACGGCCACGACTCGAAGAGTAGGCGGGTCCAGGCATTTGAGTCGTCGTCGGCTGACGGCTCGTTTGTTCCCATTGATTGGGACGGCGTGAGTCAAAAAGGCTCGAAGCCGTGGCACGAGGAGCTGTTTGGCGACGGCAAGGGCCATTGGAGCTGTGATGTTTGCTTGTCTTTCTCTTGAAAAGGAAAATACCTGTATTTTCCCGCTCCCTTGCTTGGGCAATCTGCGGCTCTTTTCAAGCATGCCTTGATGGGAGGCGGGCGGCGCTGTCTTGGGTCGGCGTTGGCTGGTGGCATGCATACAAGGCGGCTGCACATAGACAAACGATGATGATGAAGGTTCTAAGAGGAGAACACGATGCTACCATGTCTGTGATGGCATGGACTGTGGAGACCCGTCGCCGGTAGGAGCGAGGAATCTCTGTTCGGAAAGATGTCCGGTCCGTGGATGGTGCAGGGGATGAGTCACGAGCACCGATGCTCTCATCGCCTCGGCTGACCGCCCTTCTGGCCACGGCTTTCAATCGCACAGGTAGCCAGACCAGCGCCTCAAGCACGCGACGAGCAGCCGCAGCCATGGGCACGCCGCAAGACCACCTCCCGGCCGCCCTGTCCGACGACCAGATCCAGGCCCTCATGACGAGCCTCGCCCTGCCGCGCCCGACGTCCATCGAGCCGCTGCAAGTCGCGGCCGCCTTCCACTCCATCTACCTGGTGCACTTTACCGGCTCGTGCGCGGCGGCTCTGCGTCCGGCGCAGACGCGTAACCCCGATGGTTCCGTGACGCTGGTACTGCGTGTCGCCGGCAGCCATCTGCCGCGCACCAAGACGATCAACGAGGTGGCCGTGATGCGCTGGGTCGGCGAGCACACGAGCATCCCCGTGCCGGCCATGGTGCGCTTCGATGCCTCCGAGGACAATCCCGTCGGCCACGAGTTTACGCTGCTGGAGTGCGCGCCAGGGCGGAGCGTCGATGCCCTCTATCCCGGCATGAGCGACGAGGCCAAGGAGGCGCTGGTTGAGCGGTTGACGGATGTGCTGGTCGAGCTCAACGGCCACGAGTGGAGCCACGTCGGCGGCCTGCGCCTCACCCATGACGGTGCCGTGGTCCCGGGCCCGGTCCTCGAGGATACCTTCTGGATGACGCCTGACATTGCCGAGCACTGGGGGAGTGGCGAGACGGTCGCGACGCTCAACCCGACGGGGCCGTATGATTCCCACGCGGCCCTCGTGGCCGCCTACCTCGGCTGTTTTGCCCGCGCCATCGACGCCCACGTCTCACTCGCCTGGTTGCGCGAGACGAGCCCCCGCTTGCGCGCGCTGGCGGACCATGTCCTCCTCCCACAGGAGACCCCGTTATCCTCGGCCCTGGCCTCGACCCGCCTCATCCTTGCCCACAAGGACCTGCACCTGGCCAACGTCATGGCCACGCCCGACGGTCGCCGGCTGACGGCCGTTCTGGACTGGGAGTTTGCCGGCGTGGTCCCTGCGCCGCGCTGGGACCCCGTCCGCGCCTTTCTCTGGGACGGACGGAGCAGCGGCGGAGGCGGCGAGGAGAAGGAGAGGATGAGGCGGCTGTTTGAGCGGGCGCTGGAACGGAGGGGGGTTCGGCCGTGGTGGCTGGGTCGCGAGGATGAAGACGCGGCCCAGAGGGTCGCTGAGCATGTCTGGACTGTCGTGGGGCATGCTAGGGCGTTGGTCGAAGTTTGTCCTAGGGGCCAGAGGAGCGACAAGGTCGACGGTTGGCGGAGGACGCTGGAGGAGGCGTTGACGAGGCTGGGGGTTTGAGGCGCCACATTTGAGGTCGCCGTGCTCTTGAGAGCAAAATCCGGACTCTCCCTCTCTCTTTCTGTGTCCGACCTGGATCCTCAGCCTCAGTCTCGAACTTGCAGGGGAGGAGATACGTCGGCAACTCGGCGTACCCGTCCGGGCGGCAAAGGAATGCGCCCACTTCGACACCGACCAAAGGCACCGCATAGGCGGATGTCCGGATAGCAAGAGCCGCTCCGGAACCCAGACCGCTCCTCGCTCGGCCATCCCACCACCGAGCCCGTCGCATTAGCCCGGCGCTCCGGCGGCGGGGCGTGGATCCTCGGGACCGAGTCTGCGCGGCGCAATGTCTCGGAACTAACCCGTAACGGGCATCGCTGCCGGTGCTTTCCGACGACACGTCTGCTTCCTTCAACGGTTCCTGTTGGTGCAATGACATTGCATTTGCACGGCTGCGAAAAATATAGTGATGTTTAGCCTACGCTGATCACGCGGCTGGCAGGGTCCGGGGCGGGCAACCGTGGTTGGGGTGAAGAAACTGCACTGCTCAGGCTCGCCCCCATGACACCAGAAGGACGTGTGCAAGTGAAGCTCGGTGACACGGGTGTGGTAAACCTTGTCGGGCTCTTGGCCCGTATTGCACAGCAGAAGTCGGCTACGCCATGACATATATCATAGTCTTGAGGTACGCTTCCATCAGTGTGACGCTTGCCCTCGGCCGGCGCAGACACATCCAGAGGGACCGTGTCCTTTCAATCTCGGCCTGCCCTCCCGCTGAAATCCCTTCCCTCTTACTTTATGGGTTTATCAGTAGTCGTCGTCATCGCCGCTTCCGTATGCCTCCTCGTACTCTTCCTCGTAGTGCTCTCGAGCCTCGCGTAGATCCTCGTCGTCGCTGCTGCTGCTGCTGCTGCTGCTGCTGCTGCTGGAACTCGAGTCAGCCGCCTTGGCAGCGGCCTCCTCGTACTTCCGGCGTGCCTCCCCCACGTCGTCGCGGTCGCTCGAAGAGACGGAGCTGCCGTCCTCGTCTGTGGGCGGTAGGACCGGGGGCGGGGCACCGTAGAAGCCGGGCTGCTGCTGTTCGTAGGGCATTGGGGGCTGGGCAGGGGGCGCGTATCGGTGTTCGCCTTCGTCGTCGCTGTTGCTGTGGCCGCTCGTGGCGTGGTGGAGGAGCGCGCCGCCCGCAGCTCCGGCGGCGAGACCGCCCGCGGCCCCGAGAAGCATGCCGCCCTTGCCGCCGCCCTTGGTCTCCTCGCTGTGAGCCTGGTAGGACTGCCCGCCGTAGCCGGGGGGCGGCCCGCCCGGTGTCGCGTAGTCACCGTGTCCTCCACCGGGTGGAGGGTAGCCGCCGTGTCCGCCTTGATCGTAGCCCTGCGAGCTGTCGACGGGGCGGCTGTCTACGGGAGGCGGCGGAGAGCTATATCCGGGAGCCTCCCACTGGGTCTGGCCGGTGGCCTCTTCGACGTAGTACCAGCGCTGGTGCTGCTGGTCGAACTGGGGCGTCCAGCCGCCGGGCAAAGGAGGCTTGTCGGATGGCGGCTGGTAGGCGGGCTGCGGGGGCGCGGCGTAGTACTGGGCGGGAGGAGGGCCGCCGCCCTGCTGCTCGGGGGCGCCATGGTAGCCGTAGTCTCGCTGGCCTGGCGACGAGGGGTGCTGTGTGAGTCAAGCAAAGGAAAGAAGTGGTGTGGGAGGGCGAGTACCTTGCTGCGGCTCGTCGCGCTTCTTGTCGCCGATGCCAAACTCCTTTGAGATGTTTTTGAAAAAGGACATGGTGGGCGAGATGTTTGCGGGGTGAGGCGATGGCGATGGCGTATGGCGAGGGGAAGAGGAGGAGAGGTTGGAGGAGATGTTGGAGGAGAGGAGACGTGTTATCGGAGGCTATCAGGAACTTGATTAACCCCCCCGTGCGAGGCAAAGCACAACATGAGGACGCACTCGGCACTGACGGACGGAGAGGCATTTTCAGCGCCTAGCAGTGGGGCCGGGGGGGCAGCATCCACTGAACAAGCACCCCCCACAGCGGACTTGATGGCCGACTAGTTGAGCGCGGGCCGCCCCGACACGAGCGCCCTGTCCCAGGCGATGACGTAAGCCGCATCGACTTGACCCTGTTGGCGGCTTCGAGGATTGGATTGGGCAACAGGTTGGCATAATGTCTGGAGCTCGTTCCGTCATGGTGATGTCATTTCTCTTGCTTATCGTGAGAAGGGTGGCGCAGGTTGTGTCTGGTGTCTGACTGCGGAACCACAGTAATTACCACTCAACATAGCGGCTTGGCGATGCCTTCATTTCGCCCCAGCCAAGGCCACGTCTCAGTGCGCACCTAATAAACATCAACGCATATCCACCTCGAGACGTACGTGAAAAGATTTTGATAGTTAGCAATTAGCCGAGCATATTGAGAATGCCATTTTCGCCATCCATACGCTCCAACATGTCCCGAGCACTCCTATGTGTATTCGTAGTTCTTCCCCTTTCCTTCGGCAACGCAACCATCGCACCACGCAGGCCTCATCTCGAGGCACTTGTCGAGGCTGAACTGCGGGTCCTTACATCCTATTCCGTCGGGTTTCCGCGCGCAGTCGTAGACCATTGGCTTGTCGACGTGGACCTTTCGGCGTCCGCATTTCAGATGGAGAGTTCTGGGCACGACTAAGCAGCACATGACCTTGGGTCGCGGAGAGTAATCGTGATGGCGTATCAAGCTTGGAATCTGGTGCTGTTATCTGCTGCTGCTAGCTCAAGGGAGGTCTGGTGACTTATTGAGAGACCTTGGGACTCATTCAAGTTGCCGATTCAGACATGGTTGGGCTCAGATACCTCATCCCGTGCTTGAGAAAAATCCTTGTTATTTATGCTCTTCTCCGTACTCCTCACGTTCACGACAACTGCAGACAAGGTCGGCGGCCAAGAACCCGAAGCAAGTCTTCAACCACATGACCGCTGCTGCTTGCGGAGGCTCTTGTACCAAGCTCAGCAAGCACTCTGTGTCACACAGGGCCACAAGAGGTGTCGGCTGATGCTCCTACCCGTGCACTATCGAGCCCAAGTATTCGCGACTAAGCCAAGGACGCGGAGTTGTAGGCTTTCTCGGATGATGTGGCTCGGCTACATCAACTGATGCCCGCTCTGGTAACATTGGCGACGATAGTGCAGCAGTCAAGACCCGATGCACCGGTTGCTGCTCAGTTTTTTTCTGCCGGTAGCCTTCAATGCGGTCAGACGTTGGCCTAGCTCTGATCAGTTGTCAGGAACCCAACCTTTCGTCTCCGCCTGTAAGTGACAATATGACCATTCCTAATCATCCGTTCGACTTTTTGATAAACACAGTCCGTTCCTCAAAGAAGCCCACAAAATCCGAGAGTGTGAGGCTTGCAGAGCCAAAGCAATGCGCCGGAAACAGTTCAAAGTCGAACTTTGACCACAAAGCCGTGTTAGACGGAAACCGGTCTCGATTGATACGTGTTCCGGCTGACTGACAGCTAGCAAACCTCGACAGCAAACACATTTTGTGCCAGCCGCCTCGCAAGTGTACCAAGGGATGGTCCCGTGTCCGGTATTGGCGAGCACTCTGGGATGGAAGCAGTCCGTTAGTTCAGCGAGTGGACATCTTGATTCTTATGCCCCGCTGATCTATCTTCCCTCGTACAACCAGGCCAGGCCTCAATCCGCAGCATAAACTGTTCAGACTTGGACGACTCTGGCGACCGAATTGGACTGATGGTATATGCGAGCCGCCGAAGGGCGCTTTGAGTCATGTGCAGCGACTTGCTCGAACTCCGTCCCAGAGTGGCCTGCAGCACAGCCATCGCTTGGCAATGATTCATCTTTTTCTCTTTGCGTACTGTTCGTCACGTAGGAGCGCACGAGCGAGAAAACGCGGGTGGGACAGGTTCGGCAAGGCAAAACTGAGCTGCAAATAGCGGCGGCCAGGAGCTCAATCAGAGTCCATACTATGATGTCGACCATGTCCCCTGAATACGTGCCTCGGTTAGCATAAGCTCGCGGCAAGTAACCCGAGGGATGGCAGCCTCGCGTTGTAAGATCCAGAAGAACTCACATGTGGTATCCAATGTTTCTGCCAGTATGATTATGTACTTTGCGCGAACGATGCTGGCGACAAAGGTGCTATAGCACTTGGTCAGCTGTCGCCGTGGCCTGATCGGTCAATGCCTTACAGTGAGCCAATGCTAAGCAATCCCGTAACGCAAATACATCTGCTTCTGCTCATCTGCAAGTTCCACAGCGTCGGGATGGGAAGAGCTATAAGCAACAGATCCTCAACAATGCTCATCCCTGACCAAGCATATCCGAAAGCGGCCGCGTTGATGCACGTTGCATGGGGATCGTGGCTCCATGCCGCAGAAGGCGGTATGCACTGGAAGGCGGCAGGAAAGGTAAAGGCGATGGTTTTGGCGACTAGAAAGATCGTCCCATATCGTACCATCTTCAGAAACTTTTCCGTTTGGAATATTCGGCCGTATAGTAGAAGGATCGACACTTTGAGTAAGCTGAGACCTGGGAGGTAGCCTATCTCGCCAATCCAAAACAGCTGCGGCGTGTTGAGCGTGACGTTTTGAAAAAAGAACCAAGGGAATGGGCGCGTACCTGCCTCAACACAAGAACGAAACGAGGATTCAGATCCCAAATGTGCATCCCGAAGCCCAGCTTGGCGCCTTCGCAGGCCGTGTCAGCATCCGACGACGGCGTCTTTGGGTCCAACTCACTTGTCAACGCAATCGTGTTTGTCACGACCATGAAAACCTTTGGATCGTCTGTTCAGTCAGTCCTTCATGTCCCAACTTTGGTGGAATGACGTACACCCGACAGGACTGCAGTCCAATCGTCCCACCAAAGAGACCCTACCGAGGCCAGCCTCCAAACGATTCTGAGCGCTACGACTGGAACTGTGATAGCAATCGAGACCCCAGCCGCCATGACAATGGAAGTACTGCGAGATGGCAATGAATAGTCGGCGCAGAGGTCGGCCTTGATTCGAATGAGGTCTTTTTACGTCTGTTACTGAGACGAAGCAGCGTTGCTCTGTCGCTGGTCAACTTACCAAGCAGGTCCGAGAAGGTGCACGACTTCTGGACGCATATCGATATATCGTTCAGTAAACTTGTGTTTTCGCACAAGCAAGCACTCAATCTAGCGCCGTCGCCAACATCGCACTTTGCGCCGAGGACCACGTCTAGAAAGCAAGAGCTCTATGGTATTCGAACACGTCAGCCAACCTCGAAGGGCCAACAACTCCCAGGGCGCGACTGACAGTGCATTGAGAGGCTCTGGCGAACAAGCCACTCGAAGAGTTCATTGTTGAAATATTTCTTGACGATCTGCCAAGGTGGATAGACACCACAAGAAACTGTGCGGTGCTCCAGTCATTGCAGCCCAGAATTCTAGCCGGCAGCTCTACTCTTTATCCGAAAACCCTCTATGCCTGCAACCTGGCTCTGCGAAGAATAAGGGGCACGGCACCTGGCCAGCCCGCCCCGCTTAGACTTTGGACGACGAGTCAGTCAACTTGGTGGTGATGCTATCGAGCTTCAGCAAGGTTGGGCGAACCGAATACGGCATAACTGCAACAATATCAACGTTTCCATGAAAATCTCGACACTCTTTCCTGATTCTCGCTTAGTTTCGGTTGGCAGACGAGCAAGAGGCTTAGATACTCGATTTACGTTGTATTTAACCGGTCTAATTATCCGGACTACTAATATAGGGGCACATAGTACCGTCGGGTATAAGAAAAAGATGCTAGGCCGATATGAAGTACCTTTATGGGGACGAGGCCACACACCTAGCGCAAGCAGAGACGGCCGGGTTGCACTACCCATGCCTCCCAAATCCCTAAAAGGATGTCAAACCACCTCATCACGAAGAACGCAAGAGGTCTGCACGCTCACTTCCCTCTTCTCGTGCCATTGGGTTAGTCGGTTTTATCAAGCCACTTAGGTCTTGATCCGGGAGGCCCCAAGTAGCCAGACGGCGCTAAAGGGGACCAAAGGAAGTGTTATTCAAGTTCTTTGAAGAAATCCGCTCGTCCTGGCTCAACGGTCCGACAGGGATCCTCGAATATATTCTCTTCGAGTCTTCGAGGTCTTTGTAGGCGATATAGTAGCCCTCTCTTCGTGCAATCTGCGGTGGCAGACAGTATCAGCTACTGATTATGTCCCCTCGAGTCCGGTAGGATAGTATTTATGCTACCGGATTAGTGATTAATCCTCAAACTCCGTGGGCCAAAGCAGAGAGTAGTTAGCTATTTTATCCTATGGTGCTCTCTACCCAGGTACCCTGTCGTCCTTCCCTATGGCCCGCCCCTCTCTATTAGGCCGGTTAAACAAAACGTCAAATTGCATTCTATATGGAGTGATATAAAACGCATGTTCATTCCACAAAGATCCGCAAAACAATGGACTGGTGTAGCCGAGCCTGACTCGGTCATGGCCGGCGCGCCCCTACAGCTCCCATGAGACTGGCCCAGCCTGGGTTTCTATCCCTTTGACTGCGGCAAGGGGGCAAGCAGCAAGGGTCTGAACCAATTAAACCTCGTCTATGCAAATCCAAGCAGAGCATCCTCTACCCCGCCCTACCCAGTCTTTGATAAAGCTTGTAGGCGAAGAAAGGAACGACATCTTACATTCTCTCTCCTCTTGTCGCGCGGCTGCGCTGTTTGTTATGGGAAGCTTCCACTAGATGCGCCTGTTTCGAGCTCTTCCCCGTCAATGAGGAGCCGTCCCGACCCATGTGGGCATCGTTGTTATGTATATAGCTGGGACCTTTGTCCTCATGGCTTGGGCAGTGGTCAAGGCCTATTGATTCTTTATCACCCTCGCATTAATGGCCTTTTCCCATTTACACCTGACATTTCCATGATACGCAAGTCCCACTTCTGCTTCATTACCCCGACAGTCACTGAAAGAAACCGACCCGAGACAGCCGAGGCCGAGAACAAGTACGGGGACATCTAAATCCGGCCAGCTCCATCGACGCAGCGAGCCGACAGACTTTGGCTGCCGGTTGTCTCCCCAAGCTCCCACCGCCCCTCCCTACCACGTGGAAGCGGATGCTCCATCCTATCAGCAACCCCAAAGTCAGCCAGCATGTGCTTTCGCAACCGTGAAGAAAAGGAGAGGGGCGCTGCTCGCTCACGTAGCATCGACTTGGTCATCCGGAAGGACGAGAAGCGTATAAGAAAGGAGGTCAAGCTGTTGCTGCTGGGTGGGTTCTCCCCCCTTTTCTTTCGCGCGCTCTCGCGGCGCTGCATGGGTAACGCTCGTCATACCAACGACCCATTTGCTGATGCTTCGTGGTTTCAATAGGAGCTGGAGAGTCCGGCAAGACAACAGTGCTTAGGCAGATGAGACTGATCTACGCGCAAGGTTTCGACAAGCACGAGCGACTCGAATGGAAACCCGTAATTTTCGACAATATTATCCAATCCTTTTGGACCATATCCAAAGCCATGGCCGAGCTGAATTATGAGTTCGACGGCCACGAGAACGAGGTAAGCTTTCTTCCCGTGTCTGTCACGCCATGCTCTCTCAGTCCTCCCAGGTGGCGTCAGAAGGTCGTGAGCTTATAGGGCATGTCAGACGTGTAAAGTCACTCAAGTCCTTACAGAACTTCATGACGCGTATACTCGAGAGGCACGATGTTCAACTCCAGCATGCTTTGCCACAGGGATATCTAAAGCCAATCAAGGCCTTGTGGCGTGACAGCGGAGTCAAAGCGGCCATCCGCAAAGGCAATGAATATGGCCTGGACGACAACTTGGCATAGTATAGCCTCTATGATTCAATCGCTCTGTGAGGTGCAAGGCAGCTGACGGCTGACGTCGGAATGTAGCTTCATTCGCAACATCGATCGCATATGGGCTCCTGGATATGTCCCAAATGACCAGGACCTCCTGCGCTCGCGATCAAGGACCGTGGGCATACACGAGAGTGAGTTTGAGCTGGGTCGATGGACGTACCGCATGGTCGACGTCGGTGGTCAGAGATCGGAGCGAAAAAAATGGATTCACTGTTTCGAAAACGTCCACTGCCTGCTGTTTCTCGTCGCCATCAGTGGCTACAACCAGTGCTTGCTGGAGGAGAGGGGCTGGGTGAGTAAAACGTGTGACAGGTAAACGAGTCGAGAGGATAACCTTTGTATTGCAGAACCAAATGAATGAGGCCTTGCTGCTGTGGGAGTCCATTGCCAACTCCTACTGGTTCACTGAATCGGCCATAATCCTCTTCCTCAACAAGATGGACTTATTTATAGACAAGCTGCCTGGCAGCCCTATCACCAAGCACGGCTTTCCTGACTACGACGGCCCCGAAAACGACTACAAAGCCGCCAGCAAGTTTATCCTCGACAGATTTCGGTCACTAAGCCACGACCCAGAGAAGCAGATTTACGGCCACTTCACCAACGCGACCGATACTAACTTGCTGAAAATCACCATGGCCTCCGTGCAGGAAACCATCATCCAGCGAAACCTTAACCAACTTGTCCTTACGTAGGAGTCGAGGAGGTTCAGAGGAGTTGTTGCACTTGAGAAGTACATGCACACGCCAGGCTTTACGAATAGCTTTCTATTAGGCTCTCTCGCAAGGCAGAAGAGTTCAAGGCCTCCCGCGCTATGTACGGACCATGTCATCCGCACACGTAAATACGCAAGAGCTCCGTAGATTCGTATTATGAACGAACTGCTTTGGAAAACACTAGTTGTAGTCTGTAGCTAGAGATTAGCCGTGGTTTGCTTCTCAGGTGGGCGAGTAGTAACCCCGAGAGTGCGATAACTGTAGGACTCCCCGCAGCACTGGAGAGGTTCCTTGCTACGAAGAGTCTGCCGGGTCCTTGCGGTAATGAAGTAGCAAATGGCCCAACAAATAATCCAGTGAGGCAGGTATATATTCAATATATATATTTAAGCTAATTAGAAGCTGACCTTAGAAAAGTCGGGCTAAGTAGGATCTGATAATATTCCGTTTCCTGGCCGGACTGCTTCTTTACCATTGAGCTTGAGGGAGCAAAATCTACAGTCGGTCTCAACAGCACGGCCACTTAGGCCATGGCAGCTGCTTTCACTGTGCGACAGGGATTTTAAGAGTTGTGTAGTTTCGGGTGTCCCCTTGCCTTTCCAGCTTGACGGTGAAATGCGGCAAACTCGTGATAGTAAGACTTGTACAAGCTCTCCGGCATGAGGACTCAAAGAAATGCAGTTTTCCCTGAGATTGGAAGAACTCGCCTCGAGAAGTAATGCAAGATATCTCGGCTAATACTTTGCAGCTGGTGGCGGATATTGATGTCTAAAGTACACCAGGGAGAGTGAAGACTGCTTCGAGTCGACAATAGGAGGCATTGATAGAATCCCAAAAAGTGTGTGCCGATGTCTCATGTTCGCGAAGAGATCTATGCTATATAGCCTTCATTTATTTTCCCACACTACTTGACGTTTCATGTTTTCAACGTCGACCTTCGAAGCACGATTGATCATGCCAGGGGCCAATAAACACTTAGATACAATGACTGAACTCGTTTTTGTCTTGTGGATAGGCCTGAAAGACAGCAGTTCACGCAAATTCCCGGGGCTAAATACACAGTCGCCCTCAGCCGACTCGGTCACCTATTCACCAGGCTTTCTAGCAAAACAAGGGCTGGTTGGAAGAATCGCTGCACCACGAGAAAGAGAGTCTAGAACTGTGACGACCTTGACAAGCGCTTGTACTGCACACTAGGTGGCGTGTGGAGAGCCTCCTACTTGGCCCTACGTACATGTAGACCGCTTACAAGAATCTTCCACCTACGAGACGAGACATTGTCTGAAGACCTTCCATTTCCTGATCCGCGGGAACCGCGGCGAAGAGAACGCACCTTGGGCCGAAGCGTCTATGATTGCGACGGAATGCTTTCGCACGACCGCTCGACCTGGATCAAATTGCAAAGTGCGGCTGGGCTGTAGCAGCAGCCGTGACGCTGACTGGCTCACAGCGCCCATGATATTGCTGCGTCAGCTGCAGGGCCCGTATTCGGCGATTTTTAAACGGCAAACTGGCCTCCTATTGCTCGAAATGAGAATCCTCGTAGCCAATAGGGCCACGGCATTGCAAGACAAGACCTGAAGGCACGGCAGGCACGGCACTGACGGCAAGTGTGGCAATAACAGTGTATGCGGCGCTGTGAACGGGGGAGCGACGGCAGCCCCGGCTTCCCGGATCGGACCGCAGGCCAGGGGCTGCTGTAGAGATGAAAAGCTCCGGATGAGATCGCGTTGCTTGAGTGTAACGGGGTTAAGGGGGCCAACGGTTTGTGAGTTCCCTGGCAGAAGGAAAGACTGCATGCAAGATGTAAGTCAGCCGTCGATGCATGGGTGAATCCCTGGACCAGCATCAGCCACGCGTTCGATCCGCTGTACGGTCTTATTTATGCCTGGCAGATAAATTGGCCGAGCCAAGTGGCGTCCAGGGATGGCGAGTCTACGATTAGGGGGTCGAGCCGCGGTGTTCCCTGGGGTGAGAAGAGACCACGCGGCTAGTAACAGGTAGCAGCTCAAAATAGGCAATGAACGCTGCCGGGACCGGTTCTCGGGGTCATTTAGGCCTCTGCCGGCCAGGCTGTAGCCAGGGTTCGCGGTCTCTGCCTAGCAGATGGGTTGCGCGTCGTAGTGCATGGAACGAGAAACCGTCTTGAAATCGAAAGACAACATAGCTGCCCAGCTTCTCAGGGCCGTATGGCATGAAAGTTTCACCCCATGCACGCATGGCTATGATTTTTATTCGTCCTTGCGGTAGATGACGAGGCCTCGTGTGACCAGCCCAGCCGCACCTGATGCCGGAGGGACGCGGCAACCACATCATGGACGAAGTAATTTTAATATAATTGCCCATGCTTCCTTGAAGCACGGGGCAAACGCCCATTCTAGCGGCCTTTTCACACCTAAGCGCCGAGACTAGGCAAATGCGCCCCTTTTCCCTGTGTGGCTCCATAACTTAGTGAGCGAAAAGTACGACGCATGCCTGCAGGTCGTGGACGCAGAGAGCAAACATGGAGCGGAAGCAACCGCTCGTACGGAGTACTCCTCGTCCAGGGGCCGGTGGTTCCTAGACACTCCCAATATCCCCTACATGCCGCATGCAGCCTGTAGGCTTTTTCACAACCACCTGATGATGATTTCATCATGCAAGCTCGGGCGTCCACGATGACTGATAGCTCTTGCGGATGACGGGCAGATATGACCACGGCATCTGCTCCCAGGGTCACACGAAAGCAACTGCAAGCTTGAGGGCCAATCGTAGGTGCCGGCCAGTAGCTACGAGGCAGAAACAGGAGAGCTGGACACAACTTCCCATGCAGGCTCCATCGACGTACATGGCCAACTCCGTGCCCCGTTTCCGTACGGCACCCGTACACTGGGATACACGTAATTCCTCCCGGCCCTCTTCCCTACCACGGAAGCACACCCACAGAGTCACGTCAGCTCTTCCGTCATGCATCGAGCCATTTATCTCATTCCTGGCTTTTGCCACGACAAGGCTTGGCAGCATACTCCAGCCGGCTGACGATGCCCAGAAATAATTCTCAACAGCACCCAAGACGGGCCGCTCCCATTTGTCTCTGGCCAACGTCAGCCCGACCCTAGCGCCGCCGTATACCCGCCGCAGTGAGCCTCTCTCTGTCTGGCTCCGAGGAAAAAAAGGAGGGAAAAGGAAAAAATTGGGGAAAAAAGAAACCCTTTTGGCAGAACAAACACCGCGGCACGCGCGGCTATGGCCATGACGTGCGAGGCGACCTGTTGGTTTTTCGCCAGCCCCCGCGGCGATGCCGATGCAAGAAAAAGCCTGGACAAAGTCTCGGACACTCGGTATTTAGTTCTTCACCCGGCATGTGACACAGATTCGAGCATCATTATTGCAAGCCATGCAGCCTCGATATGAGCTGCAGCCGGCTCGATAATATATGATGGGGCGACCTAAGAGACGTGGCAGTTTGGCGGCAGCACGGATATCAATCCCCAATGTCTAGCAGTCAAACGTGTATTCAATCCTATGCAATTTTCCCCAAGCTCTAAAATTCCATCTGCACAATCATCAATCCATTACGCGAAGTGCTTGCCTGTTTTTAGCCCTCCAGACGATCAAACCAGATGTACTCGTCCATCCGCTCCTCCAGGTGGATGCCAATCGCGACAGCCCGGTTGTTGTCGAGTCGGAACTCGACCTTGATGGGGATCTCGCTGTCTTCAAAAGCCTGGCTCACGTAGGCGATGTACTTGTTCTGGTTGCAGATGTGCTTCATGGTGAGAGTAAAACCGTAAGACCGGTCGGTTCCGTCGACAAACAGCGCGCCGTCCTTGTCCTCGACCTCGATGCCGTGATAGCCCGGGTGTTGGTATCGTCCCGTGTAAGCGCCGAGCGGCAGCTTCTGCGGCTCCGGCTCGCCCAGGCCGGGGGAGAGCTCCTGACGCAGCTCTTCCTCCATGTCGTCGTCGTGCTCTTCATCCTCGGAGCCGGATCCCGAGACGGATTCGGACTCGGAGTCGCTCTCGTCCTCGTACTGCACTTTGCCGTTGAGTCTGGCGTGGACAAGCTCGTCGATCAGCTTGTACATGAGCAGGCTCACAATGGTGTCTGCCTGGTCCGAGTTGCTGAAGATGACGCCTCCAAATTTGAGGTCTGGGATGAAGAAGTGGTTGCACTGGTAGCCGGGCTCGCCTCCGTCGTGGGACACGATTTTGTGGCCGCCGTACTCGTGGACCTGCCACCCGAGCGCGTAGAATGCACAAGACTCCTGCTCCCGGTTGTCGGCCGGGTCTTGCTGTATCCGCTTGGTGGTAAGCTCGTTGAAGATTTCGTCCGTGATTGGACCTTCACGATTAAGCATTGCCTTGACCCATTTGAGATAGTCGTCGACGGTCGCGTATATTTGCCCGGCGCCCTGGGACTCGGGGCCGTCGTTGCACTGGATCATCTTGTATTTCTGGCCAGGCCTGTCCCAGGAGTATCCGCTTGCAAGACGATGGCCGAGCCCTCTGGCCCAGACGCTGTCTTGGAGGAGGCAGGTCGAGTCCATTTTGAGCGGCGCGAAAATGTGCTTCTGCAAGAAGTCGCCAAAGGACATTCCGCTGACGTGCTCCACGAGATGGGTGGCGACAGTGTACATCATATTGCAGTAGACATGCTCGGCTCGGTTCTTGGTTACACATGTCAGGTTTCGCAGGTTCCTCGTGATGGATCGCGCATTGTCTGGCTGCTTTGCGCTAGGCCCCATGATGGAGTACTCGTGGCTGCAGAAAGGCGGTCAGTCAGGTCCGTTCGTGCCCAATGTCCCACGAGCACTGCTTGCAGAGGCAAACAAAAGCATACGAGGGCCCGACTTACGGCGCCATGCCCGTCCGGTGGCTGAGGACGTCCTCGACGGTAACGTCGGCATGGTCCTCTCCCGGCATGACAAAGTCGTCGGGCAGGAGACTGGCCATGGTGCTGGTGAACTGGACCTGGGGATAGTTTTCATTGTCGGCCACCAGCAGGGCAACAGCGGCCGCTGTGAGGGACTTGGCCGCGGAGCCAACGCAGAAGAGCGTCTCGGGAGTAAAGGCTTGCGACGTCTCTAGCGATGCCTTGCCAAAGGCGAAGGAGTCGACGTCCTGGCCCTGCACGACGGCAATGGCGATGCCCGGCACATGGTTGCGGTCGATGAGCTTCTTGACGTAGGCAGAGAAGTCTGGATTGCGGAAGAGATCCATGTTGACGGCAAGGTCGGATTGGGAAAGAGAAGAATGAGGCCTTGAGAGATCCATCGTTGGGTTCGGTGCTGGGCAGTCAACTTAAAAAGTTGTGAAGGTGACAAGTTGAAAACCCGTAGGGAGTAAGCTAAGCTTAGCAGCCGGATGGCCGGCATCCTCTGAGCAGGGATTACCAGTGTTACTCTGACAAAAATCATCTGCAGTAATATTATGTACACACATACAGGACTTATTGCCCAATGAGGCAGGTCCTGGAAGCCCAATGGTTTTCTCCCCCCCTATGAGACAAGTTTCTATTAATAGTGTTGACGAAGCTGGATGGAAATTGTTAGTGTTGCTATCATTTCATGTACAAGAATGCTTCTTGGTGTGATATACGCCACATATGTTGGATCCTCCGCGTGGCACCGTGGAGAGTAGATACAGCCCTGCGTCTACGTGGGATCTGGAAGACTGCAAACCGGCAGATGAGCAGCGTGTATCTTCCTTGAACAACCTACTACATATTTTTGTCTCCGCCTCTGTTCGTAGTTGGCAATCTCGACTGCCACCTCATGTACAAGCCCTCCTTCCCCCTTTACTTGCTTATTCGCACTTTCAGCTGAGCTTTGCACCTTTGGCGCACGGTTGCGTGGCCATCCCTCGGCTACAAGGCACAGGAAGCCCAATCGACGTGCCTGCAACGGCCCCGACCCGGATACTCGGAGCCCACGTGAAAAGGGGGGCCGCGAGTGAGACAACGCGGCCACGCGCCACCCCCCCGGGCACCGTCTTCCAACTACACCCGGATACGTCAGGTGCTACCAAGGAGCGTCGTCATGTCGATAACGAAGCCCTGATGCTTCCCTGTTCCGCGCCCGCGGACCCGAGTGATGAACCGCAGTACGCGCGGCCACCCGTCCCGGGGCTCTATGGTTCATTGGGTTCTCACTTCTCACATGCAGTCGGTCCCGCGGCATGAAGGTTCATTTTCGCCACTTCTCTTGCCGTTGAAGTGTACTGGAATCAGTAGCAGGTGATTACGTGTAGCCCAAAGCGAAGGTTTCTAGGCACACGACACAAGCACCAAGAGTGGTGCGAAGTAGGAAAAGGAATGGTCATTGTGGTGATATCCATGAGCTCAAGAGCATCGTGCTCTTCATCCATAATGACTCATCAACTGAAGCAGCCGTTCACTAATGAAACTAGTGGGCATCTGAACTAGCATATTCCCGGAGATGCTCCGATCGTACTTTCGTGTTATAGTTATGGTAGCTTCTTATATAGTTCTTACATCAAGCACGTTTAAATCGTAAAAGCCCAGCCTAACCGTATACGTATGCGCTTCGCGGGGGCGGCAAGGGCCGACGATTTTGCTGATGAACTTGAAAGGCCGTAGTTGTCACTTTGTCAACTACTGCCAGCCGAAAAGACTCCAACATGAGGCTTCCAGATGTTGTAATGCATACCGTCTGGGATATACCCAATTAGTACAAGCCGGGAAGAGATGTATAGCTCATTTTAGGGTCACTTAGGGCCACTTACAGCCTCCCATTCGTCAAAGGTCGCCTAGTCTCAGCTACTTTCAAGAGTTATGACGAAATTGAAGTTAGCTGCTACCGCAGTTACATGGGTTTTCTGGTTGCGTAGGCGGCGTGTGGCGGAGTTGGACAGTCCTACAATCTGTAGCCGTAATGGGTTGTTCTCAATGGTTAAAGGTTTAATGTCGTTCGGGCCGCCTCGACGAGCCTCCCCCCTCGTACTGAAGTCTTTCCCCAGAAGCTGAGCGGAGACTCGGCTCTAGACTCATACTCGACCATTCAGCGACTCTGCGACAGACCACTGTACCCACTCAACCGCCTTGTGGCTTGGGGCGTTCCTGAGTGTCGGCAGCTTATCCATCCTGCCCCCCCGGACTGACCAGCAACGTGTATAGTACGTGTGTGAGGCTTTTGAGCGTTGAATCATAGCATTTCCCCTGCGCTGAAAGGGTAATTTTCGATTCGTACTCAAAATTCTAGACATGTCTGTTGGGAAGCTATAACGAGATGTTCAAAAGGGGCCATCAGAGGCTAAGTTCAAGTTAGGATATTTGATTCTCTCATCTCATGCGACCCAAAAGGAGCTTCTGTCTTGTGTACTACGACTAGCTTGTTGCCTGCAACTGAGTCCTCACACGTAGCAAATTTCTCTCTGCACTCCACTCGCGCGTATCTGCCATGCCCCAGAAGACACGTCGGGCTACCCGCGCTTGCATCTATCATACGACGACAAACTCCTTGAGAATCCAGGAGTTCGCATGGTCATATCATGCATATGAGCCGCTGCTCACCGACACAAGCCCGAGCAAGATGTTGCGTACAGACGTAACGTGAAGCTTCGTCTGGAATTCGATTCCGGCATATGGCACAGAGTCTTACAGCTTGCAGTTGCTTTCTCAGGCAGTTATCGTGGAAAGAAGTGTTAACTGTAGTTGTCTTATTTATGTGACATCCCCGAGACTCAGTAGACTCCCCTGTAATATATATATCTTGAGGCTGCCCCCTGGAGCTGAGCCAGGGGCTTGGTCAATATGTCGGAATCGATGTCTCTTGTGCTCTCCTATATCGACACGGGGTCGCTTTCGACGTTGGCCGCGGACTTGATGTAGAGATTTGATGGCGATATGGCCCCGGAAATTGGTGTCATCTTAGGTGGTTTAATAGATAGGACCCCCTTTTAACTCATTATGAACGTGTCGACACGCTGTACATGTATGGAATGCATGCTGTGGTATTTGCTGCAGCGACGTTGATGAAGTCGCTGGCCGATCGACCGTGCTTCTTGAACTCAACGGGTCACAGACCTGTACTCCTGCGATTCCGGACGCCTCCATGACTTGTATCGACTGTAGGATCGTGGGTACACTGGCTTTCAAGAGCTAGAAGTGCACCGGACGATGTGCGACATCTATCCAGAAGTCAGTGTTGAATATTACGGCATGGCCGTCCCGCGTCACAGGCTCGGGATCAGAACTGCATGGTATGGACTCAGTGAGCAGTTTCATGGCTATTTGATGAGCCTGCCGAACCGGAATAAGTCGCTAAACCGAAATGGGGCCGAGACTAAGGTAGGGGGTCCGGTACGACTGGATTCCCACGACCTCCAGTTGTTCAGGGAAGAAGGTAAGCTTGGACTCGGCGATGCTTCCATCGGCCGTAGATACTCTGACGACTCTCAATGCAGAATTATGATATCTGGCACGCGAGCAAGCGAGTTCAAAAGGAGTGACTCGCTGTAGCACCCGTTTGCTGGCAATCGGCAAGACTCGATAGGTCGTGTCATAGAAGCTCGGTCGGATCTCTAGTTCGGCTTTCTGGTTGAAGTTAATGCCCTGTAACGTCATACCAAGATTCCTTCTTCAAGCCGTCTCACTACAAGAAGGCGTCGTTGAAATGGACAATACTTGTGTGCCGATACAATGGACAATACATGTGCCGAAACCACCCCTGCGGAGGGTCATTGAACGGAAGTGTCCTGACACAAAGTCAATCAGATAGATCCAATGAGCGGGTGAACAATTGAAACAAGAGACTTGCATAACTAGGAAAGATTGGATATGCTCATTATGTTTTCTTTGTGCTGTTCATTGACTTGGACGCTCCACTCATTGTCATGCCTGTTTGCAATCGACACTTGAAGTTGCAGATGCCGGCGAGGCACTGCTAGCAAACGCTGTGAATTGTCCGAGGGGGGACAATTCACTACTGAACATTGCAGGGGTTTACGTCTTGGGCAGGTGACCGATATTCACTGTCAACGACAGTTACCCGTCGTGCTACAGCCAATTTCATTTCACCACACCCCTTTCACCACTTTCATCGTCCTCAACCACATGACCAGATCAACTCGCCCAACTCGATCAAACTAGATTCGCCCTCATCCCAAGCTCACGACCAGACTGCTATCTCGACGGAAATGAGCCTCCCCTTGCCCACCGCAGAGCCCGAAGGCGTGGCGCCGCCGCTCGCCCCGAAGAGAGCAGGCTCGAACGGCCAGATCATCAGGGCCTATCTGATGGAGAATGTTGCAGAGTTTCGGGAGCTCTCTGATATCCGGAAAAAAGTTGGTTCCACACCTCGACACATGTCACATCGTGCCTCCATGCACAGACTGGATAATGACATTTGATATGATGCCTAGGGATGGAGCAACCCGCAGGGAGACAAGTATTTTGAGAGACAACGGCAGGCGGCCGACAAACCCAATGAGAAGACGTCCAAGTTCTTCCACACGTTGATGCTGAAGATTGGAAGAGAGTTTCACCGGTCAACCAAGGCCTTCACCGCGAGGAAGGGTCTGCCCGGCTCTGGGGAGCAGACCACGGTGCTCGACATGTGCATGGCCCCTGGGGGGTTCCTGGAGATGGCGCTGGATCGGAATCCCGGATCCCGAGCTGTCGCCTTTAGTCTTCCCGTCGACAATGGTGGACACGAGGTGCGCATGCGAAGCGAGCTGATGGACCGAGTGGAGGCCAAGTTCCTGGACATCACGATGCTCGCCGCGGACATGGGCGTTGATCAGATCCCGCAAGACCATCCTGAGGCCGGCGCCTTCTTGCCCCGACAGCTCGAGCCGGGCCAGATGTTTGACCTGATCTTCTGCGACGGACAAGTGCTCCGGACTCATGCCCGGGCACCCTATCGAGAGCCGCGCGAGGCCCGCAGACTGACGAGCACGCAGCTCGCCCTCGGGCTCGAGCACATGCGATTCGGCGGAACCATGATTGTGCTGCTGCACAGGGCCGAGGGGTGGAACACGGTGTGTCTCCTGCAGCGCTTCTGCCAGTTCTCGCGCGTGCGGCTCTTCAAGCCCTGGGCGGGCCACGCCAAGCGGTCGTCGTTTTACCTGGTGGCGACGGACGTGCGGAGCCGCAAGCCGGAGGCTCTCGAGGCTATTGCATGGTGGAAGAGGGTTTGGCGGGTGGCGACGTTTGGAAGCGACGACGAGTACGCCAACGTGCTGAATGGTGAAGATGTCAAGGCCGAGGAGCTGCTGGCCGAGTTTGGACCGGAGCTGGTGAGGATGGGGAGGCCCGTCTGGAGGATTCAGGCGCAGGCACTTGCCAAGGCGTCTTTTATAACGGAACAGGAATGATGGGCGATTCGGATGGCGCGTGAGTGTAGGGCTGAGATTAGGAAGCTGGCGCTGGAGAATGAATCTCTTTGTATCGATTATGGGAGAAGTGGCAAGCTGAATAGCTGTAGAGACGTCCAGCCGCATCCACAAATGGGGAAAATCTCGCCTCCGCCCTATGCCGTCTCTGATATATGCCTCTTGTCCGTGCTGCGGAGTATTCTATCCAGTGTCAATCCCAGCTCTAACGTAGCCCGTCTAAAAAAGAATATGTAGTAGGCGCCTTTGAGGTCGTATAGAGCATGGGAACCCCGTGCCCTCGGCAGCATCAAGGCGCATTCCCTGTAGACCCAGCTCTTGCCACACAAGAACTCCAGAATCCTTGAGCAAGGTTGGCCAAGACAAGGACTGGTTTGCCGGCGCACATTTCACGAAGACGACAAGGAGGAAGGGAAACGACCGCCGCCAAGGAATAGGTCCTGGCTCGTTCAGAAGGCGACATTTGCCAAGTCTGGGCGCGACTCTGGGACCGTCAAGACACGGCTCAATGATCTGCTAACTGGCTCCAAGACGAAGTCTGCCAACGGCGCCGATGACAAGCTTGACAATGTCGTGACGGGAGAGACGATTGACATGACACGAGTGATGGCTCGTTCAAGCCCAAGAAGTGAGTGCGGCGGCCGTAGATTCGGGTAGTGATGTGGAGAAAGCCGTTGTACCGTGCATCAATTCTACGTGATGTAGCTCAGCATAGTGAAGGCCAATGTGCTTGACGCAAGCAACTCGAGCGCCACCATGCTCGACCTCGAGCTCTTGGATCGATTGGTCATGGTCAGGGCTGGCGGTCGAGTATGGTGATCGGTATGCAGACGATTGCCGTGTAGGCCGTGGGAGTATTTCACCGTAGCGGGCAGCTGTCACTCATCGTTTGCCTTTCGAGTCTCCGTGCCGGTCTTTTTGAATGACGCGGCGGTCGTGGAGGACGTAGAGGTGGAAATTGAAGCCTTTGGAAATATGTTTCTGCTGACTAACAAGCTAGGTCCCTAGCTCTTCAGTGGACTACAGGCGGGGTATCCGCTAGCGCTCAGCTCTACAGGGGGTGCCCCGCCTGTAAACAGTGGCGGGGTTTGCAGCTACCCCCCTCTGTCGATCACATGATCTGCATTCATAAGATGGAGGCATTTGGACCGACTTTTGACTGCCTCGCTATGCGACTTGGCAAATCGATTTTCAAGGGGAAAATCTCTTGAAATAGAGGACATGGAACCAGTTGCGCATCAATGAGCAGAGTATTGAACTTGCTGGGGGCCTGACTCATCAAAACTCAAACCTCCCCCATCCGGGGACCAAGCGCGGCGGCGGAATCTCGGGACTCGGCGGCCCGCCTCTCTGGCTCCTTCCACCACCTCCCCTCTCGCCTAATCGATTTCTCGACCAACGCCGACTCCTCCATTCCGGCGACGACGACGACGACGACGACGACGAGACATCGCGCGCAACCACATTGTTACTCTCGCGCCTTTGACCTCCGCCACCGTTGACCCTCCGCATTCGGCCTTTGTTTCCGTCCTCGCGCCTGCGCCAACACAACGCTTGGCGCTGACGTCACGCCTCGCTCAGCCTCCTCCTCGTCGTCCTCCGCCTTGTCTCGACTGCCTCTCTCTTCCGCTTTCGACTCCTACAACAACTCGTCCCTCGATTTTCGCTCGATCCGCCTGCGATAGTCTGCGACCTTGACTCTCACCGTCTCTCCAGCTCCATCCGTCCTTGGACTTACCCCGCCCTCGGTTTCGTCTCGCTCTTCTCCCCCCGCCATGTCTGGATTCCCCGGTCAAGGCTATTACGGGGCCGCAAATCACCAAGGAGGCGGCGGCGGCTTTTCCAACGGCGGCCCCGGCCCCGGCTATGGATACGGCAACTACGGCCCCGGCCCTTCAGGCCCCCCCGGTCCGCCTCCTCCGGGCTACGGCGGCAACTACGGCCCACCCCCCCCTGGTTACGGCGGCAACCATGGCCCAGGCCCCGGCGGCTATGGCCCTCCTCCCCCCGGTCCGCGCCCCAACTGGACCCCCGGCGGCAACCCCGGCGGCAACGCGTACCAGCGCCCGCCTCCTCAGCGCCCGCCCCCGCCGGGGCTTGATGCCTACGGCTACCCAATGCAAGGCGGCGGCTACGCCTACCACGCCAGGTCCGGGCCTCCCCCGCCCACGGCACCACAGGCGTTCGGCCATGGCGCGCCTCAGGGCTATACCTTTCAGTACTCAAACTGCTCGGGCCGTCGCAAGGCCCTGCTCATCGGCATCAACTACTTTGGCCAGAAGGGAGAGCTGCGTGGCTGCATAAACGACGTCCACAACGTCTCAAACTTCTTATGCGAGCGCTACAACTACAAGCGCGAGGACATGGTCATCCTCACCGACGACCAGTCCAACCCCGTCATGCGCCCGACCAAGGACAACATGATTCGCGCCATGCAGTGGCTTGTCAAGGACGCCCAGCCCAACGACGCCCTCTTCCTTCACTATTCAGGTATGTTGTTTTAGCTGCTCATGTCACATGCTGTCATGATTATGTTTCTAGCCCCCCCATGCTCACACACTCGCAGGCCACGGCGGCCAAACCGAAGACTTGGACGGCGACGAAGACGACGGCTTCGACGAAGTCATATACCCTGTCGACCACCAGCAAAACGGCCACATTGTCGACGACGACATCCACGCTCTCGTCGTCAAGCCCCTCCGCCCGGGTGTCCGGCTAACGGCCATTTTCGACTCTTGCCACTCGGCCACGGCCATGGACCTGCCATACGTCTACTCCACAAAGGGCGTCCTCAAGGAGCCCAACCTGGCCAAGGAGGCCGGCCAGGGTCTGCTCAGCGCCCTGGGATCCTACGCCAGGGGCGACCTCGGTGGCGTCGCAAGCTCCATCTTCGGCTTCGCCAAGTCGGCCTACAAGGGCGACAGCGCCAACAAAAAGACAAAAGACACACGCACGTCGCCCGCCGACGTCATCATGTGGTCCGGGAGCAGAGACGATCAAACCTCGTAAGTATCCGCCCATCGCTCTCGCCCATGGTAACCGGTGTTGGGTTCTTGTGTTGACGTGCCATCTTTTTCTTCTTCCCTCCCCGTTGCAGCGCCGACGCGACCATCGAATCTCAGGCAACGGGCGCCATGTCCTGGGCCTTTATCACGGCCATCAAGCAAAATCCCAAGCAGAGTTATGTGGAGCTGCTCAACAGCATCCGCGACGTGCTTGCGACAAAGTATACGCAGAAGCCGCAGCTTTCATGCAGTCATCCGCTTGGTAAGTGCAGCATCGATGCTTTCGAGGTGGATGGGCACGCGCTGACATGAGTGCTCTGCAGACACGAATCTGCTGTTTGTCATGTGAAGGGTCAAGCTGGGTCAGTCGGGGGGGGAGTGCCGGAGGTTGCTTTGCCGCCGTGCCACGGGACCGGGCGGTTCCTGGGTATTCGCTGCTTTGATGGGTCTGTTTTTCTGCTTGGGTCTACCAAGTCGTACAGGTCGAATGCGTTGTTTTTTACGCTGGTTTTTGTGGAGATGACTTATCACTCCTTACGGGATTGGTCTCGGCGCCTGAACGTGGTATTGATTCTCGGCGTGTCTCGGCCAATAGAGGGGATCGGTGGAGGAGGTTCTGCAGCGTAGCACGTTCCCTTTCGCAGAATGCTCAACTGACATGCCGCATTAACATGTATTCTGATTAATGCATAATTTCTTGCTTGTCAAATCTTGCTCCCCGCCGACTCGCCCTTTATCCTGAGCACGGCCTTGCCAAAGTTCTCGCCCCGCAGCATGCCGACAAAGGCCTCGGCGCTCTTGTCGATGCCGTCTGTGACGTGCAGCTTCGCCTTGATGCTTCCGTCGCCCAGCCACTCCTGCAGCTTCTCCTGGTGCTCCTTGGCATAGGCCGGGCCGAAGTCGGGGTTGGTGACGAGGAAGCCCTGCATTGTGATTTGCTTGGCGACGATGTGCATCAGATTCTGGATGCCCTTTCTCTGCGACTGGGGGGTGTTGTAGTCGCTGATCTACCAAGGGGACGACGGGTTAGCTCTGAAGCGAACCAATGGTCACACGGTGACTCACCATGCCGCAGGCCGCAATTCGGCCGCCGTCGTTCATGGCCTCGAGGGCAGCCTCGAGCTGGTCTCCGCCGACATTCTCAAAGTAAATGTCGATGCCCTTGGGGGCCAGTCTGCGCAGGGCGTCGAGCGGCTTCTCCTTCTTGTAGTTGAAGCCGGCGTCGAAGCCCAGGTCCTTGGTGATGAAGTCGAGCTTGTCGTCGTCCCCGACGGATCCGATGACGGTCAGGCCCTCCCGCTTGGCGACCTGGCCGACAACCTGGCCGACGGCGCCGGCCGCCGAGCTGACGAAGACGGTCTGTCCCTTCTGCGGCTTGCCGATCTTGTGCAGGCCCGACCAGGCGGTCAAGCCGGGCATGCCAAGGGGACCGAGGAAGAGGCCGAGATCGAGGCCATGCGGGTTCCTGATCTTGTTGACGGCCGGGGCCACGGCCTTTTCGATGCGGGCATACTCTGCAATGGCCGTCGACGCAACCACCAAGTCGCCCTCGCCGAAGTCTGGGCTGCCGCTCTTGAGGACGCGCGAGACGGTGGCGTTGGCAAAGGGCTGGCCGGCCTCAAAGGCCGGGACGTACGACTTGACGCTCGGGTCGCGCATGCGCCCGCGCAGGTACGGGTCGAAGGAGGCGTAGAGCACCTCGACGATGAGGCCGCCCGGGGGGGGTGTCTCGAGGTCGATGTCGCGCGTCTCGACGGCCAGGTGCTCGCCGGGGACGGGGACGCCGGTGGGGATCTTCTTGAAGATGAGGCTCTTGTTGGGCGCCATGGTTGGAGGGGGATACGGGACACGGGATCAGTGTTGCTGGTGATGTTTTGTGCCGAGTTTCGCGGTTGAGGTCTGGTGGGAAGGGGAATGCTCCAATATCGGCGCTGGTTGGCTGCACACGGCGTTCGGTGTAGAGGGTTGGACTGCACTGTAGGTAATTATTCGAGAATAAGAAGACGCCAGAACGGGTCTTCGCTTGCTTTATGTAGGCATCTGCCCTCCATTAATGGTTCAATAGTTAAGGCCGCAAACCCCGCATGCAGCGGAGGAGGCGGATGCACTGGATTGCTAATACGACTCTTTCTGTCCGCCGCGACGCATGGGCAGGATGATGACCAAAACCTGCAGCTCCCGACGCGCCAGTGTCGTCTCATGTCATCGTCATTGTGTATTTCGAAGCAGAAATGGCAGGGGGGGCAGGTGCCGAGGTTCAGTTTAGTGTGCACCGGCGCCGGACACCGCAGCCAACCCCGTTGATGATATCGTGGTTTCTCGCAAAGGCCAATTATTTTGTAACCGAGGCACGCCGGGCTTTGCATGGGGCCAAGGTTCAGCCGCGCTTGAGCTGCCTTTGCATATTGGACGTTGGACAAGGAGGGCTGGACCCTGTGTTCCATGCGCCGTCTTTCTTGGCCGGCAGAAACGTGCGCAAGCCATCCCGGACATCCGGAGACGGGGACGAGGCGTTTCTAGACTCGGTGCCGATGGATCCACCCGGGCGTCGTCGACGAGCGTGCCGCGACGAACTAGGACTCGTCGGGAAATATACCCAGGCACTAAGTTGTCTTTGCATTGCGTCTGTACATACAGTCGGCTATCGAGCGGTAGTTGGAGTGCATCCCGGCGTGACAGGGGCCGGAGTCTTCGCCGGCTCTGTTGAAACCCGCCTCGCCTCGTGTCATGTCGTTGTGGATCTCGATGGCAATCCCGCTGGATTTCGCCGTGGAGACCTGGGGCGGCCTTTGCAACGTGAAGTCGACCCTGTAACAAGTCGTCGAGCCGGTCCGCATTTTGCTTGCGCCAGTCCTATTTCTCAGCTGCTTGGATCCTGCTTGGACATTCGACAGGCAATAGCCCTTGTCCAGCTTAGCAATCATCACCCATCTCGGCTGGGTCTGGAAGCAGTCATAATTAATTATTATACATAGAGCTACATAGAGCTTGTACGGAACTCGGACTTTGCGCTTTGAGCCGAGGCCTGCCGGCGGGCATCTTCCCTGCCTGCTTTGTTCGACGCCCTCTCAGAAGCAGAGGTGCTCCTGCTTGAGCAGACCCCGGAGCTCTGCTCTCAATTATTCACGAGCCTTCACCACTCCTAAGCTGCCATTACGGCATGGGAGGAACATTATTATGACATCAAGAAACGGACATTGCCCTCGCCGACCACCTCGAGTCACCTCATCCACCCATGTCACTCTGAAACCAGGAACGACGTCGTCTAGAACGGTAAAAACAAGAACCAGACTCTAGTCCACCGGGCATGGAATAAACTGCGGGTGCACCGTGCCGCCCGGGATCCGCGTACGCGCATCAGCCCCGGGCCTGTCGGTGGTCCAGCTCACCGGTATAGTGCGGCCACTGGGCGTCCTGATGTTTCCCAGCTGGTACATCTGGAGGATGCCTGCTTGTCTTCTCGGCATCACAGAGATGGCCTCGCCAAGCCTCACGTGCCTGAGCTCCGGCAGCCTCTCGGCCGCCTCGCGACCCAGGCGGCACAGGTCGCCCGCCATGCCTCGGTACACGTACATGACGCGGAGCCTCCGGACACGCGGCGGCAGCAGACGAGCGAGACGCCCCGGGTTCGTCTCGGGGTCTATGCTCAGGGGGTTGTAGATGGAGGCCTGGTCGATTCCGAGCTCCTCGAGCTGCGCAAACTCGCGGAGCTGCTCAATGGCGCTCGTGTCGGCGGATACGGTCAAGGTGTCCTCGACGTAGTCTTCCGCGGAGCCTCGAGATCGTTGGTACGCCTCGCCGAGGCCGAAGAAATGGCCGCGCGGCTCAATGGTGGTGCTCGCCGTGGGGAGACAGGCAAAATACAGCCGGCGGAGCGTATTCTTGACGGGCATGAGGGACTGCACCACCTGGCTGACGTTCCAGATGCTGGTCGCTGTCCGCTGGTAGTACTCGAGGTCCCGAAGCTGGGAGCAGCTGCCCAGTATCTGCTCCAGGTGCTGGGCGCGCAAGTCGCTGATGACGAGGCGCCGCAGGTTGGCCAGGACCGACTGCAGCGACGCGTCAAACACCTCGCTCCAGCCGGTGTAGTGGGAGCAGTCCAGCAGATACAGCGTCTCGAGGTAGGGGGCCGCCGTGATGAGCGACGTCGCGCCGGAGAAGTAGTACTGGCCCGAGTAGCCGCGGATGGCGAGAGCGCGCAGCCGCGGCATGACGTGGTCCTTTGCGTGCCAGAAGAAGCGCGAGCCGTTGGTCTGCGCCACGAGGAGCATCTCGAGGCCCGGGGAGAGCGCCACGGCGAGCTGCTCGAGCCAGCCGTGGCGTCGGAGAGAGGCGATGCGGTCGACCTCGGGGGCAAACAGGTCGCAGGGGCGCAGCCTCAGCGAGGCGCCTCTCTCGGGGGGCATGATGTCGAGCTGCCGCATCTTGAGGCCGAGTGCGCGCGAGAGCTCGTCGCTATAGCCCTTCAACACCTGGCACTCGACGAGCTGCAGCGCCCTGATGTGCGTGGCCAGGTCCGGACGCTGCAGCAGGGTTCGCAGGAACAGGGGGAGCTTGTCGTCGTCGGACAGCCCCCCCACGGTGTGCTGCAGCCCGAAGCCGGCCTCGGTGGGCAGGTTCCCGGTGGCATAGTAGTGATGGAGGATGGGCTGGCCGATGGCGCAGAGGCGCCTGGACGTGCGGCAGAGGCGCGCGAGGGCGCCTTTGGCGAGACAAACGACGTGCGCGTCGGCGTTGGGGAAGACGCCCGGGTGCTGGCAGTGGAAGCACAGGAGACTGCAGATTTGCCCAAGAATCTCGGTGGGCATCGACTCCATCTGGACGTGCTGTCACGCCGGGCCAGGCTCGAGCGGTGTCATGGCCGGTTCGGCGTCGGCGCCGGGAGGAGGAGTGATGATGCGTCGATGAGGGGTTTGTCTCTGCCGTGCCTCGCAGCCACGCTTCCAAGTGGCACCCCTTTGCGGACCCTTCAGCGCCGGTCCCTTACGTAAGGCGCTGCTCTGAGATGTCCTTTCAAATCAAGCCTGTCTCGTTGCGCTCGATTTCTTCAAGCCAAAGACGGCCGGCAAGATCGAGATGAGCCGCAGCTCGACGTATGCGGCGTCATGTACTTGACCAACGCCGATGGGCCGAGAAAGTTTGTCGAGTGGAATCCCAAATCGCCTTTTCCATCGATATTAATCGTCGATATTAATCGTCGATATTAATCGATGGCCTCGCGTCACATGGCCGGAGTCGATCTGTATGAGGGCTGAGAGAACGGTGAGCCGGGACGAGTATCTCCTCTGCATTTCGGTAATTGACCGCAATTATCCAGAAGTGGGAAGAGTTGTCCGTTGCGTGGCCCCGAAACCCTTTGCTCTTCTTTCACGGGGCATGTATTGCAGGGCCAGTGCTAGGAGTAATCATCTCCAAGACGGAGCCTTCAAGACAATTCGACGGATCAACTGGAAAGGATCCCTGGCTTGACCAATTCACAGATCACCCATATTCGCACACGCTACTCCGGAAGATCAAACTAAACAGGGTTCATGACGGATTCACTCCACCTGCTCAAAGTCCTTCTCATGCCGCTCATCACTTTGGATCTCGGAGTTGTCAATTTGATCGATATTCCGTGATTATGAGCTTTGGGTCCGTAAGTATATAGCACAGAAGAGCACATAAAGCTGAACCCTGCACACCCTCATCCACAAAGGCCGCCAATGTCTCAGGTCAGCTCCCCCCCCAAAAGACCACAGTGACTGCCCAGGAGGTGAGCTGAGCACTACCTGGCACATCGGTGTCACTGACGCCGTCATGATGCGTGACAATGCCAAATCCCACGTTTGGTCCGTACCAGTGGCCCCGGTTCACAAGGGTTCAGGGTGCCGCCATGCCGGCCTCGTTTTTGGAGGACCGAAGACTGGAGTCAGAGATTACATGACTACTAGATCACGCTTGCAAACTCCGTCGCCGTTCACGGGAATTGCCGAGCGTGGACTGAGGTACAATAAATCAAGGGCTGGGCATCAACTCACCTTGCGTGTTAGTGCTTATCAACCAATTGATGTCCTCGAGGGGACGTTTATGCCAGTGAGTTTGACTACCATGTCCTGGGATATCATCTCATCGCATGCGTAGGCGACAATGGCTTTGCAAAGCCTCGAGGGCGGCACTCAATCTCGATCAAGCACCTCCGAAAGCAGGCGTGACGCCTACATTCTAGGTACCACGCCGTTGATGCCACGCCTGACGGTACCGTATCCTACATGGCTGTGTGTAGCATATCAATTCCGTCTTCGTTGTACTGGCCCGGCCGTTGGAGGTCTCGACGGGGCAGCACGAGGCGTAACGACTCCTGAATGGAGGTAGCTTGACGTTGCCATGCCCATGCACTCCCGACATCGGGCTTCGAACTTACACAATACGTTCCCGAAAGGTTAGAACCGTCGCAGGAAGACGCTTGAGCCATGCCGGCCAATTCTCCCCTGGGGGTCGCACTCGACTGCGATCTCTGCAACTTGCGGCTTGCCGCCAGGGTCTCTCGCCCCTTTTCTCATTCAGGTTGGGGGCCTTTTCTCGTTCGGGTTGGGGGCCCGGCACCTTTTAAGTCATGTTCTTTACTCGGTAGCTCACATTCCAGAGACTCAGACATGGGGATCGTGCGTGCTTGAGAAAAGCTGTCCTATGGCGTAGCCACTCTGTCTGCTTATTCACGACTAGTGCGCCTCCAGGGTCTCTTTAACGTTGGCTTGCAGTAATACTGCAAGGGACGGGAAGCCTTGTTTCACAATGGAACGGCAGGTACCGCTGCCCAGGAACGCACGAGTCTCAGTGTCTTCCCCCCTGGCTAGGACGAAAGCTGCTTATTGGCCTCCACGGAGAATACCTGGTCCATATCGAGTGGATACCAAGACTCCGATAGGCCCCCAACCCTCTAAACCCCAAGGGGCAGGAAATCTTGAGAAAGCAAGACATGGCTTTTCCCCACGAGATCGCTCAAAGGGTGAGACAAGCAGCCCATGTTACTTCATATGCAAAGCAGCCGCATCGTCATTGCGTGCCGAACGTCGAACAGCCACTCCCACGTCTCACTTAGACCATGAGAGAAACTGCCTCGATGCGTCTCAACGCACGAAGCAGCACCCTGGGAAACGAGACCAGAAACGAGAGCTTTGGAGAATGAGCAGACAGCGCGATACGGGTGGTTTGCTTGTCAAAGAATGGGCACAGAAGCCCGTTGGTGCAGTCACGGTTTACATGCTGCTCAGCTTCTCGCAAGGGGGGTTTTCCCGCCCGCAGGCTGCCAACAGAAGACTGCGTCCTCTCTTACACCCATGTCTACAGCATGGCGCACCAAGGGGCTTGGTTGACTCTGGCCCACTTACAACTACATCCAACCCGTGCGGGAAGTCGGTGCATGCATAGTGCGCGGAAACCAACAGAATAACATACGGTGGCGCCACATCAATGGCCTCCAAGTTGCAGCAGCGGCATATACATGTCGAGATCAGGGAGGGTTGGCCTCTGGAACAATGGAGGCGTGAGTGGACGTGGTGACCCACGGTCGACTCAAGCAAGCACTCCTAGTGACGCCATCAAACGGCACGCTGCCCCCGTCCATAGGCCTGATATACATAGAAGCCAGCCGCTCTTCTTGGCATAATAGTACGGCTCCTTTGTGACGGCTCGGACGCTTATCTTCTAGCTCCTGGACATGATCAGCCCGACTCCCCGAAAGCGCCGAAAAAACAGCCGCCGTTCCCCGTCGAAGCATGGACTGGCTGTCTGAGCGGTCCGAAAAGGTGGCCGGCAGGCTATCGGAGCTCTACCGCCTGTCTCCGGCTCGGCTCAAGGAGAGTAGGCTCTTCCGGGAACTCCTCGCCGACTCGACCGTCTGCAAGTCGGTCCTTTTGGCCTCGATCCCCACCCTCCCCACGCGATCATACCGCCCACTCCACGTCTTCTACCTCCTCATCACAGAGCTTCCGGGACCCTGGCCGCCCTACCCCCTGCTCTATCACTTTACACGCCTGCAGCAGAACGTGCCCGAGGCGCCGCAGGCAAGCCATCAAGACGACTCCACGTGGCTCGTGCAGAGCACCGAAGCCATTGTCAAGGAGTCGTACTGGTCTATTGCTCACTTTATAGCAAGATCGGATGAGCCCGCCTTTTGCTCGAGCGAAGATGCCAGCAGTATATCCTTCACCGAATTGAGCGACTTTGTCGACACGTTTGCCCTACCACTAGAGGCGAAAGAGTCGAAGCCGGTTGTCGCCATTGTCCTTCCCAACGGACCTCTTTCGGCAGCCATATGCCTGGCCGTCGCCACATACTATGTTGCCGTGCCCATCGACCCAGACGAAGACCTTGACCGGCTGCAGTCCGACCTCGATCAGGTCCACGCCCAGTGCATTATCACGGCGCCGGCCATCAGGGAGCGACTGTCGACGTTGAGCGCTCAGCATTGGCTGGAGCGCCAGAAGATCCAAGTATTCATAGCAGAATCGACACAGAGCGAAAAGATTCACCTGCGAGACGTTCGAGGGCGCAACGTCTTTCTCACTCGCTCGGAACAGCCCCGGCAGAACAGGGCCGACGATGACGCCGTCTTGCTCTTCACCACGGGCATCTGGGGCGCCAGAGGCTTGGTCACGCTAACGGTTCACTCGATGATCTGCGAGGCCTTTCAGATAATAGAGTCGTGGGAGCTCACACGGCGAGATACATGCATCAGTATGACGCCAATTTATTGCGTGTAAGTGAATACCCTTGGCACCCCATCGTAACTGTGGAAACGCAAATTTACGCAGAAGCTAAAGTCTTGGGTGAACAGCGGAGGCATCACCAGAGGTATCATGGCAGCCGTCGTGTCCGGGGGCTCCGCCATCTGCGCCTCCAAGCCCACGTCCAACGTCTTCTGGGACGGCCTCGACCGAGGCGAGCCGTCGTGGTGCCTCGCCTCGCTGTCCACGCACAAGCTGCTGCTGGCCGAGGCCCCCTTCCACAGCGAGGCGACGCGGACACACTCGCTGCGTCTGGCGTGCAGGTCCGACGGCTTCATCCCGACCGACTTGGCGGAGCTGATCGGGGACACGTTTCACTGCGAGGTTGCCACGACGCTCGAGACATTTGAGTAAGTCTCGCCCAGGCCGACGAACTCGCGGATTCTCTGTGTCCATGCTGATGCGTCAACGCCATTGCAGAAGCGACCCAGGTCCGATTCAGCCGTCAACCTCGCAATGGCGCTCCGTCCGCTTCTCTCAGGCCTCGATATCGTCGGCCTCCCACAGAGACCCGAGAGAGAGGCCGCCGCGCATCTCCATCACGACCGACTTTTCCGACGCCCGGTCCCTGGGCAGGACAAGCAGTGTCGGCTCTACGCTGCAGTCCGTCTCTCCCCGGGGAACCCTCAGGCGGCCCTCGCAAGTCCCGCCGGATGCCCTGCCGGCGAGCTTCGGCGGTCTCAGCTACCTGGACGACAGTGGCCCCAACTATCTCGACGACGACGGATATCTGCACATCATGGGCACAGCAAAGGAGTACATCCACCGCAACGGTGTCGAGATCTCCCCCGTGCAGGTCGAGCAGGCCATCGAAAGGGCCGGCGCCTCGACCGACTCGCCTATACATGGGCGGATCGCCGACATGCTGGCCTTTCCGACTGCGCACGAGACGCTGGGCGAGGTCGTGGCCATTATCCTGGTCCCGAGCCCCGAGGCCCTCCGCGCCGATCTCCGGACGCTGCACGACGCGCTGCGGGCCTCGTCCCTCGAGGAGACAAAGTGGCCGCAGGTGATTGTCTACTTGGATCGGCTGCCGCAACGAAGGGGCAAGCCTCTGCGGACACGGCTCCGGGAGAGGTTCGGCCTGCCGCCCATGTCGGACAACACGCCGTACATGGCCAAGCACTGGGAGGGCCAGTGCCCGCCGCCAGACACGTCCTTCATGGAGCCCATCGAGGTGGTGCAGTGCAAGGTGGACATCGACGCCATCACGGCCATCATCAAGTCGGTCATCCCCAGCCACTTCCGGGTCCACGTCGAGGAGAACCTGCAGGTCGGGAGCTACGAGGTCCTGCTGGCCCCGGAGCTGCCCGGCACGACGGACCTGACACCCGAGTGGGTGGAGCACATCCGGCGGCTGATGCACGTCTCGCTCGCCATGGAAGGGCACATGGGCTTCCCGGGCAATCTGCACATCATCTCGGAGCCGCTGCCCGTCGGCGACGACGGCGAGCTCGACCTGGCCAAGGTGGCGGGCATCCGGGCGCAGCTCCGCAAGGGGTCGCTGCCGGAGCCGATCCGGGACATCGAGACGCGCGTGACCGAGGCCTTTGCGCAGTCGCTCTCGTGCCGCGTGGACGAGGTCGACATCACGGCCAGCTTCTTCGACCTCGGCGGCGACACTGTCATGGCCGAGCAGCTCATGTCGGTGCTGCGGGTCGAGTTCAACATCCACCTGCCCTTTAGCCTGCTGGCCAAGGAGACGTCGGTCGAGGGCATCTCGGCCTTTGTCGAGGCCTGCATCCGCGACGTCCAGACGTTCGGCGGCGAGCACGGCTGCAACGAGACGTACAGCTCGACCCGCCTCTGGCTCCTCCTGGTGCAGCTGCTGCCCCTGGTGCTCCTGTATCCGCTGCGTCGCTCGTTGCAGCTGGTGCTCCAGGTCCACATCCTCAGCAAGACGCGCTTCTGGCACGACACGTCGACGATCCAGGGCCGCATCACCAACCTGCTCCTCTCCCTATTCGGCTCCTGGGCGGGGGTCCAGATCTTCTTCCCCTTTGTCGGCATGCTCGCCAAGTGGACCATCATCGGACGGTACCGCGAGGGAGTCTATCCCATGTGGGGATCCTATCACACCCGTTGGTGGATGGTGCAGAAGATCGTCATGCTGTGCGGCTCGGGCTTCTTCGAGATCAACGACCACGGCAAGAATCTCTACTGCCGCATGATGGGCGCCAAGATCGGCAAGAACGTCAGGATGACGGACGTGTCGCTCGGCGAGTGGGACCTGCTCGACATCCGCGACGGCGCCGTCCTCAACAAGTGCCAGTGCCGGCCCTTTGCCGCCGAGGAGAACACTTCCATGTATCTCGGCCGCATCATCATCGGCGAGCGGTGCTCGATCGGCCTGCTCTCCGTCGTCGCCCCCGGCACCGAGGTCCTGCCGGACACGCGCATGGGCGCCAACTCGTCGAGCTGGGAGCAGAAGGACTCGCGGGTGCTGAGCTTCGATGAGGAAGTCCCGCGCATCAAGGAGCCTCACTGGCTTGTTTCGCTGTCCTTGACCCTCCCGATATACGTCGTCGCCTGGCTCGTCTCCCTGCTGCCCTGGCTGTTGGCCTTATACCCCGTGCTCTCGGCGGCGCCGGCCAAGAGCACCATCCCGCTGCGCGTCATCCTCAACTGGTACCAGGGCAGTCCGCAAGTGGCCTACAACTACCTCTCCGGCGGCAGCAAGGTCGTCTTCAGCCCCATCATCTCCTTTAGCTTCGCCGTCTTCGTTCGCTACCTCACCAAGCTCATCTGGGGCGACCTGCCGACCGATCCCGCCGCCATCAAGGGGCACTTTGCCTTGTGGCGGGCCACTGTCAGCAAGACGCTCTTCTCCGAGTCACAGCTCTTCGAGCTCAACGAGCTGCTCGGTCATCACAATGAGGCCCGATCGGGGGCCCTCCGTCTGCTGGGGGCCAAGATTGGCAAGCGAGTCTGCTGGCCCAACATGGGGCCCTCGGTTGGAGACTACCATCTCTTGGACATTGGCGACGACGTGACGTTTGGCGAGAGCTGCTATCTTCTGACCACCGACGAAGACGCCTCGGGACTCATCACCATCCGCAGCGGAGCCGTCATCGCCGACCACGTGTGTATCCTGCCGGGCGTGACCATCGGAGAGCAGTCGGCCCTCGGATTCGGCACCTTGACGCGGCGAGGCAAGGTCTACGAGGACGGCAAGACCTTCATCGGGTGCAAGAACGGCGATGTTGCGCATTCCGACAGCTTCGGCGAGAAGCTCTGGGCCATACAGAGCATGTCCCAGGCCAAGCCCGCCTCGGCGCCGACATTCAGAAACACTCTCCAGCACAAGGACAGCGGCGAGACTCTTGTCGGCTCCATAGTCAGCCCTGTCCGACTCGAGGAGGGCTTGGCCCCTCCTCGGTCTGCTCCTAAGAAGCGCAGCGCTTCCACGGCCCATGACGAGAACCCGCCGGAGCATTCCCCGTACAACCGCGCCGTCTACCAGAAGAATGCCCCCTATCACGTCTTGACCCCCCTGGCCGCCCTCGGCTTCTCCTTCATGATGACCATCTTCACGTCGTTTTACTGGAACGTCTCCGCACTCTCGTCCATGAAGCTGGCCGCGCGCTTCTTTGTCGACTGGATGGAAGGCGTCGACAGCACGTACGACGCTTTGATCATATACGCCCTCGTCGTTGCCTGCTCCGCCGTCTTGACGTCCGCGTTTGTCGTCATGGCGCTCGGCATCGTCGTCGTGGCCAAGCGGATACTCGTCGGAAAGTTCAGGCCGGGCGTCTTCGACTGGGACAAGTCGCCTTACTGCCAGCGCTGGCAGCTGCTCGTTTCGGTCGAGAAGCTGATACGCCGCTGCTTCGTCGACAAGGGAATCCTCAGCCTGCTGACGGGGACGCACTGGCTCGTCATGTACTACCGCCTCCTGGGCGTCAAGATCGGCAAGGATTGTGCGCTCTTCGCCAACGGATACCCGAGCCTGATGATTACCGAGACGGACCTCATCGAGATTGGAGACCGCGTTGTTATTGACGACGTCGGCATCATCACGCACGTCGACAGGCGTGGCAGCATCCGCCTCGACCGCATCAAGATTGGAAACCGCTGCGTCCTGCGCTCGGGCAGCAACATCCTTTGCGGAGCGGAGATGAAAGACGGCAGCTGTCTTCTAGAACATACTCTTGTGTTGCCGGGCGAGGTTGTAAACGAGAAGTGGACCATGCACCGAAGGCCTGCCGAAAGATTTTATGGCTCCCGCAAGGGAAGTATACCGATGCCGGTAATAGTGTAGCGTTTGGGATTCGGACAAAATTGAAGATAAGCCACTGGCGTTAGGCTACAATTACGAGTGGGGGAAAAGACATAAAATAATGAAATAGCGGAGTGAGAAAAGAAGACTCATGATTTCTACGACAGCTCGGCACCAAAAGCAATGGGAAAGCGAAGCTTTGAAGATACCAGCTCGTCATTTTCACTGGCAACAAATAGACCTAGAAAGCTACGTTTAAACGAGATATCAGCTACTTAGAGCCTAATTTCTATGATCTTCCCAATGATATCCGTCTAAGTCCTTCAATATCATTCGAGATTTTGTTATTTCCACCGGGAAATTGCGTGTGGTCGCTTCTAGGATTCTAGGGGCTTGCAGAGTGGGCAACGATGAACCGCGGCAACGCTCACGCTGTACTTGAATAGGAGTCCGTTCTGGTATATGTGAATGGGTAGGCCGCCTAAAAGTCGAAGCTCTCCCTGACGCCGGCTCTCTAAAGGCGTGGGAAGCGGCCAAGCTGCCTAGATGCCAGCGCTGTGGACGTGGTCTGACGATACAAAGGTACCAATTCTAGAGTTTTACTATTCGGCCAAGTAGAAATCTCTATTCGGCCAACACTAGCTAAAAGGCGGGGTACCTTTATGTCCCGCATTAGTACCATCCTTTTGCTATTCCTTTTAGCGAAAAAACCTTAAAAATCCTAGATAGCCCTAACTACGAAGTAGCGTACTCGAGCGCCCGAGCCAGTAGGGGAGGGGTCCCCCTTAGGGAGGGGCCCTACTGTGGGGGTTTACCCCCGCGCGAGGTGAGCGCGACGTATAAGACGAGTACTTTAAGATACTTAAGATTTCTCTTTAATAACTAAGGCGTATTATAGCCAATTAAAAGAGGGGATTTTATGAGACTCTTAGCCGAATAGAGATTTCTACTTAGCCGAATAGCAATACTCTAATTCTAACTCTTAGAGGCGTCCGTTTTATAGAGAAATATACTATAATACTAACTAGTTATCTCTAACGGAGGTGCCTCTAATTTTATTATAAGATAATATAACTAGTTTAATAGGTTATAAGTTCCGTTTGCGTAGATGCGCCTATAGGTGCGCTAAAATAGCGCGGTTTATTATTCGAACCCCTATAGAGTGAGCCTCCTAGCGTCTAAAAAAGGCGGTAAGGGAAGAAAAAAGATTCTATTCTAGCTCTACTATCCTCCTACGATACGAGTAGACCTAAGGGGAGGTATAGAGAAATATACTATAATACTAACTAGTTTTTACTAATAGAGGTGCCTTTAATTTTATTAGAGGATAATATAACTAGTTTAATATATTTTAATATAAAATAAAGAAAGTAAATATAGGATAGTTAACTCTATTTATATACTATAGAGTCTATAACGTAAGTACTACTACTTTATAGTTTAAGGGTTATTAAGCTCTTAAAGATATTAACTAGAATACTATATATATTATATATATAAGCTTATATACTTTAGTAGATAATAATATAGTCTAGAGCACGCTATTATACCTACTAAGTATAGTAGTATCCCGATTAAGTAAGGCGCCCTCCTACGTGCCCTACCCCGCCTAGCGCCTATATAAATAGCCCGACCTCTATCCTCCCTATCGCCTTATACTTAGGACTTCTCTCTCCCCTTTTCCTTTAATCGCTTCCCTTACCGTTAGTCGGTATCCCCTTACTAGGCACCCTATCTTCTTAAATTTCTACCTACGACTAATCCTACCTTTATAACCTTATTATTTCGCTTTAAGACGGCCTATTTCTCTCGTAAAGAGAGATACGAGGAGTATATATAAAATATATAAAGGTAAAAGTAAAAGTAAGGGGTCGGATAGGTAAGGTAAAGTTATTTAATTCTTATAAGGGTAGTAATTATAGTAAGGGAGTACTTATTATATTACCTTAATTATCCTTCTTTCCTCTATTTAACGCCCCTCTTTATACCTATTTAGTATCTTAATTAATAAAGAAGATCTAACTTAAAGAAGCTATTAATATCCTCTTAACTACTAAGCTTTTTACTAGTTCTTCCCCTCTATTCTAGCCGTTGCCGGTATATCCGTCTTATCTCTTACTACCTTTATAGGAAGCTATTACTACTTTTACTTCCCTTTACGCCCCTACCCTTCTCTCTATACCTCTTTTTAGCTCCTTCTTTCTTTTTCTATACTAAGTGTTTTTAGCTTCCTAGGTCCCTATTACTAAGGGATATCTCTAAGAATATAAATTAGGCTATGCTTCGCGATATACCCCCTTAGCTATAGCTTACTCTTATAGAAAGGGTAAAGCTAAATAATAAGGCCGGTAGGCGTATAGAGGAGGTCTTAGTCTATACTTATCCCTTACTTAAGAAATCTAGGTTTTTACCTTAGGCTCTTTTATACCTACTTTAGGAAAAGGGGCCTAAGGAGGAATTAAGTCTTATAAGAAAGGGGGTCTTTTCTAAGGATAAGTCCCTAAAAAGGCCTTTAAAAAGAATAAGTCCTAATTAAGCTAGGAGCCCTCCTTTAAGATAAGTCCTAGTTCCTTTCTTTAGCTATAGACGCCTCCTTCCTTATATATACCGTTAGCTCCTCTTATAGGCTCTTAAAGCGGGCTTTTAAGGATAGCTTTACTTAAACGTCTTCTAGCTTAATTTACTATAAAAAGATAGCTAGCTTTTACTTTAATAGGGGCTTTATAAGACCGTTAGCTTTTATTATTATTATTAGAACTTAATAAATAGAAATAAGTCCCTTTTAAACCTCTTAGCGTAACTAATACTAATAGATATCGATATACTATAGTATAATAACTAGTATTATTCCTAAGAGATAAACCTATTAAGGGGTTTATATTAATAGATATAATAGGGCGTAGTCTAAGTAATAATAAGTATATTATATTAGTAATAAGTTAGAGGTTATAAACTATAGACTATAATTAAGTAATTAAGTAATTAAAATTAAAAATAAGATTATAATAAAGATTATAATAATTATATTAAAAGCTATTAAGCTATCTATCTATAGGAGTATTCTATTCCTTCCTTATATATCTTAAGAGCTTCCTTAGGTCGCCGGGAGCACCAGGTAATCCCGTCGCCTAGGAGCGCTAAAGCGCTAGAACGATCCTACGATCCTAGCTATAGAGCGTTAAAGCGCTTAAGTAACCCGTTGCTCTAAACTTAATTAGCTTATCGGTCCGTTTAATATTCCTTACTCCCTATATTACGTGTCCTTATAATATATACTAGTTCCCTATAGTTTGCTAGACTATAGTTATAATAAGATACCTCCCCTCCTTTTAGTCTTATCCTTAAGACCTACTACCTTAGCCGCTATATATAAATATACCCTTATCGCGTAGTATATAAGTATAATTATTCTTTATCCCTTATCCTTCCTAAGATATACTATTAATAGTATATTTAGTTATATTTAAAAAAATCCTATTCTTATAATTTTAATAAATCGCGTTAATAATTAAAACTAATATCTTAGACTAAGATCTATAGTATTAAAATTATACCTTACTCTTCTTATTTTTAGTTAGGTCTAACTTATAAGGTTAGCGAGCGTTTTAATCGGTATTTTAAATATACCTTTATAGGCTATTCTTATAATAGTTATAATATAGCGTCTACCTATTTATTTTATCCCTTTCCTTCCTTATTATTCTTTTTTTATTAATATTCCTTCTTTTTTACTTTATTATATTATAAATTAATAGTAAAAGATTAATTCGGATAAATAGAAAGTAATAGAAGCGTTAAAGGAAGTAATAGCTTACCTAGCTTAGATTAAGAAATAAAAGTATTTCCTAAAAGACTAAGGTAATAAGTTATTTTAGCGGGGTATATAAGCTATTAATAAAGAAGATAGTATAATACGTTCTTCTTAAGATAAATTAGTTTATTTATTAAATAAAGAGTCTATTACTATTAGCGAGGTTTAATTATTTAGTGCTTTAAATATATTAGACTAAGATACTATTCTTAGTAACCTTATATTTCTAAGTAAGGGTTCGTTTAATAAAACTATTAACGTAGAGAATTATAATAAGTTAAGTACTTAAGTAGTTCCTAGGTATTTTCTTTTAGTCTATATCCTTTCTACTTATTAAGGTATTTTTATCGCTAACCTTATTTTCTTATATTTAGTATTTATTTAACTTTATATTCTTAATAATTATCGACTTTAATTTTATCTTATAGTTTAGCGTTTTATAGTACTAGTTCTAATAATAAGATATAAAATATTAAGTATATCTATATTATTATTAATAGCGAAAGTTTATAGTTAACTTTTAAAATAGTTTTCTTAACCTTAAATAAACTAAGTTTCTTAAAATCTAATTTATTACTTAGTCGTTTTATTTTAATATTTCGTTATATAAAGTAAACTATATCTCCCTCTTAAAAGATTAGTCCCTATAATCCTTTCCTATTATAGTAAGTAGATATTTATTTTCTAATAAATTAAAGTTCTTATTATATTTCTCTATATAATTTTTATAGTTAATCTACTTATAGTATTACTTATTCCGCTTATAGTCTTAATTAAGTAACCTTAAATACTTTTAGGTTATATTTATAATTAGCGTATACTAGTAAGAGCTTAGCTATTTTTATAACTAAGCTCTTATAAGCTAGTTATACTATTAATAGCTATTTAACTTAATTATTTTATTTATAGCTAATATAGTATTATAAATATTATTTAAGCGTTTAGTTTAGTCGTTCTATTTATCTTTTTATTTATAGGTAATAAGCTATACTAAGCTTATATTTTATCCTTAATTATATTATAAGAGCTTACTAAAGCTTAACTATAAATATACTTTCTTTATTAAAGATAATCTTATTTAATAGTTTATAATTACTAATAATAGTTTATAGGAATATATATACTAGCTCTTTTATATTACTTACTTCTTTATATAGTAAGAAGTATCTATACTTTATTAGTCTATTAATAATAATAAATATACTATTATACTTTAATATTAATAATAAGT